GATGATTTTTTGCTGGATTTCCAATTCAATGGTGTGTTCTGCTGTTGGGTGATGCTCTGAGGTGTTGGTGTTTTCTCTGAGAAGAGATGTGCAAATGACTGCATAAATTCTGATAGTTCTGAAACATCTGCATGTGTGGTTGCATTGAGTGCAATACTTTCTGTGTTTTGTGCAAATAGTTTGTCAATTGAGACAAGATATGTGAGTGTGTCAGAGAGAATCTCTTTTATTACTGTCTCAGCTGTTATAAAGTCAGATTCTTCATTTGGTCTGTCTTCTTCTAGATGATAGATTCAATTGTCTTTCTGTCAGTTGACAATTGAATTAATGATTTTGAGCCAGAAGAATTCCAGAATCATATTATAGATATTCAAAATGACTGCTTTGAATGCTTGTTGTGCTTCTTGTGTTGTTCTCTTGTGGTCAGTTGTGCTGACTGCAAGATTGTATGTCTTAAAGATTCACACTTGATGTTCATTAATAACTTTGACTAACTTTGATGTCATGAATTTTGACATTAGATCTTGTGACTTGACTCAAAATTGACTCATGAAGTTGACTTCCATCTCAGAGTTCACTAAGATGAGCACATTTTTAATGCTCTTGAGAGTTTTGATCTGAACCATAATGAGAAATAAAAATGAGCTAGCATGCTGTAATTTGTGAAGATTGAGAGCTACTGTGATGTTGATAGCTCTCTTCATTTGTTTTTTAATGCTTTATCTGTAGATTCTTTTGAATTTGTCTTCAGCTTTTTTCTGAGAAAGCATTTTTTGATGAAGTATTCTGGTCTTTTGTGAAGATTGCATCATGATTTATCACTTGTGATTTTATGCTTATAAGAGTTGAATTTTTCTTTCTTTTGTGATTTTCTTGAGAAGCTTTTTATGCTTTTTCTAAGTTTCTCTGCACATTCTTTGATGTTATCTTTGCAGATGACCAGTCATGTGACAAGTTCTTTATAGAACAAGTTGTCAATGATGACAGCATGTTTGTTAAATTCAGATCTGATTTCTGAGAGAATTTTGCAAACAAGATGTGTCTTGTACTGTTCTTCTGTGTATTTGTATGAGAGTTGCTGTTTGAATGACTCAAGAATGCTGCTGAAGTTGTGAATGAATTAATTATTTCACTGTTTCAGCTTGAGATATTTGTGCTTGATGTCCCAGAAGATTCTTTCAGAGTTCATGATCTGTTGTGTGAGTCAATTGCTGAATTCAGTCCATGAGGACAGGATGGTTAGAGCAGCAGTGTGGTGATTCCACTTAATGAGAAGCTTGATTTTAAAATATTATACTGCTTTGAGCATCTTGCAGTCATCATAATCTCTAAAGTATGCTGCTTGATATGTGTGGAATACTGTGCATTAATCTAGAAATTTCTCAAGTTCTTTGAGATTCTTGACTGCAAATTTTTTATTATTCTTGTGTATTGAAGCTCTGCCTGCATCTGCTGTGCTTAGTGATTGTAGTCATGGGGTTTCACCTGTTTCAGTCTGAATGTTTGAGTGACTTTTTGAGAATGTGACTCTCTGAATGATGACTTCTTGCAGAGATTCATTTGAGTTTTGTGTGTGTAGCATTCTTTCCAGTCTTGATTGATGTGGGGTGAAGATTGAAACTGTGTAGTGAGGGGATTTCTTCATTGGAGTGGTTCTTCTTTCTATAATTACACACATTATATTGATTTTCTGTTGCAGATCTTGAATATGTTTTTTCTGTTGCAGAACTTGTAGTTCTTTACTTAATTTTGCAAGCAAGACTTCATCTTGATCATTATTCTCAGTATCTGACAGATTGTTTGCAGAGACAGCAAGAATGTGGCTTGTGTGTGTTTCAGTATCTTGAGATGCATTCTGCTGTTTGAATGAGGAGAAGTCAGTGTGAGTGCTGAGCTCAGCTGTTTGTGATACAATTTCAGTTTCATTCATCTTCATGAGAGGTTGCATGGATGGCTCTGACTGTTCAGAGATTTTCTGATGTTCTGATAGTGTTGAGAGATCAGATATTGAGTGAGTGTCTTCAAAAGTCTTTCTGCAGATTTGTTGACTCATCTTGTTGATGGAGGATGTCTTGTGTTGTTTCTTTTGATGAAAAGTCATGTGTTGTGTTGATGTTTGATGTGAGTGCTGGTAGCAGTCTGTCTGATGAACTGTCTCTTGTGGTGAGAGAAAGCAATGAGAACTGTGAGAAGCTAGATCTAATGAATGTATAATCAGAACAGGAATGAGCTACTAGTGTAGAGAATATAAGAAAATGTGTGGTGGAAGTGAGTATATAGTATATGCTATAAGTAGATAGAGCTCATCACTGATCTGTGTAAGAATGGGGTAGTGTTGAGGGGATTATATACAAGCACGATGTGCGCTACTAAGATTTAAAGGGTCTAGTGTTGGGGTCTGGCATGACAATGATGAGAAGAGAGCAGATTCAGAGACTTTCATCTCAGCAGCTTTCATATTATCATCTGAATCTTTCTGAACAGAAGAGGGAAAGTGGTCAGAGCTCATGAAGCTGAGCTCACTCAGCAGGCTGTTGATTGGCATGAACACAGACATCTTTACAGACTGTAAAAACAAGAGCTCATGATTGTGAGTGGTGGTGATGGTGGTGATGGTGGTGATTTTGAGCTTACAGAATAGAAAGAGAATTTATGGGAGCTCACTACAGTTGATATTTGATTTTTACTGCTACATTTGTGTTGCTTGCAGGAAAGTTACACTCAATGAAGAGATTCATTATATTGAACCCCTTTTGACCCCTTTGTATGAATAGGATGTCAAAGATGACTATGCAGCTTAATAAGCATTTGTCACCAGTCCTATGACTAAGCACTGCAAGCTTCACCAGACGGCGAAGCCACCGCCCTTGTGAACACCAAAAGAAACAAGTGCCTGTAATTTGCTGCCAAGACACTAAAAGCACTCGCCTCCGGTTGAGGGGAGAGGTAGGGGCCTCTCCCAAGCCCTCGGCGCTGCTTGGTGGTCCTTAACTTGTAGGGCTGCAGACTCTGAGACCAACCCCCCTTGCCCCCGCAAGATCACCCCTAAACCCAAGCTGCGAACGCCTGAAGATTTATGGCGGCGACCTCCGTAGTCAAGAGGGATTCTCTATTGGCACTACTCCGTAATCCTGGCCCAGGAGCGCTGGAGCCTGCCTGCTGGAGGCTTCTAAGTTCTGCGATGATCTTCTCATTTGAACCTTCTCATGAGCTTCGGCCACAACGCTTAAAGCGAATCCAGACGCCACATACTCCGTCCTTCATCAACGTCTTTTGGGCCCTGCTCCTCGGCACAGTTCTCCATTTATTCGTCTCTCCGGTCTAAGGTCTTCATCTGGCCATTCATCCTGTTCGAAATATCGCCATGACTGAGTCCACGACCCTGAAGTCTTCGCGACGAAAACGTCCTTCCTTTAGCCCTGTCAAACCTCGCGTCGCAGCCCTTGACTTCCATGAGTTCTCCTTACTTGATGAGCAGGGTTCAACCCCCTCTCTCGGCGATGAATGCCATCGTCTTCTTTTCCAATACTTACAGGACAATTATGGCGTGGAGGATATGTGGGTCATGCCACCATGCATCATTCTCCGCTGTCCCAAACGCCCCGACCCGTCCGAAAAACCCTTCGCCATAGCTGGCTGCCTCGCCTTTTGGCTTGGCATGGAAGATGATATCCCTTCCATCCGACCTGGGTTTTCGGGAGGTGAAACTGAGACCAGCGAATGGCTTAAAATCGATCAGAACTTGGCTAGTGACCTGAAGCCTTTCAAACTCCTGCAACCGGAAACCTTATCTGCCCTCCTCGTCCAATACTTTCCTACAGCTCAAGCCATTTCTTTCATTGCAGACACAGTCATCGTTGAGTATGCGGAGACTGACGACGACTCTTGGAATGAGAAGCTCAAATCCTTACCATCCGATTTTATGAATACCTCCGTGCAGCTTCATTTCACAAATGGACTCCTTGCAAACGCAGAATGGAAAGGAAAGATTACATCAAAACCGGCCGTTTTGAAAGACATGGTAAGTGACGATTTCGACTATGTTGCTGAAATGGGAGGCTTCTATCCCGGGGCGATGCTATGCTCCAATAATGACGATGCTATAACTGCGGGTATTCTGGTCGAGAAAGGGGGTGAAGTAAGGTTAACAGTGGCTTTTCAGTGCTGGGAAGAAGAGTATAGGAACCATCCCGACCAGGTGGGTGATCCGGATCGATACAGAGTTCGACAGGCCGAACCCCTGTGGGTTACGTTACCGAACGTCTAGGGGCAACTGATATTGGCCTCGCTAAACTCAACGACAATGTCTCTTTCACGAATCGATTCCTAGACATTGAAACAGCGGCGAGAACGATGACAAAATGGGGACAAGTTCGGCACGGAGACTTATTCGAGGTTGACACTTTTGTCACCGGCCGACAGAAGCTTTATTGTGTCGGGGTACGTGTGCTGGGCCCAAAGAGAAGCAATGATTTCCTTCGGGATCACCAAGCATCTCCTCCGGATGGGCAAAATGTGATCATGGGCCAAGGGATTTATGCGACGAACGATCCGGTCATAGTTGGATCGCCACAACTGCGTGCTGGCATTTGCGGTTCCGTGCTCGTGAGGCTCCGGCGCGCCGGAGAGAACCAAACTTGTGTTGAGAGTGGTGAAATTTGCGGGATTATGCATTGGGCCGAGCTGGCCATGAAATATTCGACCGAGGCGAAATTCCTCTGTTTTGCTGATCCGATGGACCCGCTCATCGACGACGGTTGGAATTGCGTTATCCCCCCACCCAAGCGTGAAGAGATGGAGGAGGAGAACGGGCCCTCAAAGAAGAAGCAGGCTCAGTGATGGGAATTCTTTCATGGCTTCGTTCTTGTGACGTTACTACATTGATGGTCTGATGCAATATAGAGTAGCGGGCATTACGGTTGTTATCTGGATGGAAGTCTTCGAACATCAATGGTGGTGATATTTGCAGAAGCAGCCCATGGGTCATGGGATTGGAAAAGCATTGAGGATGCAGGCTGGGAGTGGAATGAAAATGCTCTGACGGAGGCAATGCATGGTGAATGGAGCCACTTACTATATCTGCAACCTTGGCCAAGAGCATTGAACTCATAACCACTGATGGCGCTTGTGGCTGACAAGAACGTCAACAAAGTCCCGAACTTTGGCGCCAGGTCGGGTATCGAGACGCATGGCTTTTGTTGCGGTGTTAGACCAGGGATAGTTGAGACGGCTAACCAAGAGGAATGCTTTTGATCCCCCGGTTGTTACAACACTCGGCACACAGCGAAATTGCTCTCGATTATCCTCCGCTTCAGTAACTAGTGCAGCGGTGCCCGAGGCACGACCCTTGCAACTGGCCTGTGATATCATGCCGCAGGCATACCTCTCACACTTCAATCACACCCCGCTTGTCAGGGCTATTTTGATCACCATCACTCGATTGGGTGGAATGTAATAGCGCCGCATCAATCCAGGTCGAGGACTTTGGCGAAGCTCTTCCCTCCAAGATGGAATGACCACCAGTGAAAATGGCCACAATCGTGATTTGGGGGCCGGCGCTTAGGCATCAGCGCCAAATACTGGCTTTGCAGACATACCACAGCCTTAAACATGCTTCTATTTTTTGGAAATGCATTGACTATCACACATTGATTGGATGGAATGGAGCGGCAATGCCCCAATCCACAAAGTCTCTGCGAAATGACGAAAGTTGTACGTCTTGGTATACCCAATTTCGATGTAAGGCAAATCCTCCGCCACAATCTGAAGCTGCTGACGGAAGATGCTCTGCCAGCTTGCGAGCAGACAGTCTGGGACCAAGTTTCCCCTCGATGGTTACGATATAACGAAAGTCCCCGACGAAACTCCGGTCGAACTCTTCAATACTGCGCCATTGCTCCACGACTACCAGGGAACACGCATCGTGCGCCTCTCTCGCACGTTGGTGCTTAAAGGAGGAGAGCTTGCACGACCATGTGAAGCAGAAATCATGAAGCTAGTCCACGCAAAAACATCAATCCCAGTCCCTAAAGTTCATCGAGTTCTCAAGATCAAGACACAAGACACATTTTTCGGATGCCAATGCTACTTCGTCATGGATTTCATTGAAGGCGACACTATCCAGGACTGTTGGGAGGACTTGAGTCAGGCTCAGCGTGAAGATGTTGTTTCCCAGGTGGCTGCTATGTTTATTGCTTTGCAGTCAGCTCAGGTACCCCAACAACCAGGCCCGGTAGACTGTCAGCTTTGCAAGGCCAAAGGGTGCTGGTTTAGTGATATAGGAGGTGGTCCATTCAGAGATATTACAGCAATGGAGGACTGGTTTAACCGCAAACTTGAAATTTGCCAAAGTTTCAAGCAAGCCCCAGATGCTGTTCCACCGTTTTGCTTTGACAAGTTGGTTCTTACACATCAAGATATTGCTCTCCGGAATTTGATACTAGACCCCGAGGGCAAGGTTTGGCTAATTGACTGGGGTGATGCTGGGATTTATCCTGAAGGATTTGAATATGCAGCAATAGCTGCAAGAAGGTGGACTGCCGTGTTGTTTACAGATATGTTGTTTGAACGGATCCCTAAATATTTAGAGATGGAGTGGCAATTGTCCCAAATTATGTATGCATTGACAACTGGGCAATGGATTGACTAAGGATGGGCTGTGGAATTGTAGTTTATGCCGTGATGAAGAATGTCGACTGAGGCATGACAATAACAGGATTGGGATTGGACTTGGGCAGCACTTGCACCTTAGATATCCTTCATATCAACTAATATGAAGGTTGGATAGAGCAATGCCTGCATATTGTGATATCATTGCGCAGCAACCCAGGGCTCGTCTTCCACAGCATCTACTCATCGCGAGGAGGATTCATTAAACGACTTTAGGAGCGTCTCAGGAATGCTCTTTGGTCAAGTCACGCGTCAAAAACATGTGGTGGGTAAAACAGCAGACCTCCAGTGCTCCTTCAAGGCTAATAGTGCAAATAAAGCATTTTGGGAAATCCAGATTTCCTCTTTATACTGTATTCCACCAACTCAACGAACGCCCCAAAGCTCTACTACTCAACTCACCGATTTCCGCTCTGATTCCTCAACCACGCATAAATGAATTATTAGCTATTAATCATTATACTATAGAGTTCTCTTTACCTATAAAATTGTTAGGAAATTAGAATAAATAGCTCGGTCCGAGCGAGGATGACGGACTATGGAAAGGGTATTATTAGAAAGAATGTTAAAAGTTGAATTTGAAGATGAACTAGTAAGGAAAGTAGGAATAGTAGTGAGGCTAGGAATATTTCCATATTTGGCAATTTGTATAGTCTCAGAGCGCGGAGGATTGGGCTTTGGCTGCTTCGCTCTTTGCTCTGCAGCCTCAGGCTGCCCGTGCTTGCGCTTAGTAGGAGACTTGAGAGCCTTAGCAGCTAGTTTAGCAGCTGAGAAGCACGTTCTTCCTTTTCTAATTGAAGCTGCTGCTTATTTGCTCCACGAGCTTCCATTGCAGCAATGTGTTGAGCAATGCATTGAGCTTTCTCTTCTTCCTTCTGCTTGCGCTTGGCCTGCAGAGCTAGTTGATGAGCATGTTTCTTCTCCTTCTCAGCAAACTCTTGGTCTTTTTGAATTGCACGTTGAAGACATTAAGATTCAGTTAGGAAGGCCTTCTCCTACTCTTGTTGCTCCGGCTCAGCGGCTTCCTTTCAAATTGCATTCATCTTAGTAGGAGAGAAGAATTGTGCTCCATCATCATTCTTACTAGCAAGTCCCATTTCACGGCCACGGCGGCGGCGTCGTTTTTCAATGCCTAGAGCGTTATGGAGGCTTGATTCTCGTGTTGAAGGACCTCATGTTCAAATGCAAAGTTCTTAGTCGCATGGATAGATAATCTTGTTGAGCAGGGACTCTGCATTGACTGCCGGCGGTTGAATAGCTGAATTGTGCGCCGTACTCCCCGAGCACATGTAGGAGTCTTCATCTCAGTACTAGAAGCACTTGTAGGCCTTGAAGTCTTGAAGAAATCAAGGATTTGATCAGGTTTTAGTGGACAAATCCCTGTAGCAGCGAAACCGGCCTTTATATTATTCTCCGTCAGAGAATCATTCCAAGCCATATAGAAGAGCCTCCAGAAATCACGTTTTGTCAATCAAATGAAGCCGCATCCTGATCATATGAAAAACTCTAGATGCCTTGCAAATGCATTTGCGCATGGTGAGGGTATAGCAACATCAAGCGGTTGTAAATGGTGCGTTGAATGGGGAGGAAGGATGCAAAGAAGAATATTAACTATTCTTATCTGCAAAATCAAAGAATTTCTGACTTGGTTATATGTGCTGAATGCCCATCCAGAATAAGAAGATATTTTTTACGGCCAGCCTTTGCTTTTGTATGATTATTGAACACCTTCTGAAGCCAAACCAACCCATATTCATCATTGCTCCAGCCATTTGTGTGACCTCAAACTTTGAGCTGCTGGTGGAGTGAGTTCAACAACAGACTTGGAACCCAGCTCCTCGCATCATCTCAATTGAACTAACTGCACACCTTCCCATTAACTACTCAAAAGTTTCTTCTTATAACTTTCACCATGATCGATCAATCTATTTTCGAAAACTTGCAGCTCAAAATTGACGAGGAAAGCAAGATTCGTGATGTAAGCTCGGGCATCTGCACCAGGACTGGGCAGAAGCCTGCTAAACAATATTAGGAGCTCCAAGACATTGTACAGGCGCTTGCTCGACGCGGTGTGTTCCTAATGAAGGCGGGTCCAGCTGAGCTACATCTATTCTAAAACTTTTTCCAGGCAGAAACACACAAGCGGTACTCTCACGAGCCCACTACACCCCGGAGGCCAAATGTTCGTTCTGAAGCCTCTGTTTCTCCGCTGAATCGAGCTATTTTTCCTGGTTTGATAAAGATGACCTGATCTATTGCACGTAGTGAGTCCGGTCCTTGATGAGGGGTCGAAAGAAATCAAAGCCCAGAAGGAAGATGTTGCCAGACTTATCGCTATCGCTTCGAAGCATCCGTTCTACAAGTTCAACCATATGTGGAGTCGCGAGTTGCAAAATTTGGTTGGTTCGGCCTTCTTAGATCTATTGCATCTCCCTACTTACGAACATAGGTGTTTTCCATCCTATTTTGCTCGTGGCTTGGGGGTTTGAAAGATGTTCAAGAGGGCGAAAGGGGCTTTTTGACCATTGAAGAGGTCGGGAAGTTTCTAGAGAGTATGCGGCAGTTGGAAGAAATACCGTACGCGATGGAGCTAATTCTTTGTTGCAGTGCCTGTGAACCTCAAAGATCAAGATGCCTTTCATCTGACGATCGAGGAGTACCTGCTCGCATTGATAAATCTCGTTGAGGAGTTGGTAGGCATCCCTTAGCTCATGTCTAAGGATCTCCAGGACGATCTATACTCTTTACAACAGTGCCCCAGTGATGTTGGAGTTGGTACTTTGCTTACGACTCATTACCATGTCTAGACTCGTCTCGCCGTCAACTCCGTCACCTTGGGCGATTACTCTCGTCCTCTTAAGATCAGCGCTTTTGTTTCCGAAATCCTCGCCGGCTTCCAGCTTCTTAACCTTAAGAATGATATTCTCCGTAAAAAGAGTGATGGAATCAAATATAGCGTATGCTCCCAAGCCTACCACGTATGTTTCGCCGATTCTAACTATAATTCAACTTGTAGGTCAAGAAAATTGAGGATGTTGTTTATGATTTGTCGCTGCGGAACCTGATACCAAAAACTAGCGAGTCGTCTTAGCCTTCATCATGAAGCACTGATTTGCGGACAAAGTCATGGTGACCTTGCTGCATACATTATGCTAGTACTGGTATCGGATGACTAAAAATAGGCGGACCTCATTTTCCCAGTGTGAGCTCCAGAGGTGATTGTTGTCTGTGATGGCCGTAACTCGGTCCAAGGTATGTAGCCGATATGAGACGAGCGAAGAAAATAAAGTAATACGGCAAATTTCTTATCAGCACATGAGTATCATAACACACTGTAAAAAGCAGGAGACGCGAAATGGGGGCTAGCGCCATTGTAAGATACAGTAGACCAATGTTGAGCGTTATTCTTCGACTACCTTTACAACGACGACGTCTTACCAGTCTTTTCTGCCTTTTCAATCTCCTTCACGATCTGGCCCTCCAAGGACTCTGGCTTCGTGGTACTAGCCCATCTCCCAACAACCTTTCCGTCCGCACTTATCAAAAACTTCTCAAAATTCCACTTCACGCGTTTGAGCCCCATCAGCCCTGGCATCTCCTTCTTCATCCAGTCAAACACCGGCGATGCCCTATCGCCATTGACATCAACTTTGCCCAAGACGGGAAACGTCACTCCGTAGTTGGTCTGGCAGAAAGTCTGAATTTCATCGTTGGTTCCAGGATCCTGAGAGCCGAACTGGTTGCAAGGAAAACCAAGGACGGTGAATTTATCTGGGTGCGCAGCGGTGATCTTTTGATGAAGTGCTTCTAGGGATTTGAATTGTGGAGTGAATCCGCATTTCGAGGCGGTGTTGACGACGAGGACGACTTTGCCTTGGAGGGAGGAGAGGGTGAAAGGTTCGCCTTTCTCTATTGCAGGGTTAATCATAGTTAGCTAAGCTGCGCGTTGTCGATTCTTGTTTGCCTCCATCGGGGGAATTTAAACCTACTGTCGGGGGTTTCAAAATCGTAGAAAGTCGTTGCTGATGTCATGTTTGTGGCGCTGAATCTGCGGAGACCACTCGTAATCAACGATGAATACGCAATTCTTCGAGAGTATAATTGACTTTGACTCTTCTGGTAAGCGAAAGGATATCAAAAATGAGAAAAAAGGTGTCCGGTGTAATGAATGGGTTGGACTTGAGAGGGAACTGCGTATATATGGTGCCTGTCCAAGCTGGTGGCGGGGCCTCGGGATTACGATATCCAGAAGGTTATTCAGCAAGGGCGAAGCAGTGAAGGGAAAGCTTACAACATGACTAGATCAAACCGCCAAACTCACTGACTAAAGGGATTCCAGACCGTTGCCTATCATAAAGCTCGAAATTCTACTCCGTACAACTTCTCAGCGCGACGGAGACAATTGACGTTTGGGATGAGCCCCAGCCCATGACGTAGTCAGCCATCACGAACACGAACACGGCGTATTCTCTCCCTGATGCCTTTTTGAATGTTCTCTGGAAGTAGGTAAACAAATCTTTTGTCTCTCTGGAGCACCAAAGTTATCACATTCGATGCGGTAAATTAACCAGTCAACTAAATGCTCCCTCCGCACGTACGGAGTAGTTACTGAAGTAGAAACAACACAGCACCTCTTAAATGGCTCGGCCATACACTTCGTTCACCTCACAAATAGCTAATTAGCAGCTCAAGGACTTGTCCAACTCATTTTTCTAGATGTTGATGAATGCTTCGACGTTCAGTAAGATCGGTAACAAGGTATGCCATTTCTTGCAGGTTGCAGCGGCCGGTGAAAAGGATATACACGCTAGTGCCAAGCGTCAAGGGAAATTTGTACCAATCGTGCTATAACCAATAGCACGAGGTCGAGTCAATATTGGAAACAATCCGATCTCAAATATGCCATAGAGGCCCTCATCTGCTCGTGATGTTCGGAGCACTTCTTTGCATTCCAGATGATTGTTGATGGCTGGCTGCACGGATGCTCAAGGTCCATGCCCTAAGCCCTAACAAGTCGGAACGCCAAGAATCCCACCCTTCACCCACCAAAATAGCCTCGTGCTTCAAATTATCTCTGGACAAGCGCTCATTGAAAAGCTCAGTCGCCCACTTCCCTCTCGCCCGCAGGATATTCACCTCTTTGCGGATTTTTTTCAAGTCAAAAAGGAATTCTTATTCCCCTTCGTCGTCGTCGCAATGGCTCCCGCAACCGTATGTCTCTCCGCCGAAAACCGCTTTGCTGTTCCGCCTTGAATATATCTTGTCTCCTGCGGCCTGACCGTCGCGGAGAAATCGAGAATATCATGGCATTTTCGTCTTTGGCATCTAGGAGCAGTAGGCTAACGACTATATTTCCCCCATACTCAACAGGCCCGCAAGCAACAGAAGGTCACGAAGAAGGTACGTCGTACTCTAGCCTAACATAAAAGAAAAAAAAATGAAAAGAAAGAGAAGAGGGAGACTTACAAATTTCTTCTAGTATGTGATCAATTGCTCTCAACCCGCCAATGACAAGATCTTCGACGTTGCCGCTTTCGAAAAGTTCCTTCACGACAGAATCAAGGTCGAGGGCCGCGTTGGCAACTTGGGTGACTCCGTGCAGATCTCCCGCTCCGGTGACGGAAAGATCGAAGTTGTCACTCACATTCCTTTCTCCGGTCGCTACCTCAAGTATTTGTACGTCATGATTTTTCTCCAGACTGCCAGAGGCGAGAACTGAGGACTAATGCTGTTTTGTTTTTGTCATGTAGGACCAAAAAGTTCTTGAAGAAGCAGCAGCTCCGTGACTGGCTTCGCGTCGTTTCTACCACCAAGGGTGTCTACGAGCTCCGCTTCTATAACATCGTTAACGACGAGGCTGAAGAGGATGAGGACTAAATTCCTCGAGGTACTGGATAAGTTTTGAGTTAATAAAGCGGCACTTTGCTCCGGTTTCGAATGTACGGGAGGATCATGCTTTACATGAATATGGGGTTCTTTTTATTGTTTGAAACACGACGATACCAGAGCTTCTAACTCGCCTATTGTAAGAAACCGGTAGTGAAGAATATTTTGTCCCTTTAATGGCTCAATAAATTTGATCTCCAGATCCATTCTTTAATCTAAGGTCCCAGACTTCATGATTATACGGAGTAGTCTTCTGGACTTCATTACTCCTTAAGACTTATCATCATCATCACCAATCGTTCTTTTCGTTCCCGCACCAGCCCCTAGCACCCCGAGTCCCGTACTAAAAGGTTTGATGTTGGTCTTGGTGGGCTGAGGCTCAATCAATTTGCCGCCTTTGATCATCCATCCCAGCGGTTTTAACCTCGTCCATGTCTCCCGTACCTTCACCCTAACTAGATCTCCCGTGGCTTTCGCATCTTCCATGGAGTCATGGCCCTGGGCTGCCCCCTCCTGTCTGGATTTGTCGATCCAGATACTTCTTCGCCAGTGCCCGAAGGCCGAATCGAAACGGTAAACCTCCCGGGTGTGGGTATAATAGCACGGTATCAACGATCGTTGGATGAATCATGCGACAAGCATTCAGATCATTGTCAATGGCGTGGCCAATTATGGGGGTTTCGGGCTGCAGATGTTCGAACAACAGAGCACGCGCAGCAGCCGGCGACTCAACGATGGGTAGTACGGTGGGATCAGGTGGAGATGTGCTGTTTGACGAAGCGAGCACCTGATCGGGTTTGTAGGGGATGGCATTTGCAAAGTGTTCGGGACGCACGCCCGAATACCGGGAATTGAGATCCAATATCTCTCCCATTGGTCGAACGAGAACGTCAACCAGTTTCTTCCGCTCCGGCCATGTGATTGCTGTTAATCGGATGAGCTCTAGTCCTAAAGTTGTATATCCCATTTCGCAGTCGAAGCATACGGGTGGCAGAGCGCCCTTCTCGGGCTGACGCGGAGTCTTTTCAAATTGCAAGATTGCAGCCAACCTCTTTACCTCCGTCACCTTGTAGACGTGCGATTCGGCCTTCGTGCATCCAGTGGAAGTACCAACGGTCTCGTTGCAACATGGGAAGTATGCTTCCGTCTGGCCCACAATATGATCAGTTTTCTTCCTGGGCGGGCGGATAAGTCTCGCGTGATGATATGTGCATGGCCCTCCTGAGGCCAAAAGGCCATCCTCTCGGCGGCCGGGGAAGACCTGGAACCTCCCATTGCAACGGTCACATTGCTCCCAGCCTTGTGCCATGAGACTTCCCGTAGTTGCGTTTTCGATATCTTCCTTCGAAGGAGCTTCGGTGATATAACCGGCCTTGACCTGTGCTTCAGCCGAAGCAAAGAATTTGGAGAGCATTGCAATTTCTCCTTGTACGTCCAACCCAGTTACTATGGGCTGCTCCGGATCTTTCACGGGTTGGGACTGTGTGCACTTGGGCCGTAAATAATTTAGTACATCTTCTTTCCACTCACTCAACTTCATCTTCTTGAGCCTTGTAATGCGAAGTTTGATGACATTAGAGTAAACGGAAGGTGTCTCCTTCGCAGCCTTTTCCTCTTCATCTAGCGCCCTAACTATGAGTTCATCTTCAGACAAAATAAGGGCCCTCTTAGCTTGCTCGTTTAGAGCGACAAGCTGAGCGTTCAGTCTAACCATCTCTTCATGTAGTTTTGTGAGTATAGCGGAGCGTATCGAGTGTGATACGGGAGGTTTCGACAGGTGTCGGGGATTCAACGTCTCCTTTTTCACCTGTCTACGCAGTGTGGAAATGGAGGCGACAGTGGAATCCGTCGCTCCCTCTCCGGGCGGACGCCTTTTGGTTTCCTGTTTAAACTCTGGGGAGATTGAACGGTGAATAAGGGGAGGAGAAACGGCTTTTGACGCAGATTTTAGACCTTGATTTCCATTTGACGAGACTTGATGCTCGGTAACGGGGCCACTAGAGCGCGGAGTATTATTGCTTTTGTTGTGCTTGTGGCGCTCAGCCTTGTCTCGAGATTGCGATTCATTGCAATCGGCATCAATGCGTCTTCTCTTTAGCAAAGGCTCTTCATTCAGGTTCGCGATATTTGCACCGGTAGTGACAGGCGCATCCTTTGATTCAGTTTTTGTTATACTGAGAGTATCTTTGTCGCTGTGGGCGAACATGCAATTCAAAAGCTTGCACCCTATCCCTTCAGGACAAGGAATTTCCTTGAAGAGACCGGCCGGATTAAACATGTGGGCCTTTATGCTATAGAGATCCCATGAAAACAGGTAGGTTAAAAAAGGCTTTGCTGGAGTTTTCACATCAAGCAGCCGTCAAACCCTGGTAAAAAGGACGAGATAATGATTTTAGGTAAACGGGAGAACCGGAATGCCTAAATCCAAGACAAGATACGGTGTCTGATTTCAGTCTTCCATCCTGCAATCAATACTCTCGTGTCGCGCCGGGCCACAGAATACAATCCGGTTACCCGCGTGCCAATTACACCTGCAGTTATGGATGCAGTGGTAATAAATCTCCGTTCATTGGGGTCTGGTGTATACGGCGCATGAGAGACCCGCGACAATACCACAGAGACGACAGGGCCCAGCGCAATAATCGACTTGTAAAGAAACGGGGTTGCCCAAAGCTCAAAACTTCTCTCAGTTCAGCTTGAGGTCGAATCTGATGTAGGCCCAGCCTATAATAATGGAAACATGTCAGCAGTTGAGCTCTATGGAGTTAGACCGTTGAGTGAAGGCGAGAAGCCTCATCACAGCATAGACTCAGATCTGAGCTTCAAAAAACATTTAATTATCTGATAATTAAAAGAAACACTCACCAGCAGACTGTGGAAATGAGAGTGATAGCTATCTATGCCTGGGTTATTTTTGATGATTTTCTTCAGTGAGCAAGATCAAAGCATGAACTGAGCCCTGGAGCGACCAAGCCGGCTCACGAGCAAACATCACAAACAGGGCAAACAGCAGGAGTGTTTGCACCCCGGACTTACGAATATCCGTCGGCGCTGGTTCCCCACCGAAACGCCAAAGCTGGCAAAGTGCCGGCCGGAGTGCCTGCTTTTCGCGGCGATTCTTTTGTCATACGCACCCCGCCCGGCCCCACCACCGCGATTTTTGGGAGGTTTGAGCCAACTTGTCTTGAAACCCAACAAGTCTTTGCTGCTGTCACACCCCTCCACAGCCCTTTTTATATCCCAATTGATCTCCCCTTGATCTCTCTGGCATTCATCTTTCAGTGCTCCCCCATCGAATTCGTTTGCCCGACCATTCCGGCAAATCTACCTCGCACTGACTGAAGATACATCTGCACATTTCCACCACCATGGGATATACAGCTTTGGACCAATTGGCGATCAACACCATTCGGGTGCTTGCTGTAAGTGATTTGATCCCTCTTGTGTCCGCTTCATATGATTCTACTCGACGATGGCAGCCGTTGTGATCGCATTTCGCGTTCGTGTCGCTGCTTGACGTCGGCGTTTGCGGCCAGAGCGGGGTGTGCTTGGAGTCAGGGCCTACCCTGGTTATGGTGACTCTTAGCACCACGCTCTTTGCGTCCAAGTGGAATTACTCGTTTTTCAAGTCAAACCGTATTGTTGAGTTCGATGGCGTTTTAATTCAATTCTAACGTTTTTAATCGATATGTAGGTCGATGCCACATCCAAAGCTAACTCGGGGCATCCGGGTGCCCCCATGGGCCTGGCGCCTACAGCCCACGTCCTTTTCAACAAGTTTATGAGCTTTAACCCTAAAAACCCCAAGTGGATCAACAGAGACCGATTTGTCCTTTCGTACGTGCATCCAATCTGCTCCGTGCCATATGTAACCCCATGGAATTGCTGCAAGCCCATGGAGTTATTGTTTCGTTGTTGGGTAGTTAAGTACGCTAGCTAACAACGCCGAATCCAGGAATGGGCACGGCTGCATGTTACAATATGCTCTTCTGCATTTGTTTGGCTATGCAGTCTCTCTTGATGATCTAAAGAACTTTAGGGTTGGTTCAACTCTTCTCATGGTGCTAAGTCGGCCAGATCCCTGCTCTAACTTCATTGTAGCAAATTGACAGCATCACGCCTGGGCATCCCGAATCTCACGACACTCCGGGAGTTGAAGTGACTACTGGACCTCTTGGCCAAGGATTTGCAAACGCAGTTGGCCTTGCCATCGCTCAAAAGCACACTGCTGCCGTATTCAACAAGCCCGGATACGATCTCGTCAATAATCATACCTATTGCATTTTCGGCGATGGTTGTGCCATGGAAGGAGTTGCCAGCGAAGCCGCTAGTCAGGCTGGACATCTTCAACTTGGCAACTTGATATGTTTATACGACGACAACCACATCTCCATCGGTAGGCCGCGAAGCCATTATCCACTTCATAAATTATCGTTCTAACTTCGACTTTAGATGGTGACACCAAACTTGCATTCACCGAAGATGTTATGAAACGGTTCGAGTCATACGGTTGGCATACTTTACACGTCAAGGATGGTGATCATGATCTCGAGGGTATCGAGGCTGCTATCCGGGAAGCTAAGAAGGTTACCGACAAACCAAGTGTGATTAAAATTACAACTACAATTGGATTCGGCTCTAAACTCCAGGGAACCGGCGGTGTGCACGGCAATCCTCTCAAGGCTGATGATGCCCAAAACGTTAAGAAGATTTTCGGCTTCAATCCTGAGCAGAGCTTTGTTGTCCCGCAGGAAGTATATGATCTTTACCACAAGCATTCTGCCGAAGGTGCTGCTAGGGAACAAGAGTGGAACAATCTCTTCCAGAAGTACAAATCAGAGTACCCTGAGCAGTATGCCGATTTCAGCCGCCGGCTCACTGGGAATCTTCCAGAAGGTTGGGAGAAGAATTTGCCTACCTATAAGCCATCCGATCCACCGGTCGCCTCCCGTAAACTTTCCGAGGCCGTACTTGAGAAGATTCATGACGCCATTCCCGAATTTGTATCTGGTTCAGCCGATTTAACTGGATCCAACAACACTAGATGGAAGAACGCAACAGATTTCCAGCCCCCTAATCTTGGAATTGGTGATTGGACTGGGCGGTATTTCCGCTATGGCGTTCGTGAACATGGTATGGCTGCTATCATGAACGGTATGGCCGCATACGGTACTTTAATTCCGGCTTCTGGTACCTTTTTGAACTTCGTCTCTTACGCGGCTGGAGCTGTGCGACTTTCTTCACTATCTCAAGTGCGAGTCATTTACGTTGCCACTCATGATTCTATTGGCTTGGGAGAAGATGGTCCTACCCATCAACCTATCGAGACCCTTGCACATTTCCGTGCTTTGCCAAACATGATGGTTTGGCGCCCAGCTGATGGAAATGAGACAAGCGCCGCCTATTACTCTGCTTTGACCTCCAAGTCAACCCCTAGCATCCTCGCTTTAACCCGCCAAAACCTTCCTCATCTCGAGGGATCCAGCATTCAAAAAGCTCTCAGGGGAGGATATATGGCCCTTGAGGCTGAAAACGCAGATATTACCATTGTGAGCACAGGTTCTGAAGTCAGTCTCTGCATTGATGCCGCCAAATACCTAAAAGAGAAGCACGGTGTCACCGCTCGCGTAGTGTCGCTCCCGTGCTTCGAGATTTTCGATGCTCAACCAAAGGAATACCGACTTCAGGTTCTCCCCGATGGGATTCCTTCCCTTAGCGTTGAAGTTATGTCCACAATGGGTTGGGAACGATACTCCCATGAGCAATTTGGCCTGAATCGATTCGGCATGTCTGGTCCGTACAAGGAGGTCTACAAGGTATGTTTTTTCCACGATCAAAGCACTTTTTGTTATCTATAAGCTTTCTGAACTGACAATTGCTTGATGTATAGAAATTTGAGTTTACTCCCGAGGGTATCAGCAAGCGTGCTGTCGCAACCATTGACTTTTACAAAGGCCACAAGGTCCGCTCGCCAATAAATCGTGCCTTTCAGCAAATTATTTAGATTTGATGCTCCATTGAGTAGAGATGGGTTCCTTCTAGATAACTAGCTTGTTTTAGATATGAGGAATAAAATATCTTTGTACATGATATCAGAATTGCTCGGTTTCTGCTTTGCTTCATTGAAGGGCCCAAATTAAAGATATTAGTTATGGTTAGGATCACCGAAACCAACAGTCATCACCCTTATCTGTCAATCGATTCCATGGTAATTGGGGGTACTCTACTTTATGTCTTGGGTAGGAGTGGTTGATCTGGATTATTTACTCTGTATTCCGTACTCCATAGGTACCGCCATCAACAAGACTGGGTTAGCTCCAAAATAAACAACTTGCTCTGTTGTTAATTAGTTAACTAGTTAGTTAAGTTAATAATTAGCTGGTTAACTAACTAGTTAACTAGTTAACAACGTGCGGAGGACTCCTTACCTCAACCTCGAAACTGAACTTCGATTGTTTGGTTTGAGCTGGCCATGGCCCTCAAGGACTCCCTTCCAATCTCTCGCGGTCGAGAGATAACCTTCGAAGAAGCAATTGAGGCAGAGGAGAATATGCTCCATCAGCTTGAAATACCCAATCATCGTGCCAAGTTCCTCGACTCTGTCTACAAAAGGCGAAGGGAGATCCAAGATATTGCTGCCCATCATCTCGGTATATCTAACCCAAGAGACATAGCCATTGGATACCGCGAGGGTTGGATACATGGAAGCTTCAACCTTTGTCTTCCCGTTGTAGTTGATAGGTGGGAGAAGCAATCGAGGAAGATCTTTGTGTTCCGTGTGCCTCTTCCTTATAAATGCGGAGAGTTGCATTTTCCTGGTAATGCGGAAGAGAAAGTTCGGAACGAGGTCTCGACATATATCTGGATGCAAGAAAACTGCCCTGAAGTTCCAATTCCACAATTATGGGGTTTCGGATTCGGAGATGGGCACACGGTAAGTGATTCGTCTACGAAATGAGCACACAGAGGCTGATATCAAGTCGTATATGTAGTTCACCACTCCAAAGACATCGCCTATTTTGCCGTGGCTCTTTCAAGCTATATCCCGTATTGTTCGAAAATATTTGGGTTATCCCGCTCCCTCTGCTTATGTCCGGCGCAAACGGCGGTGCAGATTCGACCATGGATACATGCTATTGGATCACATCAGTGAAAATGAAGGGAAGATGCTATCGTCCTCTTGGTCAGAGTCGCATGGTGATGACACCAAGAGGAGAACGCTCTTCCGCGACATATCACGAATCATGCTCTCAATGGCCCGTGTCCCAATGGCACGAATTGGTTCCTTCACTATAGACAACCGTGGATTTATCACATTGACTAATCGACCATTAACTTGCCGGTTACATGTATTGGAAGCCGAAGGGATCCCTACTAACATCGGTCGAAGACAGACCTATTCGATGGTGGGGCCTTACATCCAGGATCTGTTAGATTATCATAATAGTCGGATATACCATCAGCCAAACTCAATTCTGGACGAAGATGATGGTTATAACCAGATGGCGGCGCTTTCTTTGATGCAATCGGTCTCTCGCCATTTTTTCCAACGCAAATACCGCCAAGGACCATTCTTTTTCACACTCACGGACTGTCATCAAAGCAACATTTTTGTTGATGAAAATTGGAATATAAGGTACCTCATTGATTTGGAATGGGCATGCTCTCTGCCTGTTGAATGCTTTCATCCTCCATGGTGGCTGAGCGGCGATCGAGGAGTTGACGAAATTGTCGATGATGCACTCCACCGGTTTGCTGAAAGACACAAAGAATTTATGCAAGTATTCGAGGAAGAAGCTTTGGCTAAATATGGAAGCTGGGAAAACCGCGGCAAGGACAATGATGTGTATCTCGGCCTATCTTCCATAATGAAGCAAAGTATTGAAGTCGGAAACATCTTTTACTGCTACGCTCTGGAGTCAACCAAAGGAATGTATAATATATTCCTTCAACACATCAACTCAAGGTTCTCAAAAGACCCACAGTCACTACCAAAGGAGGCTGATTTAGACGATGTCGGCTGGCTTTATCTAAGTCGTGCGGTGGCGCCTTACTGGGATCCCAAAGCCCATCAAATCCTAGCCGCGAAATTAGACGAAAAGAAGGTGTATGAGAAACAAATACGGGTTCTTTTTGAGGAAGCAGACCTTCCCTCTCGTGATGGGCCTCCCTTATCTGTTGCTACCGCAGGGAATGATGATAACGTTGAAAACCGTAACAGAAGCGATGTGTCTTAAGATTGTTGCCCTTGGTAAACTGCAAAATATTCATTGCAGATGTTTTGACAGCTTCACATTTTCTCAGACTGTTTGTTCTTCCCTTCTTGTTCAACTCCTTGCGCCCCTTTCAGTTGCGGTTTAGCGTATGTTTAGTTGATCTTCGAACGTCCTTCACTTACTTGTAGCATTGTGTTCTTCACGCGCTATACCTATATCGATCTTGCCATATTCCGTCTGTGTTGGTTTCGCCGGCATCGCACTGTACGCTGATGTCTCTGGCTTAGGATGCTTTTTACCACGCGACCTCGTTGCTTGTGCCGTTCGGGCGGACGAAGACAGTTGTTGAATCGTTTTTTCGTCTACTCCCACTATCGCGACAGAGGCATTGTTGACGTTGGAATCGTCGCCTGAGTACTCATCTACCAGGCTGTGGTTAGACTGAGGCCGAGAATTTGCGCTCGTCATTATGCCGACTTGTAAACACTGGGTAGGTGTGAAAGAATTTTAGATCGCTTACAATGATTTAAACACACTAGTTAAGTTACTTCATCTATGTCCTTTTCATATGGAGTTTTGAGGGGGAGAAATGCAAAGAGTTGGGCAGCGAAGAGAGGGGCAATATGCATTGGGGCCAAAGCGTGTCACCGCCCATCTGGAACAAGACGATGAGACTTGTTCTCGTCAAGCTGGCGAAGACAGCTTGTGCTTGTATTTGCATGTCGGAGCTTCTCTTTTCTTCTGGAATCGTTCTTGGGCCTCACAGCCTGAACCACTCCAGTTTTCCATCATCGACTCTTCGAGCTTTGGGTACACTCTCTGGACCGGCTGCTATTTGGCCTTCCGGAGATAAGCGCAGTTGATGTTTCGCAGGCATGGATGTTGATCTTGGCTTGGGAACAAGCTATTTCAAGGGCCAGATCTGATGACTGCCCATATCACTTCCTCATCGTTCTGTCAACACCATGGCGATTTGGCTATTCTTGCCCGTCATGCAAGGGTTCAACGCCGATGATCCCAAGGAAATCCACCCATGAGGACCTTGGAGATGGATTCTTTGGCCGTATGGCTTCAGCGAGCATTTTCTTCCTACTACTCTCCGTGGATACCGATCCATCTCAGAGAGTCTTCTACAAAAATGTCTAATCAAATATCATCTCCTGATTCCCCATAAAACGCCGGCAAAGTCAAGCAGGCCTTGTTTTTGATTAAATTATGAGGGGAAGTCGATCTTGCAGGCCATCCTTGCCTTCGGCCCATATGGGATTGCAACCCTACTGGGACCTCCGAATTAAATTCACCCTGCCGGAGCGGGTAGACACGTCGATGTTCTCGGTGAACCCACTTCGGCTCGCAAACAGCGATGGATCTATCGCCGACTAATGGCTCCTCAGGCGACCTGTTACCACCATGGTAACCGTCATGTGCTGGTATATAAGACAATGCGAAAGCCGAGCATCAACGAGGAAATACCTTGGATCCAAGGGTGCTTCTCATAAGTGTTATTATACCCCCTTTTCCAGAGATCGTGCTTGACACACGATTCTGTGCTTTCGCCATGCCCGCCATATTATTCAGAGCTTCGGCTGTCGCTTTTGCGGCGTTGATCGCTTGCACCGATGCCAGCAAATTGCTTGGGTTTGAAAACAAGAGAAATATTATACCCAACTCTTATATCGTGGCATTGAAAGAGGATGTCCCGGAGCATGATTTCGACGCTCATATGGCATGGGTATCCAATGTCCATTCTGCCAGTGTGGCTGCCGCCGGGAGTGCTTCAACGTCTGGGGTGAAGTTTACATTCAAAATCAACGGCTGGAAGGGATACAGCGGAAGCTTTGATGACAATACCTTAAATGAGCTCCTTGCTAATGAAAATGTGAGAGTATATTGACTCGCCAGTCGAGATATCCTGCTAACGGCAACTCCCAGGTCGACTATATCGAACCAGACCGCCTGTCTCGAATAGCATCCGTTGAATCACAGGCTTTAGTAACTCAGAGAAATGCTCCAACCTGGGGCCTCGGGCGAATTTCCCACAAGCAACGAGGGAGCCGCGACTACGTCTATGACGACTCTGCTGGAGAAGGCGTTGTGGTGTACAGCATCGACACGGGAATTGATATCACGCACCCGGACTTCGAGGGCCGTGCCTTTTGGGGAATCAACACTGTGGACAATATTGACAGAGACGGACATGGACACGGAACCCATACCTCCAGCACCATCGCCGGAAAAACTTATGGTGTCGCCAAAAAGGCCAAGATCTTTGCGGCCAAGGTCTACGATTCTCGAGGCATAGGCCCTGACAGCGCAACACTAAAGGCAATTGAGTGGGCAATCGACCATGCCCAAAAGAACAACCACACTGGTAAGGCAGCTATGAACTTGAGTCTTGTCACCGACAGTCCCAGAGCTGTCAACGCGGTATGCACAAGAGCCGTAGAGGCCGGAATCTTCGTCGCTGTTGCAGCAGGGAATGACAATGTGAGTGTTTCAGGGAGCCTACCACTCTATGGGGTGACATATTCGGTCTGACTTACGTGAAACACAGAGGGCCGTCACCAACGAATCCCCAGCTTCGGCGGACAAGGTTTGCACTGCCGGTGCCACGGCGGAAAGTGATAGCAAAGCTAGTTTCTCAAACTACGGACGCCTCGGTAAGCCAGCTAGAACTTGAGAACAATGGGAAGCAATCAAGCATTGCTAACGAAGAGATTCTGAAGTTGCCCTCTATGCCCCTGGTCAATCCATCCGGGCCGCCGTGCCGGGCAACCGCTCAGGCATTAAATCTGGCACATCGATGGCCGCTCCTCATGTTTGTGGTGTGGGTGCAGCTCTCATGTCGCTTGAAAACATCCGCCCCCAGGATGTCTGCAATCGTCTAAAGGCACTTGCACATCCGTCGGTTAGAAATCCCGGCCCCAACACCACCAACAAGCTCCTCTATAACAACAGTGGTCGTTAATGGAACAATGGCCGCTCACCAAGCCCGTGTTTCCCCATGGAACTTATTCATACTCGATCTTTGCATGTATGTATGTACATACAAACAAACATCTGCTTTTGCACTAAGCCTACGAGTATGATTCCCTGGCCTTGACACCATAGGGTCAGATATATATCAAACCAAACAAAAAAATTATGATGTAAACTTTTTTGCTCTCCATTTGTCCTTTTGTTAAATCGCGGCTTCCATGAGAATTCCCTGGACGGGACGGTTGGGGCATGATACCGAAGGCCATGCCCGTCTCCAAGCTCAGATATCCTTGCATGTCGCATGTTGTTAGTTGCTTGACTGGAGTTTGCTTTCTACCTTGCTCCCAATTCAAGAGCTTACATACGATCTGATTTGTCAACGTACCAACATATGCGCAAAGTGTTCGCTTCGTCGTATCCCGTCGTGTCTCGTTCAAGCCACTGCTCACCACAGTCCCGAGAGCTTGGAGAGTTACGAAATTCAACCCGATTTTGTAGCCATAAATTATCTGTCCATCCTTGTTCAGATATTGAAGTGCCGCTCTCTCATCGAATGCATCTAGACCCGCCAACATGACCCAACTATTTTTAATACAAAATGCACCCTTCGACTTTATTTTTAGAAATTGCGGCTCCTTTAACCTTGGATTTCAAAACTAGTCATGCAGACGTTGGGGTAGGTTGCATTGACCGTTTGTTGACACGAGATATTCTCGTTTTCCTTTTCAAGCAGAAAATCCATAAAGTCACGATACCCGATTTTGTCGTGCGCTGTATCATAGCGTGAATACTCGGATCCGCTGGGAGAATTACATCCGGCAACTGAATCCAGGCCGCCATTTAGAGGGCTCATTGGAGTCCGATCTGAAGAATCAAATAACGACTGATGGAAATCAATGAGTATTCCTCTGTTCATCGGACAATTTCACTCCCAGGCCAAAGCTTCATGAGTGAAATCCTAGTAATGAAGTGCATGCGGGCTCAAAGCCTAGCCAGAACGGCAATCTCCAGCTGGCCATCGTATAGCCTTCTGGCCTGAGCAGTCCCCGCTCGCTTCTCTGCTATGCTGACATCCTGCAACATAGACCGGGAAGCTCGATATCAACAACACGGGAGAGTGTGTATGATGCCGATGAAAACAACGGCAATGGGGAGGGCAGATGCAGTGGAAAGCGCTTTTTCTGAGCCGCTGACAAGGAGGCAAGCCCGGGTTCCCTCTCTAACCAGGGCTACGCGACCTTTCTTTGAAGTGCCAACCCGACATGGATCTGATTGATAGTTAATGCATTCGGTTTAGTCATCGCGCCATTCACTCTTTTCCCCAAACCGGCTAATTTCATCCGTAACTGTATGGACTAGACCGATTGTTCTTAATCCAGTCCGAGAAAATAATACACTTCACTCAGCGCAGCCTTGACGATTTGCTAATCAGGTAGTTGGGTTAATTTCAATACTCTCTGGCATGTCATCAACTTCTTTTAAAAATCGCATTCCATCGTTGTCTCTTGCGTATCTCACCACCATGCACATACGATGCGATAGAGAGGAGGATATGTCATGGATACGATGAGGCTCTTCTTCTCCCCACTTTTCGAGGCTTAACGCTGAACAAGAGCTTCGACAGTGTTCTCTCGACGCAAAATACGAACGGCTACAACGTCAAGGAATTCCAAACTAGCGGAGCGTGGTTCTGTACGAACAATTGAAGGCCAATCGTAGCGGCCTTCGTGAAGGCGCATGGGGGTTGCCAGGAGGAATCTTGCACAAGAAGTCATGTAAACATGGTTTCGATGCAACCAGTGATAGTACAATACGAGACTGTGGTCATGAGGATGACCTTCAACTCTTTGTTGTTGGCTTTGGAGCAAAGTAGAGGCAAGGGACGGAAGGGACTGAATATATAAAGGTCCATCATGCCCTGTCTCTTGTCAGTCAGATCCCAAGCCTAAACCGAGAAACAAAGACATCACCAAAGAGATTCTTCCTGGTTCGTCTACTGAAGTTTCATTTTGTCCTTGCTGGTGGCATCCACGAGCTAACTCCCTTCCAGATATAATCCTCATACCCACAGCCAGAATGAAGTTTACGTCTTTCGCCGTGTACGCCAGTATCCTGGCCCTCGTCGTCGCGAACCCGGCTCCCATGCCCGAGGGAGATGGAGAGGTTGAGATTGCAGCTTGCCAGAAAAACGGCTGTTCGTGCCAGAAGGGGACCAAGCAAGGACAATATTGTGGCTGGCAATGGGAGGTGAAGAAACTCGGTCGAGGGGGGCATACCACCCATATCTATGAGTGCAACAAGAGCGGCGGGTGTTGCCATTACGGATGGTCATCGGAATGTTAGACTCGCAAGCACTCATGCCAGACCGGACTGGCTACTCGCATTCTTCGAGACGGGCCAATTGGCCCGTTCGCTCCTTTGACACATTAGCTCCGAGGCCTCTTGAGAGCAGGGAGAGTGGTGAATTACTGCAGATTATTTGAATTGAAGTTAAATCCATGGATGCAACTCCATCTCTCCCTCTCCCCGTAGATGTATGTGTCTGCAAGCCATCGTGCGCACCCCGGATTTTCGGCCCGGAACAACCAATGGCCCGCAGCCAGCTCGAAATGTCGCCGTTCAAGCTACTATCATCAACGCATTAACTCGCCCGTCATGTCCTGCTTGCCATTGATCCGATGTAGCGCGACTGCTGTCACCCCCATGGAACGGCAGGGGACTCCTGGTAGGCATGCTCTCGACAGCCACCTGCATCGACATCCTTCTCAAGCGAAGCATCCAACGACACAACCACTGGTCAGAGGGAGTTGGGCTTTATCTGGGCATTGGCAATCCGACCTCAGCACCCCAAGGCCTGCATGGTGCAGTCGCAGCCATCTCTTGCCTCGACTGTCCCCCCTTGGCCAACATATAATTGCCCAATATCTCACCAGACGTTAGCCTGCTCGAGGACGAATGGGATCTGGACAGAGGAACAGTTCTCCCACAAACAGCGCAAACAACGCTTCCGTTGCTGCCACCCAACACATGCGGCTGTTTCGGTGGCTGAACAAGATAGAATTCTCTGGGGACCCCGGCTTCTCCACTTCCGAATCCCATCTCGAGCTGTGGGCATTCATTGTTTCTCCGTTGCCCCATGCCCCTTCATCTTCCTCTCTCTAACTCGGTCGGTTTCCGGGAGCCTCTAGGATGACGGATCCACAGTGTGCGGCGCAGCACTGCAGGCATCCTCGAGAGGTTGCACTTCAGCGCTGACATTTGATAATGTGATAGGACAAGAGTGCTCCTCCAGCATGCCATAAAATCACGGTCCCCGAATCCTCAGTACCCCGCTTGGCTTTGAGGACTGTCTTCACGGTAATGTGGGGAAGACCCATGATTTTGCCATGTGCAGCACCGCTTTCAACTAATATCACTACAGTCGTCTGATAATAAAGGACACAAATAAAGCTAGCTGGCGTGATTTTCGGTTATTTCTAACAATTCCGAAGATATTCATGTTGGCACACAACGCTTTCGAAACCCGTGTCGATTGTTGGTAAATATACAACGCCTTGTGAGCGAGACTTCAATTTTTGTCCGCCTTTTTCAAATTGACCGCTTCCCAGGGAAGCTTTTGACCAATTGGTTTTGCAATCTTCCCGCTCAAGCGTGAACCGATTCGTTTATCCGCGGACTCGCTTTGATACTGCTGGCCAAGAAGGACCCTCCTCCGAATCATCAAACTCAAGTGGGACGGAGCTAAAATACCCTCCCAATCGGTCCCTGTAAGGCTGTGGATCAAGGCCCGCACATCTTAGGTCCATTCAGCGAGTCGCATTTTCAGGTACAAACTGAAGGCGACAAGATTTGGCATATGCTTCTTGAGAAACAGGTCTTATGCGGTGGTCGATTCAACAAGAATGAAAGTTGTCCCATTATTTGGGTAGCCTTTTGCGCAATGCAACTTCTGCCATCCCTGAGTCCCAACAGATGCCAACCCTGTCCAATGCGTCCTTCCTGCTGCTGCTTGCTGCCACGCACCGCCACTTCAGCGGCCACACTCGAGTGACGTCATTATGGACACCATGAGGCGAAGCTTGGCGCGGATGAGGCTTATCCGCCGAGTTGAGACTTCAAGATTGACACAGCCAATCGATGACGCCCGGCCCAGGATATTTCTCACATCCCGATGGCTTTTTGCTCCTGTATAAAGCAAGAGCAATTCGACCCTCATGCACAAAGTGGAGTGTTTGACGATCGGACGAAAACGCTCGGAATATTGTGTGGACAATGGACAGGGATGGGCCCGCCACAGACCACTAGATATGCAACATGCGTTACAGAAACAAGCATCAGTTTTGACGACGGACACAAACAACCAATCGTGTTCCTGGGTTTGCTCAGACGGGAGACAGGAGTGCGCATTGGTAGACGGGAAGTCAGAGCTGTCCAGCTATCTATCCACGGCGATTTCCTTTTTGCGTTCCCCCGCCCCCATCGTGTCCAATGCCGAGCAGCGAGAGCCCTGGTGGACGGAACATTCACTGAAGATCTCCGGCCCAATTGGAATCGTTGTGCCCCTGGGGTGCGAGGACAAGGTCGAATTTATCTCCATTGGTGGATGATGGAGCAAACAATGCGTACGGAGTATTCAGCACAGAACACAACAGGCTGACATACCGTACAGTCCGAAATACAGGCAGCACTTGGACCCATTTATGCTTTGTCCACTTTGGCTCAGGGCCCGCTTCGTCCCTGGAGACTCAAGAGGGCTAATGCTAGATCCACAGCGGAAATGCCACGCACGCGACGTCATAGAAACTTGCCGGGTTTCTACCGCGGCCAACCCTCAACCCTGGGTGAGAGGTTCAGGAATTCGTTGTCTTGTCGATTTAGCAATTGCGGCTAGTAGGGAAGTTGCTTTTGATCCAGTGTGCTCAAGCTCCTTCTGGGCGCCTCATGTAGGTGACAGCAGGGAGCCTTTCCCGCTTTAAGTCTCAACAACGAGACTTTGTTTCTGCATCGGTACATGGACATTCAGAATTTTTGGTATCGAATGATATTGCATTATTCGCTCCATCTGGCCCACATTGGCTTGGATCGGGTGGATCGTTTCACCAGTCTCCGTGGTTCACACACTCCTGCCTGCATCATCAAGCATGGTGGACTTGAGATGAAGTCAGTGGATACCTGCAAATAATAGTAATGGATGGAGATGATTTGTATGATTACCTTAGCATACTTGCCCCCGTTCGAAGGTTCGACTTCCCCCAGGTCTGCGGCTATTCCGGTATTAGAGGAGCCTATATAAACGCTCGTTTCGCCCCGTAGTGCGTCACTCTGATTGTTTTCAAGAACTTTTGCCTTGCTCTCAAGTCCTATAGATACCCATTGGCACAAACCCCCGTATTCGCATCACAAAACGAAATCCTGGTGATTTGGGCCTCTCAGTCGACTGGTTTCGGCTAATATCTCGAAGAATTCCATCGACCTTCTCCTGCTGAATAAGGATTTAGATACCCTCGCCACATACTTCTTGAGCATATATATGTTCAGGAACGACTCTCAGTCTTTGGATTTCTCAACCTTTGGAAAGCACGTTCAGATATCGACAACATGACGACTACCGATTACAGATCCCATTCGACGTCGGGCGGCCACGTCCGCCGTCTTTCGAATGTCGAAGTTTCGCGGTCAGACCTCATTGGCGGGCCCAATGTTATCGTGCCTCCGAAGCATCTAATGGCTAAGAGCGATGCATACGAGACGGCAAAGGCAATGGAGCTAGCCAAGCATCATCTTGAAGAGGATATTTCGTCGGCCGATACTACTCCACGGGCTGCCTCTCCTGTTTCCGCCCAGGCACTCACCACGACGGATCGATATGCATTCGCTTTTGATATTGATGGCGTCTTGGTCAGAGGCGGGAAGGCTATTCCCTCTGCTATTCAAGCGCTGAAGGTCCTAAACGGAGAGAACGAATATGGAATCAAAGTGTAAGCTGCTCCTATTTTCCTTCAATTTCACTGTACACCATTGCTCACAGCTGGTGGGAAATAGTCCTTATATCTTCGTTACAAACGGTGGCGGCAAGACGGAAGAAGAACGTTGCCTTGACCTCAGCCGCCAGCTTGAATACGAAGTATCTCCCGGCCAGTTCATTTGCGGCCATACTCCAATGAGAGAAATGGCTGAGAAATACAATACCGTGCTGGTTGTTGGAGGTGAGGGTGAGAAGTGTCGCCACGTTGCCGAAGGTTACGGCTTCAAAGACGTCGTGACACCAGGAGATATTATCAAGTTCAACCGACACACCACTCCTTTCCGAGAGCTTACTGAAGAAGAGCTCCGCAACTCTCGCACGCGAGACTTCTCTGACGTGACAATCGAGGCGATCTTTGTCTTTGCAGACAGCAGGGATTGGGCTGGAGATCAACAGATTATTCTCGACCTATCCATGTCCAAGGGTGGCAAGGTAGGAACGAGGTCCGAAACTTTCGACGAAGGTCCTCCTGTTTACTTCTCCCACAACGATATCGTTTGGTCTACCTCCCATGAGCATACTCGAATTGGCATGGGAGCTTTGAGAGCCTCAACCGAAGCCCTCTTTAAAGCTGTCACGGGAAATGAACTGAAAACAATTGCTTTTGGCAAGCCACAGCTTGGCACATTCCAGTTTGCCACAAGACTACTTCAGCAATGGCGAAAGGAAACGCACGGTATCAACTCTCCTCCCGCAACCGTGTATTTTGTCGGCGATACCCCAGAATCGGATATCCGGGGAACAAACGAGTTCAACGAGTCGAATCTTTGCGAGAACCACTGGTACTCTATCCTCGTGAAGACTGGCGTTTTCCAAGAGGGCACGATTCCTCGATTTCCCCCAAAGAAAGTTGCCGATGATGTTTTGGAGGCCGTGAAGTTTGGCATGAAGAGAGAATTCTTAAATGCCTTGAAGGATTCCACAGTTAGTGCCATGGAACCAAAAATTGACAGAACAATCAAGGAAGAATGATCTATCTCTTCCTGCTTTGGCGGAATTTTGATACCTGCTGTTCATGACGTGACGATATATTGGATACGCATAATTCTGGATATGTATCCTGGCAGACAACTGATTGATTTATGATTCCCCTTCGTTTGTTAACCTTTCGCTTTTTCTTCCTTTTTTAATTCGTTCTTAACTTTGGGAGTATCGGGTTTTACATATCATTCGGGCTATAGAATATAAAAACCAAAATAGACTGGGCTCAGGAGCATAAATCTCTTGTCTAAATTGGAACTTGGTTGATTCCTTAAATCAAATATTGAAAGAAACGAAATCACGTTGCCAATCCTAACCAGATTTGATTTTTAATTTGTTGAGACGAGCTGAGCGTGTGTGATGAGATGATTAGAATATGTTGTAAGAGAAAATGACTTGAGAGACGTAGCAAACCGGTCAATATTGGAATTGTGTCTACGCTTTGTATAACTCTCTTTTTGAAAGATGCCCAAGGAGCTAAAAACATAGGCGCCATTGCGGCGATAATACTAAGGTGGTAGAAAAGGGAGAAGAAGAGAAGAAGAAAAGAAGACAAGAAGAAGCGCTGAAGAGAAGGAATATCGAAGGAATATATTGACTGGGAGTCGAATAAACAATAATAATATAAAAAAGTGAAAAGGAAAAAAACCAGAGGATCAAAATGGTACGAAAAAATACGATGAGAAGCGATCAAGCACAGTAACCCGACGCAAAAGGAAAAGAAAGGAATGTGTGAAAAGGGAAAAAGGTTATGGACGTCAACGGGTCGCCTGTTGGTAAAACCGGAGGGCATCTATACAACTCCACGACATGACTAATAAGACATATTTTCAAGAAATGAAGAGAGATAGAAAAGAAGTTTATTTCAGTAGCAGTTCGTCATCCATACGCTCAGCGAGTTGGAGGTCAGTCAGGTCGTTCGCAAAGAAAGTTTTATCTCTCTTTCCGACGTATCCAGTTTTCGCTCCCAGAGGCTTCCTCGCCGTCCTTTGTGGTCGCCATCCATATCGGAGAGCCCCTGTGACGGCTCTTGAAGAGGCGGTGAATGGTATGCACGAGACCCAGCTGATGGGGGAAAACGGCCTGCGCTTCCTCCGTTCGGTTCCATCGTGCCATTAGAAGTTGCCGCTGGTACTGGCTTCTTAAGGTAATGATAGGGGTTTTGTTCAAATGTAATATTTCCTGGGTGACCTGGAGCTGGTGTACGGTAGGTATACTTAACCCTATCACTCCCAGATCTCGAGTGCCACTGGTTTCTCCCACGGAGCGAGCGAGAATAATTGATAGGGGGAGGCACTTGCAAGTAACTGGACGGAGTAGGAGACCTGGAAGCATTTTCCTTGACGGGGCTCAATTGTTTCGTGGTTCGTTTCGGTGGGTTCGTCCTATCGTCATCCGATGCTACTGTTTCAAAGCTAGTAATTGAGGATGCGCGTGAATCACGTATGCCCGATGTATGGGGCCAATGATCAGAATTTCGGGGCTCCGTATGGTCACCGCTTTGAGGTCGGGGACTAGAGTATACGCTTGACGAAGATCCCGCGTTTATGCACGATTCTCGGGCGTTGAAGTGTTCCTTCCCAGTCTGGGCCGGTGCTGTTCCGTTCATGAGCACGGAAGATCGCCCACTAGATGGATTAGATCGAACGGGATTTTGATGTGTTGTAAGCTCGGGTGATAAATAGGAGTGTCCAGAACCTTGTACGTTGCCGGTTACCGGGGAAATGAAAGATTGGTTATTCATATCAGCTCGGCTTGTCGAGTCATAGGTCATTCTCACGCATGACCGCCTGTCATCTGAGCCTGATTTTCGATAATCGGGATCTTCTTCAAAAATGGTGACAGCGCTTAATGGTCGGGCGGACGCCAATTTTTCAGTTATCGGATGCAGACGTCCATAGAGATCAAAATCGGGTTTGTCTGGAAGTAGACGTGAGACTGTCCGCATCGACGAAGGGCTTTCTAGCTCTATGTCATCCAGATCAAGTTGGTCCGAAGGGGTTCGAGACCTCTTGCTAGAAGCACGATGGAGCCTTAAACCAGGAATAGACGTCAAAGGCTCAAATGTAGAGCGGTTATAAGCACCAATGGGTGTACTTGGAATTCGGGGCATATCGAAATAATAGGGTCTAGGGGACGGCTCGGCCATTGTCCCACCGATTTCGAAGGGTTCGCTTTTCTGGCGTTCGCTTTTCTGGCGCTTCCGTCGGCGTAAAAAGAAAATGAGTAACAATCCAAGCCCAAATAGACACGCAGCACCACTCCCAACGGAAATTCCAATTATTTGATTTGGAGAGAGGGAGTCAGACGACGCGGCATTTCTCGTTTCTAGTGGTAGAGAGGGATAAGGTTCGGAGGGCATAGAGCTGCCGACTACAACGTCCCCCTGTCGACTCGTGTGCACTGTTTGCGTAGGTTCTCTGGATAGGGTGGCCGACGTAGTCGACGTAAAATTGGTATCAGTGGTGTCGTGCGCGGTACTCTTCATCGAGGAGCTAAGAGGAGCACCCATCCTCGATGTCTCCATCGGCGGGATATGTGAAGGAGTAACAATTTGACTGACCGTTATTGTGCCAGCAAGTATAGAGTGCGTGTTGGGAATAGCGGCGTGAACACTCTCGCATAAACCGTAGGCCTGCAGTTCTTTACCTTGAGGGGAGGGACAGGATGTCAAGACGCATTGCAACGCCGCCTCTCCAATAGTGTACCCCGCAAGCGATCGCTGGGTACACAGACAGCCGAGACCCTTTGTGTCGGCACAAACTGACGTCGGATAATTCGTTGATATGAACTTTTGCAAGCACGGGAATGAACATTCAGGGACAACATCTTGAACTAGCGGCAGCCCAGCCCGCGACACCACCGCGGCGCTGGAGAATGCCAACGAGCTATGGATGATGACTTTTTGGAAAAGAAGACGCATCCTGTAGCCTTATTTCGAAGGTTGCAGACTGTCACCTATCCACCATATATTGCACTCGACACAGGCTGTCTGACAGGGTCATGGAGGCGGGCGGGATCTTCGTCGATGTTGAAACTATGCCATGGGTTCGAATGGTACGGGAAATCCGGTATTCGTCGCGCCCTGACGCATTAGCTATAACAGAGGACACCAATGTAATCTTGGGTATACTGCAAAAGAAAAGCACAGTATAAAAATGAAGGTGAGATATGGGATCAAAGAGAGATGACGCTCAGCCTGGAGTAGGTCCCATCTCTGCGGCCGATGGGAGCAGCAACCGCTCCAATGAGACTGAGTAGCTCCGCATGATGTCAGAAATGCAAACAGCCCACAAGCAGGAGTGCTTGTTCCTGAGAATTGAAAACGCCGGCGAATCGGATTCGGCGTGGATAACCAGGGCGTTTTGGCACCATGGCATGAGTGCAATCCTATTGGCATCCAGCCCAGCCACTGGATACAGGGGTTGGAAATCTCATGCAGCAGCAGTGGGGCAGAGCAGTTGATTGTCCACAGCTGCAGACGCTGTGATGAAACACCTGTGGTGACTGTGAAGAGCAGCGGTTCGTGAAGCGAGCAAGTCACAGGCGAGCTGTAAGCGCTGGCAGTTTGCAAGCGGTGTTGGCTGATGACCAATCACCAACCGGCAGATCGGACAGGGTCACATGACTCAGCCCCAACAAACTGAAAGGGAATTAATTCGATCATGATGAAGAGCTTGTGTGTTGGCTGGGTGTTGCGCAAGCTGCTCAATCGCAGAGCTGGTTCAAGTTGGTGCAGGCCCAAGGCTGAGTGATAGCTCTGGATGGCTTATGTTGGAACGTCTGGCGCAGACAGGATGGCAGGGCATAGGATTTCATTACAAAGGTTTAACAACACAATCTAACACAGCAGCTTTTGTTTCTTGATCTCATCGACGGCAGCAGGAATGTCTGGAGGTTGTCGTCAACACTGGTTCATAGGGCGTACAGGAGCAAGAAACAAGAGCACCAAAGAAGCACAAAACAGTATAGGGAAAGTTGGTATCATATCAAAAGAAAAGCACCAGATAGCTGAGGCAGATAGAAGATACAAAGGCATAATCAAAACCGCATTATTAAACTGTAAATTGTCCTCCCGAGACATGGCTTTCCCAAAAAAAGGCATCAGAAGGAATAACTGCAACCATTGCAGCACCATCCCTTAGGAATTCGTTGCGTCATCGAAATGTCATCTCTTTCGACCCGCTGCGGGAAACACGAAGATGGAACTGTATTCGGTGTACAAGCGGACGGTAGATAGCAGGAAACCCCTTGAAAGCGTGATCGATGTTCTCCTTAATACTTGAGTATTATATAGCTACCATGTATGTCAGCATGCGTATCAGAAGGTCAATGACTGCAAAAGAAGGATACTAACAGGGCGTGGATGATGCCAGGGATATAACCAAGAATCGTTAAGCAGATGTTGATGAGCAAGTCGGCTCCGCAACCACGCTCAAGGAAAACACCGAGAGGCGGCAGGACGATGGCGAAGATGATTTTGCAGATATCTCTGGATCAAGGATGTCAGCGATATCTTCAACAGTTTGTCATATGGATGTCGGTAGCCGCTCGACCGAAATGGTTGCACCACCGACGGAACACTCAGGGAAGGCTGGGAAAGAGGGGTAAGAACACTTACGACGCGGTGAAGGCCATAGCGAACGATTAAATCGTGAGTCGACAAGCGGATCTGAATCTTTCGATGATTGTGTATCGAGACGGAGAGCAAAAGGTCTAGTGCGGTTGCTTGAAAATAATGATGGGGATGGACTGAGAGAGCGGAAAGGCACCCAGTTAAAGTATTAATACGGCTTGCATTGAGCCGGGCCCACCCCAGCTTGTCTCCGTCAGCACAACAAACAGTTCCTTGGCATGGAAGGTGACTGAAACCATTGCTTTTCCACAGGGAGATCGGGCGGTACTTTGGCGGTACCCGGATGTTCGCGGAAGTGTGCCCGCAGCTCCAGGTCACTCTGCGGTTCCTGCTGATAGGCAAGTCTGTGGTACCTTCCCTGATCCTGCGTCATCCGTTCTGTCCCAGCTCCAATCGCTCCTTCCCTCCAGAAACAAGCGAAGACGTCATCACTGCACCGCCACAGGCTGTGGCGCCGGCCCACTTCTTGCCGGTTTGAGCTTCTTGTGCATCGCTCTTGCCTCAAAACCTGCCAATCAACTCCCGTTGCCCGGTGATGCGGCTTGTCCACCGAGTGAGATCATCTGTCTTGGACTCTTGGATCGCACAGACAAAATGATAATTAACATGCCGATTTTAGCCAACAGATCACTTGCATCGCACTGCAGCGACAGGCTGCCTTTGAGCAATGTCCTTCAGGCAACCTGTCTCATATCTGCTAACACCTTTCTTCAGCGCAGCTAGGAAGCTCTGTGATCGGATATGGGACCGTGGATGTACGGCAAACCTCCAATCGTAACGACGCTCATGCCACATTCGAGGGGACGTCAGGATAACGCCAAATCACAATGGTAGTAGGGCTCAGCTTGCGCAATTCCTAGGTCTACCGCAAAGCGCTTCATCCTACGACGGATTTTGCGCCCAGTTTGAATTTCCATAACTGTACGAAACAAGGCAAGCAGAGGTCGGGGTCGTTTCAGTCGCGAGCCTCAAATGTCGTTAGGGTTTCAAGAGATATCAACTTTTCTCACCTCTCATGGAGTCGATTCGATAGCTACGGAAGCTGTATACAATTTTTGAATGACGGATTACATACACTTCAAACAAGGTCTCACTAGTATCCTTTTGCTTCGAACAGTATAAAAGAGCAAATAATCCTTATGCTTCTTCTTCTGGTTGTAATATTCCATACGGCTGCTCGCCTTTCTTTGAACTACCCTTTCCTCCGCTAGGTAATGCTGCCTCTTGAGGGTTTTCAGCATTCTTACCTGCAAATTTGTTTTCCGCGAGACGGCCTGGGTCTTTTTCGGTGCCAATATCCGTTCCAAAGCTTACATTTTGGCTTGGATCGTCATCAAACCCTCCTTCCTTTAAATTTTTCCCCTTTGGTTTCTGCGTTCCTGGTCCGAGCCCCGGATCGATGTAGGATGGTGCAACATCCGCATGCCCACCTGAAGTTGCAGCCGGTGACCCCGTTGTTGTAGCTTGGGTGCGGGAAGGCTTTCTGGAAGTATCTTCACTCTCTAAGCGCTGCTCGGCGTTTTGGGCGGAACGCAAAACTTTTGCACCAGATGTGTTTTGGTTGGCAAGTGTGGATTTACCTCCTTCAACGTCCATGGGCGCACTGTCTTTGTTTTCTGCGAATTTACCACCAGATTGAACTGACTCTGCTGCAAGTGAGTCTGCTGCAACTGAACCAGCGCCTTCTCTGATGGGATTCGTGTATCGGGATGGATCTGACGTTGTCTGTCAAAAGTAAGGTATTAGCCACATCAGCTATGTATCAATACGCGCTTTGTCGTGGATGGAAAGGCTTGCCTTTGTGCCCTTTAGGCTCGCCCCAACATGCTTTCCCTGCGTATTCATGGTGGATATATGTGTTTTCTTCAACGACAGCAGCTCAGTTCGTTAGGAAATGACCTGATCGCAATCGATGTCTTCACCTATCGCTACGCACGCAATTCTGCATTTATATCAGCTAGTCTAGACCCGACAGTTCAGGATATGGCCAAGTTACCACAAACATGATGTCATGGCTCCCGAAAGGAAGCTCTTGTTGACCGAAGTCTACTGGAGGGGATCTTCAAGGTGATGCAATGGTGCGCTTTGTGAGGAGGTATACATCTACCACATGATATGGACAGGGTACATACACGTGGCAAATTGTGGTCTCCCTGCAAACAGCATCTCAACAGCTTCGGTAGCACCACAAAAGCTCAGGAGGTACTGCTCACGCAATTGTAATTCAATGGAGAAATAGAGGCTAATTGGAGATGAAAGTAGTCTCGATTCAGTTATACGTAGTAAAACAAGGTCAATTAAATTTCGCTATCAATTTCCTCATAAGTGCAACGCGTGGACAAGCCAGGTGATAACTATTCCATCAAAACATCCTTATCTAGCTTTTGCATCCTTTGGGAGGTCTTCTAAGCCTTCCTTACCCTGCCGGCCCACATTTTCAAAAGGAACAGTGTGAGTCTTCATCTCCTCACCAGAGGTCCTCACGCTACTCTCCGCCGTGGCGGGCTGTCGTAGGGCACTCGCTTCTTCACCCGTCCCCGCAGATGAAGACACCGCACCCGACCCTTCACCAGTTGTCTTCATGTTTGCTGAGACCAGGCCTGATTCACCTTGTGGCTGATCGGGAAGGGGGAGGTTGGCTTTACGGCGGTCGATATCGGCTTGTTTGTCGGTTTTTGAATCAATGATGGACTGAAGTTAGAGCATGGTTAGTTAGATGGGAGGAGTGGCATCAGAGTGGTTTGTTTTTCGAGGGAACGTACCTTCATCTGGGAAACATCTGAATCTGCGGGGATATTGCCGCCGTGGAATCCGGATGTTTTCGATTCGTCTTTGCGGAGCTGCTCCCTTGTGGTATGGAATGTGTCGCCGGCTCCAGACATGATTGACGAGGTTTGACTGTATCACTGAATATGGATTGATGTTGTGATGAACGATGTTTCAGTACGCTGTAAGATATCAAAACGATTTGAAGCTGTGCTTTGTAGCACTTCAAGCGGCATAACCTTTATATAAGCCCATAGTTAGCAACTTCTCCAGCAGATTCCTGCTTGTCCATTTCATCCAATCCCAGCGGCAATCAGTGACGTTTCCAACGGCTGGTTATGACGTTATGTGGTTCCTTTCAGGGCCAAGATTGGCGCCGGTACACCCAAATTGCAAAGCAGGGCATCTCCTCCGTACTGCGCGGAGCATTGTGGACGGCGTTCGAACTCTTCGCTGATCGAAGCCGACCAGATCTTCGGACTGTACGAAGCAGCCGCCGCTCTCCAGCTTGTCCGGTTGGCGCGGCTTCAGGATAGCTAAGACTAGCTTAGTTATCACGTGAGCCAGGCTCAGGATGGACTTTTCTAGCGGGCATTTCTTCTGATTCTTCTTCTTTTCCCCTGAGTTACCGCTCGCGTTGCCCACAGCCTACATATACCCAAGAGGAACCGTTCAATTTGGTATCGCAATAATAATGATCACAATCAGTTGATGTGAATTCCGACCCCAGGATGGGATCAGGGTCTCGTCTCTGGAGTCCCACCACCCGCCTCTCCATTGGAAAAACCATCAGTCATGTGCACTCCTTAAACGGAAATGGACCTTCAGATCCCAGCAGCATGGCTAAAATAGTCTTCTCAAAAGCGTGACGAGCTCGGATCGAGCCGTACACATGGCAACGCGCCTCTTCGTGAAGAGGTCCAGAGCATGCCCGCCAAGGCTAGAAGCGAAGTGGCCGCCAATCGCTGCAAAGCGCTCAACGACTCGCTCCAAATCCTAATTTCGGTGAAAGACAGGAGTGATGGAAGTCTTGATGTGTGCAAGGCTGGACGATGAGGCTCGAATTGAGAAGGGAGCCCACACAGGCCCTGTCGAACGATTTCAAAGTTTAGATGGGCCGAGTATAAAGAGAATCCCATGCCATGGAGTGTGCAGTTGTTCTCACCTCGAGAGCTCTCGCGTTTTAGAACCTTTTGATAGATACCCCAGAGTCGCGTCCATGTGCTATTTTCGGTCTAGAGAGCTATTAGATTGTCCTACGTCGCCCTTGGTCCATTGAGCACGGAACGAAAGCTAGCTCACCTCTGCTCTTGACGGTCGTCTCCTATTTACGATGATTTCGTCCCCTTCCGGTTTCGTTAACTCGTCCTTCGCTGTCGGCCACAATGTTGTCAAGTCAATACTCTTCCGTATTGCCGGTATCGCGGTTCAGATTGGTGTTTTCAAGCTCTTCTCCCTTCTAGCGTCAACGCGAAGTGCATTTACGGCGTATTTGATGTTCACTGAGGATTATATTCAAAGGCTCCTATTCATATTTTCTCGTGGATTTAGTCACCATGCCGCCCTCGTCCTGTTTCTCACCATCTTCCTGCTTGGTGCGGGTTTGTATGACACCTTTCTCTGGGGTCTCGATTCGCCCGGTTATATTGCAACGGAAACAAATTTCACGGCTGCATCCTTTCAGCACCGAATGTCGAAGCGCCCGGGATACGTGGTGTTCTCTTCCACAAGACCAGGCGAGGTGGATGGGCTTGAAAAGCACTTTGTAGGGCTCATGAACGGCAATTTGTTCGATTCCAACCTCAACTTCACTTTGACAGGCGAAGTCGACCTGGGAACACCAGAGCCTGTTCCCCCAACCCGCGAATTTGAACCTGAGCTTGGTCCCGGACCGCGGATATGGCTTGATGATGAAGGGTTCTCAGTCTCACCTGATACTTATATCACTGTCGGAGGATACCTTCCATCAAATAATCTAACGTCGTACAGTTGCCCCTGGCGACCAGGCATCAACGAGTCAGCAGTGTGGGAATGCAGCTTCGACAATGCTTTCGCGGGAATATTTTTAAGAGAAACTATGGTCGGCAAGCCGGAAATACATTGGGACGATGAGACGGACAAAAGGTACCTTTCGGTATATCTGTCCCCTAACCGGGAGGATAACCCTTGGGCTGTGTTGGGAATGGGAGGTGACACTGCTATGATGAAACAGATGTTCACCGTGACAAAAGGCCGAAGGAGACACACTTTCCTTGACACTGCCCTGAAAATATCATCGGTTTACGACTATTACGCTCCATTCCCTTTCGACGAGGTTCATGATATCATCAAACGGTCTTGGAACGTAGACCCAGCGCTGACAAACGACCCAACTATCACTCAGATCACGGAAAAGCTCCAAATTGCCAAAGCAGACAACAGCAGTATGCACCTTGGCTCAGTCGTTAAAATCGGAAACTCCGTCGTCCAGGTGAATTTTGAATGGTTGAATCCAGAGGGAGTACCAGGCAAGGTCCTCTTTTCAGTTCTCCGAATATCTGCGGTTAATATCACTCTTGTTCGGTCGGAAACCCTCCCAGAGCCTGTCAAACCTTTTGAGAAATGTGACAGGTTCTATTATAATGAGGCAACCGGAGGTGAAACATATGGCACGAACTGCTACAAGGAATATATCGCAAACACTACTGGCGCACGATTTTTTGGAGAAATGGATGCCTCTTCTGTTCTCATTGTCAGCGGTACACTAGGTGACGGTGGCTCCAACATCAGCTCGAAAGCATTCAACCAGGAAGCCTTTGAATGGCTTGCAAAGAACGAGCGTAAGCTAGATGATCTCGTATTATCTCGAGGATACCTGATGTCGGTCGACCCGAAGCTGGTTACCCTCAAAATCAGCACATCACAGCCAGCAATGTCATATCTCCAAGTTTTACTTGTGATCCTACCTATCGTTCTCGCCGCTATTATTTGGGGCCTGCTGTGGTACTTTGCTGCTTCACATTACTCTTCCTCGCTTCTGGCCAATCTTTACGCGACCACGAATATCGGTCATACTAATACCAGCGCCGATCCTCAGTATATGCACAAGATTCCTGATATCGACCTCATTAGGAAGGATCAGCAAGTATTAATGGCAACTTCCACTGGCGTTTTCGTGCATGCTGAGGATTCAGAATCAAACGTGGCCAGCGTGAACGTTGTCAATCAGAAGTTGGACGACCCAAAGGCCCCATATGCCCCGAATAATAATTCATATCATTATCAATCCCCTGCATTGCTGCCGGGTTAGAGCGGTATTTGCTCGAGTTGATATACCAAAATTGATATATCCCCCCTTAATACTCAAAGATATGAAATATATTAAATTTATACTTCTTCCGTTCTGTATCGCCACTAATCGGCGATTCCGACACTTTGTTCTCAATACCCTACCCTAAGAAAGCCCAATAAGTAATAGACCCTGAGGTTTGACCCCCAATCCACTATCTTCCTTGTAGCGTTTCGCATCAGAGCATTGGAACCCTCACCGAGCATGCTTCATTCTAGTTTTCCGCTTTCTTTGGCTTAAGTTGGAAACGCTGAACGACAATTAGCGCCGTTAGGAATCAAACCGGGACAATTCAGAAGACGGCTCGATTCAATCATCGGGAGCAGCGTCCATCAATTGCGATGCATGGAGCAGTAACGTCGAATGAAACAATAGTTACTGAGTACTGATCCTATGTTCCGAGAAGCCTAGTCATCGGTAGGTTGCTATACAAGCCAACACAGTTTATCACCTTCTCTTACCTATGTTTGCCACTGCGCCGGAGTGGTGAGCATTCAGTTCAATGGAAACATGTATCAACCAGTAGCTTTCTCCGTCAGAGAGTTATTCAGTGATGCCACGACCGACCATGCATGGCCCGTGCAGGTGGACTTCGACTTCGCAGCCGAGCGGTACGTGCGCTGCGAGATCTAGGCGCTAGACGTCTGGTCTGGAATGGAAGCAGGAGTTGGAGGGGTAGATCTCAACCAGCCTCTCAGTCACCAAAAGTCTTAGTATTTGCATAAGCAGAGTAACCCGTCGATTCTCTTTCGAGGGGCCAAAAAGGGAGCATATTAACGCACAGGAAGCAACGCTCTCGAGCCTTGTCCGCCACACTCGACGAGCATTCAAATGAAGACCAAGCCCAACCTATTGGAGATGCAGAAACCCCAGGATTACCGGCTCCTGGGCTTTGAGGCACCGGCCAGGCTGATCTTCTGTGCGACACCCGATGCGGTTGTCATAGTCGGGTACTTGCATCCCAAGTACCAACGTTCCACCCGCGGTTGATTTCACAGAACGGAAATCGGCTTCACAGAGACATATATCGCTAAAAGTGAATCCCGAATTCGGGGTCTGGTGAGGCCTCTTTGAGCCAGCCACAATGCAATATGGCAGAGCAGTACGGAGTAACTCTAGAAGGTGTCGGTAAAATAGCTGATATGTATCGTGGCCTTTTGAGTGCAAAATAGTGGCCTTTTTGCAGGTACAATGCTTCATCTTGGTCGACATACCGGCCGTCAAGAGTGGACTGAGGGGTTACATGCGAGCTTGCTCTGTTGCCTGACTCCTTTTTCTTTTCCCCCTACCATTACATCCGCACAACCTTAGAGCATGCGAGGGATATTTTATTCGTGCCACCTCCGTATGATAAGGAGTATTCCAGAGTTCACCCTCTCAATTGAATCGTACTTCCACATTGTCAGCGCTGCCGCTGCGTCCCCAGTCAAAATGGGCCATATCAGGCCAGCTAAACAACCTCGGGCTCAAGCTCCCGTTTTGCACTATAATAGTCTCTGGGCCCCCGCGTGTGGTGAGGCCAGACTGGGACGAATCTACACACAAATCAGTTGGCCCGATGCAGAGGAACTTTGAAAAGCCAATCTTGACCGTGGTGTCTACACTTGTCTTGGGAGTATTACTAACAATGCTGAAGATCCGTTGCCCAATTGACTCCCCCGGACCCTCTGCATTGGCTGGTGAAAGAACACGAGAGGTGTACGGAGTACCTGCGGGAGATCGTGCAGTGGGGAAACCTGCGTGCATCTACTTCTTCGCTGACATGATTAGTTAGTTAACTATCCGACTCGAACCACGGAACAGGAGAAACCTTTTTCCTTTTGTTACTCAACCCTTACATAAAGGTTGGACCGAGTCTCTCCTTCGAGAAAACAACATAACACACCTTTCATACATGTTCTTACCCATTAGATAGATTATTACAGCCTGTTCTTTCTACTTGTGAGGTACTTACTATCTTGGCCTTCCAGTATGGAGGAGTCATTTGTTCGTACGTTATTGCTATATGACTAGCATGAGGAGATTCCGTCACCGTATTTGATCGAGAGCACCCCATTCGCATCTCATTATTACTTCCCTACGATATTGTTCTTTTGTTGGGTTTGTTGTTGATGAGCATACGATCGATCACTATTCCATTACCCTACTACCACCCCTACCGAGGCACGTATATTATGGGAGAGTGCCCATAGCCGGCGCCCGTGCCTTCAGATGAAGATCCTCTCGACCTCTTCCAGCCTGCTCTCGGCGGTCGTCACTTTTGCATCAGCCGCTTACAATCTTCACCACGTTGAGCAAGGTGCAACGGCGGTCCCAATAGCCGTCTCGGTCTTGCTCGCGGCGGGGGCTGCGCTGATCTCCCCCATCAACAGCTTTTGTCAATTGATCAAAGGAGCCCTAAAGACGATGCAAGATGCAACCTGGACCGACTGGCGGCATCTGCTGACAAGCGACACTCCGCCCCGACACATGTTGTGGGAGAGTCTCCGTCAGAGAGAGCAAAGCTGACTCCAAAGGGAGCATGAGAAACTCCTGGTAGCAAAGTTCGCGGAGATAGAGACACGAGGGAAATCCCATAGCAGGGCACCACGAAGAGGATCCCGCTCCAGGACACCACGAGTTCTATACGGGCAAACCTCCTAACTTGTGATGCTATGCAGTTGTTTTCGTGCACCAAGTGGTGTTGGTAAAGGTGTAGGTAGCATCGATGCAGCCGAGAAGAGGCAAGGGGGGCTGGTAAGGAAAAGGAGATGAAACAAAAATGGGAGAAGAAATGTTGGAAAGAGAGGAAAATCTGAAAGGGCGGTGCAAAGCACCCTTAACTATATATCCCACTGGCGCGATGTCCCGCGCTATACAGAGGTCGCCGCCATAAGTATTGGTACCCTTCAATCCTTGGCACACTTTCGGGTGTTCGCAGGCTTGAGTTTAGGGGTGATCTTGTGTGCTCAAGGGGGGTTGGTCTCTGTAGCCCTACAAGTTAAGGACTGCTAAGCAGCGCTGAAGGCTTGGGAGAGGCCCCTATACTGAAGGACCAAATCATATGGCGGCGACTCCGTACCCAGAAGGGCACGCTAAACCGAAAGGGGAGATCAACTGCACCCCGAGAGTACGGAGTACGCCGAACAGGGCTAGATATCATGGATGGTGAACTTGGGGGTTGAGCTGAGATATCCCCGGTCCTGTTTCAATCCCGCCTGTCCCGGTGGCTTGCGCACATCACAGTGATTGAGCTGAGATATCCCCAGTCCTGTTTCAATCTCGCCTGTCCCGGTGCGCACATCACAGTGATTATCCTCAAGAAGTGAATTCGACAGAAACAGTGCCAGATGTGGTTCAAACCCCTCCATTCTTATCTGTATATAAGGGTCTGTATTTTCCCTCCCTGAGTCTATAAGACGATCGGATTTAAGCACGTTTGTCAATATCACTGAACTGCGAGAACCATGAAATTCCACCTTCTATCCGCTGCCGTCACGGCATTCTGTCTTTCGCTCGGAAGCCTTGCGATTAATGTCCCCGTGAATCCAAATCCATTCATACATCAAACTGTCTTTACTGTTCCGAACAATGGCATCATCTGCGGCATGTTTCCAAGAGTCCTTTTCCTTTGGTTGCAATAGCTATTCTGACACTGCTCTTAGAGGGTCGAACGGTGATATCCTCGGCGAGAATGCAAGGTGCTGCACGAGCCATGTGGACCCATGTCCTGCTCGGAACCAACTGGCGTAGGGCTTAAGCACTCCCGTATTCGCCTTGCAATTCCAACTGACAGCGGAGAACTTCGTAGCCACTTCGAATCCCAATTCACGCCAGCCAAAACGTTACAACCATTACCCCGCTGATCCAGTGACATTCGGTGGCCGTTGTACTGGGACCGGCCGCGGTGGACAGGATCAACTCTACGAATACCCTATCTATGCCAACGCGGACTTTCAAGCAGGTATGGCTGCTCGCGCAAATCGAATTATCGTCAGGAGAAATCTTCGACAGGGCGAGAACCAGAACGACGCGACGTTTTGTGGATTGATTACCCATAACGTATGTGTACACCATCTCGATATCAGATAATATACTAATATTTGCACAACCATTAGGGTGTACCCGGAAATGCCTTCAGAGATTGCTGATTGAATAAATGCCGGGGTATCAGATTCGGGTATTTTGTTTCTTTGAATAGTTAGCCACCAGTAACCAGCAGTTAGCTCCATAGGTCCTTGAGAAGGAGAGCAGTTGAAACTTATTGATCTAATGATACTTCAATCCTAGTTGAATGTGAGGGTTTTGGCATTTTTTCATCTGTGTAGCCGTCGACGTAGTTAGTTACAGGGCAGCCCTGAAGCCTGATTGACGGCTGAGACCGAAAGTCCAGGTACATGTGGCGCCTCCATACATACCCAGGTGCTTTATAGAGGGGCTGGGATGCCTCCAAAGGTTCACATCATTTAATGATTCGACTCTGTTCATTCAGGCCATACCCCTCATTCAGACGAACAACCCGCAACCCGTTGCTTTGCATTTTCAACTGCAAGATAACAATGGATAGCCAATGTGTCTCGTGGCTTTCCGCCCTTAAACAGAACCCCCAATACAACCAGAAGGCGGTGGAAGCCCTCCAGCCATATATTCAAGGTACCGTCAGTGCCTCCGACGCTGCCAGGGCACTTATCGATCTCCATGACACTTCTGTTGAGGATCTTTGGGCTATCCTCCTCGGTTTAGCAACAGACATTCCATCCGCTAGCGGTTCTATCATTGGGCTCCTAAATGCGATATTCAACGCACCGAACAAGTATCAGGCGAGAAGTCTGTCGGATAACGATGTTGAGACGAGTTTTTCCTGGGAGTGGCGAGAGGTCCATGATTGTAAGTCGCATCTTTAGTCCGTCTTGAGCTATAAGCACGCCTGAGAAACATGAGTTTGACGATATTACAGCGTTATGGTCCGACTTTACGTCCATAGAATCAACCTCGGATCCAGCTGTCCAGCCATGGATAAATTATAACATCTTCTCGGCACAGTGTGTCTCTAATGGCATTGTGGGTTCGCACTGGGCTCTTCATCACATTGTTGAAGGCCTGGAGAAAGATCTGTCAGACCCGCTGCCGCCACAACAGGAGGTGAATATGCTCGTTGCGCAGCAGTATTTCGTCCATTCCGCCAACTACCTCCTTCAGAACCCTCCACGCAAAGCGGATGGTAGTTATGAAACAAGCTGGGGGAATTATAGCTCCCATAGACTGTCGAATGAAGGCCTGACCAAAGATAGGTGGAACTTCTGGAAAGAACGGTGGGACAGTGCGAGGAGGGTTGAGAGTGCGTCCGAGACACTGGTGGGCGGATCGGCTAGGGCTCTAGAGGCAATGGACGAGGCGGAAAGGGGGATGGATTGGTGAACGGTATCATTCGCTGTAGTGGGTTCGAGGTTGATGGCTGCTTTGGTTATGGTCCTGTCCTGTTGGGTTAATTTCATCGCGCATGGTATTCCCCATAAAATTCGAAGGACCAACGGTAGACCTCTTGTTATATTTCACAATGGAAATTTAGGGAATTCCTGCCCATATTCCGCCAACAAAAGGAGAAGTCGCAGGAACAGCATCCAAAGCCAAAGGGGAGAATATGAAGAATTCACCGTGGACCCTTGAACCGATTGCACCAGCGTAAAGGAATAAGGGACTCAGAAACATGTTCATTCTCCATTATCTAGTGAGTGTTTACTCTTTGCGCCTAGCAGGAGAGTTCTTCTAAGATGCCAGAGTTTGCGTTGTAGTTGCATCTCTGGTCGAATAAATATCCCAATCGTGAGAGCGCAAGGGGGAAAACCGGGGTGGAAATCAGCGAGCTTTCGAGCTTACTAAAATCCAGGCTCGAAAAGGTGCCTGGGCCTCGCCAGAGCAGTTCTTCCAAATCTCCGAATAGATCTAAAAGCATTTAACCAATTTTCCTATAGCTTCTTCTACTCCGAAAACTTTTGTTTATCAGTTTCCGGTGTCGCTATTCGGCCCTGAGCTCGAGACAGTCCAAGAGCTCCTCTGTACACCGATAAATCCAATGCCCCGCGATCCATTAATTGGGCTTGTTGGGAAGCCCTCCTCAGGAAAATCGACCACGTTAAATAGGTATCCATCGCCCAAAGTTCGCAGGGAGTGCATTTCTAGGGATTCAGCTAATGCGATACACCGGGCAGCTTGACAGATGCTTCCTCTAAAGTCGGTGAGTGTTCATCCACGAGATACTATGGCTTTGAACTCGCTAATCGCTAACTGAAAGGTTCCGCCTAGGAAATTTTCCGTGAGTGAGCCAGTCGTCGTTGCGCTTTCACCTCCAGCGTCTTCCATCGCTTGAGCCTTTCTTGTTCGCTTGTCTCGCGCAACATGCTGAATCTCGCCATCCGTGTAGCTTCACGACCATCGACCCGCAGCGCGCAATTGGCTATCTGCAAATAGATTGCGCATGCCAGCGACATAACGTCACGGAGAAATGCAGGCCAAACTACGGGAGCTGTCATGAGGGTCGAAGATCGGTTCCCATCGAATTGCTGGATGTAGCTGGACTGGTTCCAGGTGCGCACGAAGGCAAAGGGTTAGGGAATAAATTTTTGGATGATTTGCGACATGCCGATGCTCTGATTCATGTTGTTGATGTGAGCGGTACTACAGATGCAGAAGGTCTGTGGATTTGCGTGCCCTGATATCACATAAAAATAATCGGAGATTGGAAGCTATGGTTCTCGCATGCGAAAATACTTACGCGCAATATCCTAGGGAAGGCAACTAGAGGTTACGACCCATCGCAAGATATTGTTTGGCTAAAGTCAGAGATTGTGAGGTGGATTCTAGGGAATTTAATGGATAAATGGTACCAAGCATGTTCAGGAGTGTTTATTGATAGAATGCTAATCGAGTCGTCAGGGGTTCAATAAAGCGTCGACATGTCGCAGTAAGTATGTTCACCTAGCCCCAATCGTTTTCGTTTTGCCTTTCTCTAATATTATACAGAGGCCACTGCTGTTGAAACGCTTCAGACCCAATTTTCCGGGTACGGCGCTACATCGAATATCGTTGTGAGATGCCTCGATCGCTTAGACCTTAAGGAACCTCTGCAAGATTGGTCGGATGAAACGATAGCGCAAGTGGTCGTCGCGTTCATAGACGAGAAATTCCCGACGGTTCTGGCGTTAAACAAAATCGACCATCCAGACGCTGATAAGGTACCTAGCTACCCCTTGCCTTGGTCTGCAGCAACTTACAATCATACAAGAATATAAGTAAAATCGCAAAGGTGCAAGATCCTCAATCCATCGTGCTATGCTCCGCGATATCAGAGGTATTTCTTCGCAAACTCGCAAAACAAGGTTATGTGAAGTACGTTGAAGGCAGTGAGTTTGTGGATACAAGAGAAGATCTAATCGAGATGGGTGATCCCGAAGGCGGTGGTTTGAAAGAAATGGATGAGAAACTTAAAAAGTACGAACTCCCCCTATTACTCTTTACATCATGCTTCATTCACTAATGACTTACAGTCGAGTCGAAAACTTGAAGGATCTTGTACTCTATCGATTTGGATCCACGGGCGTCGTGCAGGTGCTTTCTCGCGCGGCTGAACTTCTGGGGTTGGTGCCAGTTTTTCCGGTTCGCAATATACATAACTTCTCCTCCGGTTCAGGGGGCGGAAATGCGGTATTCCGGGACTGCGTCCTCGTTAAAAAGTTTGTTTCCTTGGATTATATTTAACGGAAGAACATCGCATTAACTGTTGTCGCAGAAACAGTACTGTCGCAGACGTGGCCCGAAAAGTTATGGGAGATGCGCCAATAGCGTACGTAGAAGGAATTGGAGGGACGAGGGTCTCAGAGGATGAAATAGTCTCTGTAGGAAAGCATGATGTATGTTTCACGTCGATGCCAGCTGATATCTGCGAGGTTCTAACAATATACAGATTCTCTCATTCAAAGTTGGTAGATGATAAATTATATATACTAATAGGAAATATGAACGATATTATTTCCAGTCCCTTTTTACCAGTGGCCGCCCCCTATTGATTACCCTCTACCTTTCTGTTTGGCAGCTTATTGTTAGCTCACGACCAACATCGCCTGAATTCCATCATCAACTCACCTCGCCTCTTTCGTCCGTGATGCCAATAATCGGCTTTGGCGCATTGGGAAACTCTTCCTCTGTCTTCTTTGCCGACCCCCTCTGATCCCGCTCCGTTGTGGCCTGGCTCTTTGATTTGTCGGTCACCCCGTTTCCTTCTTCCTTTTCATTCTGAGCAATGCCCGCTCCCTCGGTCTCCGGGTCTGTTTGGTCCCCACGTTTGCTGCGATTAACAGCGTGGTCTCTTGGTTCCGAACCAGTCCAATCGCCATAACGCGCTGAGAGCGTGGTTGTGGTAGTTCCAAGGACGTTTGCGGAAGGGAGAGTAGTGCGCTGGATAACAGGGGACCGCGCGGTCAGGAGGGTGGAAAGAGACGTGAATCGTGGCTTGAAAAGCATTGTTTTCCGAAATTCAATCTTTGCTTTAGTATATGTAGGAAATATAAAAGGATTGTGAGCAGTCAATGATAGCCGTAGCTTGGAGTCTTTGTACCTCTTGTTCACTGTGTTGATTTCGATGCCATGATAATCTCGAGGGGCGGACTTGTGACGTCATGTGCCTGCTCGCTGCTGCTTGGCCAGACACAGTCAGCATCAACACTGAAGACTGCGAGCAACAGCGCGGGGTTGAATGAAGCGTCGGCCATCGCGTAACAATTACTGCTGTCTTACATTCCCTTCCCCAAATGAAACATCAGGTACTATCCATCGATGCACTTTCTGCTTGGAGAAGGCTGAATGGCGTATCGTTTGACGGCGTCGAAGTTCGTCGTCTCCACGCCGAGGATGCGGTTGACAAAGGGCTGGCGGTCGTCGCTACGCACAACCGAGTAGCCAAGGAGTTCATCCCGGGAGGAAACGCAGGAGCTGCAGAGCCGGAGATCTTGATGCGTATTCCGGGGGACTTAGTGCTCTCTTTGGACCTGATTGACACCTACGCGAAATCAGATCGGTACCTGAGAGAGGTTCTGGACGCTGTGGGGGAGTTCGGGAAGGTGAGTCGGCGACGCTGGGCCCAGATCGTGTTACTAGAGCGTTGTATTTGAATGTCGCCTGCCTCCCGTGTGGTGGTTACACTAGCAGGACCGAATGCTGATATTTACAGTCAGCTCGAGGCGCTATTCTAGTCTACCTGCTGCTTCTTCTCACGCATTTGCATAACAATTCCTCAAATGAGAGGAAGAGTCATGTTGGCGTATCCAGTGCCTGGACAGGTTATATTCAATTCCTACCCAAATCGTATCCGCTTCCGACGTTTTATACAGATGGCGAGTTGGAAATACTTCAGGGGACCTCGCTAAAACCAGCGTTGGAATCTAAACTGGATAGTCTCGAGCGTGAATTCGAGCAACTACGTCAATTCACTGCCGATATCCCCTGGTGTAAAGAAAATTGGTGGGATGGAGAAACAGGCCAGCTCACTTTCCACGACTGGAAGACCGTTGATGCCATGTATCGGTCCCGCGCACTGGATATTCCAGAAATAGGACATGCGATGGTGCCTTGTGTGGATATGGCGAACCATGCGTCCGGGGATGAAACCAACGCAATATATGAAGTTGATGGAAACGGCAACGTTGTGCTTCAGTTACGCTATGGGCGGAGTCTCGGGGAAGGTGACGAGGTCACCATTACGTCGGTCATTTGTCCTGCAATTTCCCAAGCCCCGTCTGACTTGACATGGTGCAGGTACGGAGATGAAAAGGGAGCGGCTGAAATGATCTTCTCTTATGGGTTCATCGAAGGGGCGATTACAGACGCTCGTCAGATGTTCCTTGAGCTAGAAATTCCTGATGACGATCCACTAAAACCTGCAAAAATGGTTGTGTGTGACGAGGCCCCGGGCGTTCGGCTTTTTGCAACTATCGACCCTGAACAGCGGACCGAAATTAGCTGGGAAAGCCCTTTCGTCTGGTGGGCATGTGTCAACGAGGAAGACGGTCTTGGATTTGAAATTGTACAGTCCAATAACGGCGAAGGAGAAATAAAGGCTGCATGGAAAGGGCGGGAAATCCAAACATCCGAGAAGTTGCGTGATATCCTGCAAGACGAGCCGCTCTGGGATGTATATCGACTCCGTGCCACGGTAATAGTCCAAGACCGGGTTGCCACCCAGCTTGCATCGCTCCGCGAAAGCAACGAATCTATCCTTGACTGGCGTGACAAGGTGAATGGGACTACGATCCGCCCACTAGTTTGGAATACCATCACGAACCTTCGCGAGCTTGAAGGGGAATTTCTCACCCGAGCCAGCGATATTTTGGAGGATAAGGTAATCTTCGGCCTGTTCATCAAAACCTCTTATCTTGTTCTTCGTACCGCAACCGCACAGCATTCTAGCGTGTTCTAGGCTAACCTTTCCTGTAGAAAATCGCGCTCGCAAACTCCTCTGTAGTCCAGCATTACCTTCAAGGTGGCCCTGGAGGCGATATAACAGAGGACTTTTCTTAATGCGCACAAGATTCCAATCGTCAGGGTTGAGCTCCAAGGTGTCTTGGCATATCGGCTTCCTATGATGATAACTACATGGGATTTAGGGCTGACTTCGACGGTTCCAAGTGGGCCCCGAGTTCCGCCGAGAAAATCGGATGGCGTTGCCGTGTTGGCCATGGATATCGACCAGGGTAACTTACTAGCAAAGCGAAGCATGAAATGAACTGGTTTGCTACTGCCAGAAAAGCAATCAAGCCAACGTGTAGATAGGGAATTGTCCGTTATCCTTATTATCCGTGGTTTTGATGTATTGAATATCATCAGGTTCGCCGAAAGTGAACCACAGATGAAGACAAACGCCAAGCAAGAAGAAGAGCGTCGCAGAATTCTGCTGCGTTTTAAGGCCCTCCGGTATCGGTGGCGAATCTTTTGAAAAGCTCCTTTTTCTGTTCCCTGTTGGAACCTGCAATAATACGCGGCTGGACTGCTCTATGACGCCTTTTTCATCACCCTGCTGCCAGGAACTGTTGGTCTATGCTTTTGACAACCGTCGAAGATGAGATTTACCTTGAAACATGGGGAAACCAATGAAACTGCAACGAGTTCCAGTTTCGCTGTGGCGAAGGGGAGAAACCGCGGAATCAACAACTCACTAAGGCGATTGATTCACCGGGATGCGCCACGGGAACCGAATCTTCTGCAGATAAATGGAGTGCGATGAAGTAACTTGTACCAGTCGGCCAAAGTCATCGCCGTCATGATCGCCCGCGACGAGGAGATCAATGACGAGCTGAGGGTGCCAAACAAGCACGCTGCTCAGCACTCAGTCCGGCAGGGTGAGAAAGCATGTGGGTTGCGTGATGTTGGTATCCCATCCACGGACTATGTAGGAACGGCAGCCGGGGTAGTAGACGAAGGTGACTTTTCGCAGCGGGAGATTGTTGTGTTGGCGATGACTGTAACCACTGGAGCAGACGGTAGCACTGATCAGCATCGCGGGTGCAGCCACGAGGGCTCCGAGTAGCGTCTGAGCACCTTTAAAGCAGCTTTATTAAGTCCTGAATCATCACAGCTCCCTGCTAGGGCCATGTGAGCGGACACGAACCCCTTCACCACATCGAAGTGTGGGCAAACCCTGTCGCGAGCACTCCCAGGACGAAGCTCAGCAAGTGATCACCAGCGATCAGAAGAGTTGGCCAAACAGCGAAATCCTCCGTGGTTCGCCCGAGAGCTTCGACAAGGTTCAACTGCGCACCCTCACCAGCTTGCCAGCAGTGGGCGAGCAGCGCTGCTAATAGCAAACCCGCTTCCTTTCGCCCGGGACTAGCTTGGCGGATATCAGAACCGCTGCCCCAGAGTCCGCCCCACGCAATTTCGTCGTCGCTCGGCTCCGAGAAAGTAAAATGCCAGCACGACCGTGGCACGGCCTGGATCTTCTTAATGGAAGAGAGTACCTGTTTTCACGCTGCCCGTATCCCATCATCGGTTTTCTGTGCGCGACCCCCTAAATACCTTGCCGTGTCCCTGCTGGTCGCTCGTGAACCCCCATCAACGGTCGCCTTCAGCAGATGAGAACAACCTCGTCAGAACTGAGTGCCTTCTCCCGCCGACAAACTGACTGCACCTGACCGGTCCCGGAGGCCGCTGGCTAGCGCCTCAGAGTCTTCTGCAATACCTACAATGCCTGGCATACTTCCGATGAAAGTTATCAAGGTTGGCAACAGCTTGCAGAGCAGAGTTGCACAGGCGTGTGATCGTTGCCGGAGCAAGAAGATCCGCTGTGATGGGATTCGGCCCTGTTGTTCACAATGTGCCAATGTTGGCTTCGAATGCAAGACGAGTGACAAGTTGAGCCGGAGGGCGTTCCCGAGAGGGTATACGGAGTCGCTCGAGGAGCGGGTGCGCTCCTTGGAAGCCGAAGTGCGGGAGCTGAAAAGCCTGCTAGACGAGAAGGATGAGAAGCTTGAGATGATCTCGCAGCTGCACTCAATTTCGCCAACATCCAGAAAGGTACCTCTCCGTTCGACGAATCCGTCAGTGGTGGACAATGCCGATGGTTCGTCTACTACTACGGACCAAGATGAACGAGTCCACGTCCAGTACGCACATCTATCAAGGAAGCCAAGTCATGGCTCGCCGTTTATGGGTCCTTCGAGCACCAGGGCCTTTATTGGTACCGGCCTCCCTGAAATGTCTTCATGTTTACGATCACGCTCACTGACTCCTTCTAGATGCTTTTGAAAATAAACTCGAAAGAAGCGGTAGACAGCCCTTGAAGATCTCAATGGATGCTCCCATTCAGACACTCTCGGTCCAGAGCTGGCCTCCTCAGGATTCAAGACAAAGAATCCCACCACTCGTTCTCTCCGAACAGCTGCTTAACGTCTTCTTCCAAGAATGGGCGCCGCTGTATCCAGTCGTCCATCGCCCTACTATCCTCAGTATCTATAGCGAGTATACGAAGCATCCGCAAACAGTTGAGAATGATAAGTTTGCAGTGGCACAGCTAAACCTGATTTTTGGAATTGCTGCGGCTTCGTCAAGGGTATGCCCACCAGGACAGCTTCATTTTCTCAGGGCTAATAATCTCGACAGGACCGCTTCCCCCAAGACCCAATACATTTCGAACGCAACTGGATCTCGACACTCGAGTCCTTGTCTGACGATATCTCTCTATCTACCCTTCAATGCTATGTTCTCGCCCAGATTTACTACTCCCTCAAGGCCGATTACAAGAGTCTCTTGCGTTACCGATCACTAGCAGTTGCAATATGCTTGCAACTTGGACTGCATCAGAGCCAGGAGAGATTTGCTTTCAATACTCTTCTTGGTGAATTACGCAAAAGAGTGTTTTGGTGCCAATACTCTCTCGATCGGTATGATACTATGCTACGCTCTCTACCTACCATCTCTGGATAATCCCGGGCTAATAGCGATATTAGGTTTTCCGCAGCGTTGACAGGGCTCCCCGTCTCGATCGCGGAATCGGATATCTGCACTGAATACCCCGCCGATATTGACGATGAAAATGTGAACGAAGCCGGGTTTGTTCCAGCTCCCTCACAAGGGTCGACTAGAATATCCAGTGCACTAGCTCTGTTTTCAGCTTCGCGGATATTAAATAAGGCTCTAGAGCAACTTTATCCGTCGCCTACAGGATATGAAATCTCCTTGCCAGTAATTCATTCACTGGCAGAGGAATTGGATGATTGGTTGAAGGAGCTGCCGCCTCATCTACGACTTGAATTTATTCAGGATAAACCTAGCACTGGTGTTACTAGCAGCCGCTCGCCCGTCTTAGTTCGTTCCCTTTTCCAGTCCACTGTTTTTCCGTGACACTAACAAGCCGTCATAGTCAATCGTATATTATTTCATTCGCGGGTTAATCCGTCGACCTGCTGTCTGTTACGGAAAACCAGAGATCGTCCCGCCGTCTATGCTTACCCTCGTCGATTCCGCGAAGCACATCATTCAGCTATTGAAACTTCTTGAAGAGAGAAGGATGAGCGTATCAGTCTGCATTAGTAAACGGGAGCTCATTTTCCTTTCAAGTCTAGGACTTCTTTGGCAAAACATGGATTTGCCCCCAGATAGCAAACTGGCTCGAGAAGGACAAAGGTTACTCAACGTAGCCATGACTCTCCTCGAATCCGAATCTGCTGAAGTTGCAACTGAACTCGGGAAGTTTGTCAACAGCCTATCACCAGATGAAGCACAAAGACAACTAACCGGCGAAAACTTGCAATTCACAAACGAAACTCCATCATCCCCAATTAAAGGAGTATCAAGGGACACCTTGCTACAGCCAATGCGGACACGATTTTCCTTTTCTTCCGAGTCGGACAATTCAACATGCTCGAACAACAACGGTCGTCCGAACTTTATGGTGCCTTCTCCTGAGCTTTCGCGCAGTGTGCGATCCTCCAGTTCTCACAGTGATTCGTCAGAACTAGCAGATCGGTTCAAACCGCACAGGAGCGAGACCTCCACTACCGATCTGGGTATGGACTATCTTCACCTTGACGGCGATAGAAAACAAAGCCCGTCAACGTTTAATAGAGAAACAGGGCTTTCGGATTGGGAGCACGTGTTGAGTGATATGGACAACGGGCATGCGAATATCTACAACGGAATCTATGGTGGTAGTGAATGTGGAGAGACACCTGCGGCGTTTGCAGCACTTGCTTCATCGTATCAACGGCCCGGGCAGATCCCACAACACCACACCCCGCCAGTGGTGCCATCCTTGCCCCCTCAGAACGGATGGACTTCTACCGGGTGGCCGTCGACTAACAACCAAGGACACATGCCCAGTAAGCATGGAGAAGTCTCGAGTACTCAAGCACCCATGTCAGACGCATACGAAGCGATCATGATAAGCAATCTCGACGCCATTGACGAAAATGGTGCAGATTTTGCGATTCCAGACTCCTGGATTGGGCAATGTGTGATGTGATTTACTTTGAATGGTACTTTTATGAAGGGATTTGGCTCGTTTTTTTTTTTTTTTTTTTTGGTTTTGGCTATACGAGTATATGTATACCTACAGAGGCTGAGGCGTTGGCTTGCTTTGGCGTCTTTTATTAGATGAAGGGTTTGCCGTGTGGCACGGCTTTATATCGTTGGGAGTTCTTGTTCAGGTGACTAGGTAGTTAAGTGATAGCGCCGTGCGCTGGTTTGGTGAGGCAAAAATTCAAAGGTGTTTACATTCTTTCTCTCCTGGAGTCCTGGTTGCAGGAATCGCGGCATATCCTGTTTGACTGTAGCAAAGCCACTTATCAGTTGAAGTGAAGGGGTTCCTTATACTGCAGGAGAACCTTGATGCCGGATGGAATGGATTGACATCATGAACAGGCTTAAGCAGTGGAGATATAGAGTGGTAAGAACATGTCTCATAGTTGTCACAGGGGCAAATGTGCTTAGCTGACCTTGTTAGTAGTTAGCTTGATGCGATTTCCCAACGCATCTAAGATAGAATGAAGCTTCCCTCTATGTCCCTTCTATTGCTAGTCTAGTTACGCTGATGCGCTTGGAAGAAACACAACACTTTCCTTAATCCTACAGTTGCTTCTCTGAGAAACTTCAAGTCCTGTCAACATGCAAATTGATGCCCCTACCTGGCAATGCTGGTTGGCTTCCGGCACTGGAGAGCATCCGGGGAAATATCTGGGCCCCCTTGATGGGTAGAAGGCGGCAGGTTAATATTGAAAATGTCATATTTGAGGTCAAATTTGGCAATACCCTCTTCTTTGACTTGCTCTACTTCAGGACCAGAGGCACAGGGAGTTTCAGTAACAGTTATCTAATATATATATATATATATGGTCCAAACTTGAAAACAGAATACACTCATAGAGTCATAGTGACTGTATAGACTCAATTCCACATTCACAAGCAATCGCTGCGGGCACTGGAACTTGGAGGATCAAGAGTTGGGCCAAAGACAGGAGGCACAAGCCCCCTTGCCCACCTCTAGTCCCGCCGAGCTGACGGCCCGAACACACTGCTGGAAAGGTCCATTCCCTTTTGCACAAGAAGTGCAGGGTTCCTCTTCGACGCGACCACGAGTGTACACGACAACGGCGTTCATTTGACCTCCTACTAATCGGTTTCGAATCAAGGAGGATGCCCTCGGAGTCGCTACCGCGCCACTCTACGGTCGGATGATGTTCATTTTGGCGATCGCCTTCGCGGCTTGCGTTGTCGGATCGACGAAGAAACGACGAAGGATTAGGGCGGCGAAACTGATAGTCTCATACACGATAACGTCCATGTCGGGAAAGTCGATAACAGAATGCCCTTGATGGATCATGTAGGAAATGAAAGGTCCATATGGAGTTGGAGCTATTATTCCTTAGGTTTGAATTGTACACCCATTTGTTTCTGCGAGGTAGAAATGCTCTTGATATGCAGAAACCGTTGACAATACACCAATCCAGGAAATGCATATACTAGCTTGCCTTCTGCACGGGACTTGGGATATTGAAAAGTCGAAACGTAATAACATTGGAATTAGTGACGTTGGCCATCCCCTTGAGTGGAACATCTGGGTGGGAAAACGGGCCTAAAATGGTATCTTAGTCCAGTTCGAGGTTGAAAAACAGTTTGAATAACGTACGAGGAACGTTCAAAGCTACCTCACTGAGTCCAGGGTAGGCTTCGGCAGTTCCGGCTCTTGTTCGGGAGATCAACCTCCTCACCCAGAATAATATCTCCTTCCTCACCCACTGGATCCCTCAGAAAGATGCTCCTGAATGGAAGCATCAAGAGAGCATTTCTCATCCTTATATCCTCATTATCCTGAGGCACAACAGTTATGATAATCTGTGTTGTCTCAGCCCTCTGATTTTGACATCTAGTGGCTTCGTCCACTATCTCTTATTTCTTTATAATGAGAGTTCATTCTTGTCCGTTCAGCCTTCAGGATAGCAAGTGACATATCTCCTTGCAATTCTTGAAGTCATCAAATGACAACTCCTTGAAGCTTCATGCCGTTTTTAACACTCCAACTTCCAATGTAGATGTAGATGCATATGTCACTTCTTCCAGGAGGAAGTATCGGCAGTGTAAATGATTATCTGGATCTTCTGCTCAACCTCTAAACTGTTGAAAAGTGCACAGAGAAACTCACTGCATGCTCTCATGAACCATCTTTGAGGTGAGGGCTTTTCCTCTCACCAAGTTGTCAGGTAATGACAACACTATTTCATCAGAAAGCTTCAAAAGTGAAAACGAAAGCGGCCTTGAATCCTTGGACACTTTCAGGCGTTCGCAGGCTTGAGTTAGGGGGGATCTTGCGGGGGCAAGGGGAGTTGGTCTCTGAGTCTGCAGCCCTACAAGTTAGACCACTAAGCAGCGCCGAAGGCTTAGGAGAGGCCCCCTATACTGAAGGACCGAAACATATGGCGGCGACCTCCATAGAATCCAGAGAATGACCATTCCCAGGAACCAATTGTACTTCCACCTTGCTTCTGTTGCATAGTACTCAAAGGCGAACCTTCTCTTGCTCCGTCAGGCACATTCTTCCCAGTCATTTCCCTTCTCACATGCTTTCACATAACTGGATACTTCTTTAGAAATAATCCAGACCCTGCAGTGCTGGGGCTCATTTGCTAGTCTAATTCAGGACAGTGAGCAGGTGAGCACTATTGGGATCAATGGAGTCTTACGGTATCCCAGTTTCAGACACTATTTCACTAGTATTATAATTCACCATGTGCGCGAGAACTTCAACAAATCACTCATTAAGCAGTTAGTTAAAGTGTCTCTGGGCAGGGCATGGAGAATCTCATGTACTCAAGCGCCCTAGCCATCACCCTTCCTCATCATCCCATCAGTGACACCAGGGTATTGAAATGAGGCAGGCATTCCTTTAATATGTTCTTGATGCCAATTGAGTCATGTTTGTTCCCACAGAGGATAATGATAGAATCAAATATATGTTCAAAATATGGATAGGTTGGGTTGACTGCTTTTGGTGTTTTAAGCAAGCTCAGTCAGCAGTGATGGTGAGTTGTTCAAGTCATCAAAGTCTCGAAGATTCCCACATCAGCTTCTATAAGGGTTCACAAGTTCAAAATCTAGTATAGCACTAGTTCATGAGTGCCAGTTAATGGAGCAGCTAGAAAGACATGGAGAGATTCAATAAAGGGCCATATCCCTGGGGTAATCAGAAGTGTTAGGAGTCAGCAAACACATGGGGAAAACACGAGTATAAAATGCGGCCCTCACTTGAGGAAGGTTCTCAGCGAGTCCAGGTCGTAAGTAAGTAGAGAAAATGCGTTGAAAATGGTCAGGTTGCGTAAGGAGAGCCATTTATTTAACCCGTTGTGGTACGCATTTCCGAAAAGGGAACTCAGGATGACTTTGACTTCATCTCACTCTCTTCTTTTATGTTCAAGTCACTGTCGGGTATCAAGGATTAGCTTGCCACAACGAACATCAGGCAACGAGCCAAATGGAAAATAAACGACAGCATAGAGATTCCAGCCGGGATGATGTATTGATAGCAAGGAGAGCCAAAATACATAACCATTGGTTATCTAAGCTTGGCAGTCTAGGCTCCCTTGATTTGTTTGGCCTGTTTGCAATGGTTGGTATCACCTCGTTCTTCTACGGAGTATGAATTTCAACTAAGTCACTACCAGCAGAGCATCCAGCATGCATCCTCTGCCGTGTCCAAGGTTCAAGGCAGCCTGATGCTATCCTTGAATCCCACACTTTAAAGCGCTCGTTGCCTGGAGCTCCTGTCGGTCGACTCGATCCCGGACTTACCGGCGTAATCCTTCTGACCATGGAAGCAGCAGCTTCAATTACATATGCCCTGTGGGTGGAACGGCGTGTCCTCTCGAGGACGCATTGATATAAGTTAACTAACGAGGTCTTGCTGTAACTAACTAACTACCACATCTCAACCACAACAGTCCTGCTTGTCCTTGACCATGGCAACACTAATATCAAGATTGTCTACCACACCTGTTGAGCTTACTTTGTGGGATATTCTATGTTTGATCGGCGTCGCATTCAGTCTCGAGATCGCATTTATCCTCATCAAAAGAATGTAAGCCAACCCACCAATAACTATAGCATTTTGTTACGCCCCCCAACACAAGACTAAAATCCTGGGTAGGGATACTTGGCTGAACGAGCCCGCCGTTGCGTCTCCCGCCGCCGCTGTTCCCGTTCCTGTCACCGTTGCAAGTGGCGCCATGAACAACACGGCTTGCTCTTGCTTCAGCTGCCCCCGCCATAGTGCAATTCTTGCCAGTTATTTCGCTAACAGCTGATATCGACGAGTTGTCTTCCTGTTCGATTCCGAACTCCATATTGCATAGAGTGAACAGACACGGGCATGCTATGGGGGTTTTTTTTGTATTCTTTCCAGTTAATTAAATTGTTTAAAGAAACAAATGTCGTCCTTGATTTTAAATAAATTTTGAATATTTCGGGCTAGCCCTCTGACGTCTAGTTATGCATGGTTGGGAAGGATACCTGCTTGCATGCATGTGCTTAAACAAGGAGAATATAATTCTGTGTCTCCTATGTACTCTCCAATTACTTCGCAACCCCTTGAGGCTTCGAGCACTTATTGCTAGGGAACGTATTACTCGAAAGGCTTATCAACGGAAAAGGAGAAGGGCAAACCCTCTTGTATTCTGTTCTTATTTGTATCCCATACATTCTCCGTAGATGTTGTCTTTTTTCCCCAACATCCATCCTATCCGTATTTGAATTTTGTATGGGTATCCCACATTATTGGTCATGTTTCCTGTTCTAAAATGGGCATCCAAGTCATCTTGAACTTACTCAAGAGCTTTTCTCGCGAAACTCGGTAGCACGAAACTTGCCCGGTGGATGTCTTGGTTGTAGTATCTGCACAGCTTGTCCTCCTCTTCTCTAGTCCACGATCGCACAGGCTCACGAATGTTTCGGCTGGCATCCTTGCAGGCAACGAGGAATCCAATTTGACCGGATGGGTATGTGGGAATGGTCGTGTAGGCGTATTCAACAACGGGGAACACCTCCTTCATGAGTTTCTTGAGGTCGGTAATCAGCTTGATATGAAGCCATTGGTTCTCGGCTAGATGTGTGGATCAATTAGCATTTAACTTGGAAATGCGTAAGGGAGAACAGGTAGGTGACCAGAACATGAACCTCTAGAGATACTTCGGGAGCATAATCCATTTGGCAAGCAAAAACTGTGCTGTTCGCACAGATGCCCAAAAGTATCAGAGAGTCAGGGGATTGAAAACAAATTACGAAGGAAACGGCGACGAACAACCTTGAGTACTAATGACTCCTCCCTCCCGGAGCGAGCCGTGCAACAACTCGAAATACGGCTTCTGGAACAAGACTTCGGCGGGGCCTTCGGGATCAGAGCTGTCGGTAATGATGACGTCGAATTCGTTCTTTCGCTCTTCGAGGAACTTGAAGCCGTCGCCAATGTGGACCTTCACATTAGGATGCTGGAAGCCAAGGCTCATCCCGGGGAGATATTTCTTTGAGACGCGAATGACAGCCTGCACAATAATCAGCGTCAGACCGTGAGGAGTTCCTTGCAGTTTTATAATCTGGCTGGGCATACCTCATCGATATCGCAGAGAACAGCCTCTTCGACTGATTCGTGCTTGACAACTTCACGGAGGACACCGCCGTCACCTCCACCAATGACGAGGACTTTTTTGGGGTTAGGGTGGGAGTTCATCGCGAGGTGAGTGATCATTTCCTGATAGCTAAGTTGGCGGAATACACGTCAGCCCAATTACCGTCTTCATTCCAATATGCCAGCAAAACGGAGCGTCAGTGGAAGTAACGTACGAGAATTCATCGCGCTCAGTGCACTGAATAACATTGTCCAAAACCAGCACGGTACCATGATCGCTACTCTCAAAAACGAGGACGTCCTGGTATTTTGATTTCTCGTGGTGGAGGATTTGGTTGACTCGAAGGGTCATAGCCTGACCCGGCCACATCTCAGAGATTTCAGAGAACCATCCATCTATACATGAAAGGCCAGATTATTATCGGTTTCCAAGAGATATTGCATTGTCTGGGCCTTGCCCGGAACGCGGATATGAAGCCAGGAGAGCAACTCACCTTTGATGGTGGGATGTGTGATTTCGGTCATTTTCGCTATCGGAGTGTTCCGCTCTGGAGGGGTGCTTCTGCAGGAGTGTTGTCTAAGCTTGAAGGCCGGTGTAATAATGTTCGGATGAAATCGATGAGGGCCTAGCCTGTTCACAAGGAGAGTTGGGCCCAGGAGATGAAGATGAACACTCTTGGTGAGCACCACAAACATGTGGATGATAGGAAAAATTCCCCCTCCTTTTTGGTGCTTCTCTTTTTTTGCTGAGGAGGGGTGAGGATTCTTGGCTTCCCATTGGCTACTTTTAGTACAAAGTTTAGTTTCCACGCGGTTTCTATTGGCCTACCTTGAGACATCAAAAATCGCGAATTGCCCTATAGGATTGGATATTATATTACATCTGCGTATCGATACGTCACGGAGGACCTCAGCATCTCCGGTTTTCACGATTTCGCTTCAAGTCATGGAAAGGCGTAGGAAACATCGGCTTCCAAGGACCTAGGCCAACGCCCATATCATTCTGGCGACCAAGGTGCACACAAGGCGGACGGGAGACGGCTGGCAGCAGTACGTGTGTGTGGCTGAGAGACGGTTGAAATGGTGATGATATCGTCATATCCTGCTAAAGTAGATAATTCACCGAGTGTCTGTTTCATCCCCAAAAATAGAACTAGATCTTCTCCAGTACTCCGTATCAAACTCCAACTTCAGCCGTTCAGGGACCCCAATGCGTCAAGTAGCCCCGGGTGGCTTTTGACTAGAAGTCAAAAAATCATGCTCTCTCCAAACTCATCGTTCTCTAAGAGCTACCGGGAAAGATGACATAGATTTGCTAAAAGGAAGGAAATTCATTTCAAAGCTATTACAAGATATTGTTTCTAAAGCAGACGATTTATTTACATCGATGGGCAATTTTGGAATCCCAAACATCGAGGGAAGGGAAAAACCGAAGAAAAAGGTCACCACCAGCCGCCAGCCTCGTACCTACATGCAAAAAAAGTCCTCGCAACTCCGATAGTCCGGTATATATACTATAACAATGAAGGATATCAGTAATTGTAGAAAGATATCTTACGCCAACCCAGACAAAACATGAAGTGAAAAAAAATCTAAAACAAAGGTGAGAGAAAGATCCAGTCGTCAGCATCAAAATAACATCGTATACTCCCACAATGCATTATTTTTCGCTCATCATATAACCCATCTATCTCGTTGACTGCGACGAAGGGATTGTAAAGTAGTGCGGCGAACTCAGATGAGGATAAGAGGTTGATGGATATTGCCCTGGAATGTCGAACACCCCAGGTCTATCCGGGGATCCGATGCCACTGAAAGCAATGTTATTTGCCGTTTTGAGTAGTTCCAGCTCGGACATCAGCTCCTTTATCACATCCTTAAGTCTCCCAACTTCCTCGGACTGGCGGGTGTAAGAATATAAAAGTGCTTGATGCTGCTCGTGTAGGCATTGTAGTTGATCCTCCAGCGCCTTTACGTGCTTTTCCTTGCGTTCGCGGAAGGCGCGCTGAGATGCTCTGTTTTGTGCGCGTCGTCGCTATAGTGCATGTTCGTTAGGCGAGGACAAAGACGTATAAACCGGATGTAAACTTACAAGATGCATACTACTTAGATTTTCTGGGGCTTTGTGTGAGTTGGATTGCCGGCGGCATCGATCACGCTCGTCGAGTGATGTGGACCCCACATATTCCACAGGTATCATTCCTTCCATTGAATAGTAGGAAGCCGTGGCATCGTTCATAGGGGGAGATAACTCGAAAAGCTCTTTAAGTTCGCTTACATCGAGCGAAGGCGAGCTCGACGATTCTGTTGGGGTCTCAAAGGCATCTGTTGCTAAAGGTTCAAAAGCTGAGGCTTCAATGGATGACTGGGGCAAATTTTCAAATCCATAATCCATTCGTCCTTGGAGCGCGTGGTTGGTAAGATATCGGAGGACGAAAAGACCAGAAGGGCAAGTGTCGGTGATGCAATTATTGTAACTCTGCTAGCTAGAAATCAACGTGGACTGGAACTTCGTGCCCATCAAGACGAACGGAAAATATCGAAACAGTGGCAAGGCCGTCATAGCTGTCCTTTTATAACGTCCTGGCTTGTTCAGATTCATCTTAGAGACTTTGGTGGTGATGAGATATCCGTGAATATGACTTCCGTCGCGCACAGGCCATGCGTATCTTGTTCGTATTGAGAGGCTAAGATGACTTGAGATCCTGGACGAAAAGTAGCAAGGGTACAAGGGTGGTCATTTCACGCTAACTAGCCATTTTGCTTTCGGTCGAGCCCGGGTCGCGGAGAGAGATGAAAGATGGACCTGATCCCTTACCATTTGTTTGAAGCGAATGGAAGTCTCTATATATAACTGATACTTCCAAGAAGAAGCTCTGCATGCATAACCTCCTACATACCTAGCAGCAGCCCTTATTCTCAAGTTTAGCGGTCTGCGTATATGCTATCCATCCCACCGGAAACTGATAGCGCCATGGCTACTTGTCAACCGTATAACTATTAGCTGTCACGAAGGCGCAGACAACGGGTGAACGGCCAGCCCGGGAACCGAACAAGGCAGAAATTTTCTCATCTGCCACAAAGCAAGTTTTGACTGACTTTCAAGCTCAATAGAGATCCGACGAACAAGCATGTGGAGTGCAGAGTCCGCAGCATCAGAAAAAGTAATGGCCTTCTTTTCCACGCTTCCGTTGAACGGGATCCCAGCCCCGGTCTCTTGGCGCAGGCGGGTTTCTCTGGCCGGAAGGCTTTCCCTGTGGTAATTTATCGAGGGTAGACTTCGTGTTCATCGCATTTGCAGATCTGAAAGGGCTTGAATATCACTGGAGTAACCAGCTCAAGCTTCGTAGAGGAGCAAATCCCAGCCAACGCCCACGGAAAATGTGGGGATTTGAAACCAGTTGAAGTTATCTGCCAGAGAAGGTTGATTTCGGAATCTTCATATGTGTCATCTAAATGCCTTGGAGGCGGATCCGTGAAGTTACTGATATGAATATCATATGCCGGCCACCAACTTGACAACTCTGTATTTGATCATCCACGCCTTTTTTTAGTAGTTCTATCCTCCTAGAACTCATCTAGGGCATTTGGTAGCATTTTCGGAACATATTAACGCCGGGGATATCAAGTAATTCACATAGCGACGGTTTTTGGAGAAGAGATAACCTTGCTGCAACCCTGCAAATGGCATGAATGGCGGTCGAGTAATGATGCCGCGGACTTCTCACTCCCTTTTCTCGATACTGCGGGTTTATAGATCTCATCAATAGTTACCTGGCTCTTGGCAAAATCGCACGAACCGTGACAAAAATAGAAAGTCTAACATGCGGAGTATATGACTGGGATCCCTGAGTTCTCAATATAGCAGATTGAGATTCCTCCCGCGTCGCGTCTTGTATTTCCTCGTTCTTCCCGAGCGATAACTGACTAGAGCACTGGGTTCCTCAGCGCCCCTGATTGCAGCGTCCTTTGGGATTTCGCCAATTTCGTAACAGTCCGTTGCATACATGAACTCCGAATTATCCCACGAAAGTGCTTGGTAAACGGAAAACGCAGCGTTCATTTTGGCGTTTCGAAACCCTGTTATGGACGAAAGTAGATATTGTCAGGAAACGGCATCTGGAAATTTGAAACGTAACCGCATGTTTTATGATCCCAGTTCCAGCGAAGACTGGGAATGAAAGTCGTGATGAACGCAGCTTGTTTCCAGTCTCCAAGTCATAAAAATATATTTTTTGCTTCTTGGGCAGGAAAGAACCAGATAGGGTATCCGGCCTTTTGACTGCATATTGAGATGCCGTCAAGAGAAGAAGGTTTGTCCGACATAGCGGACACCCAAGGCCGTTACGCTTATTTTGCCAACACGCACTCCAAAAATACAAAGGAAAGGTAGGTCAGTGACGTAGAAAGCGGATCGGGGAGGCCGTTGAAACGGGGGTTTATTTAACTGGGACTGATTGGAAAATTGGCACCTCCAAAGATGTTGATTTTCCTTTTCCGGAATATGTTAGCATCAACGGTTGCAGGGAAGGGTGCTTGCACGATTCTGGCATGCTTGGAATAGAAAGCCAGAAGTCGGTGTCGCTTTTGACTTGGGGGCGGGGTTGCAAGGAGTTCCTGAAGCCCAACCTGTGCGAGTGGCTTGTTGTGCGTATTATTCGCTGAGACCAATGTGAACTTTTTATCACTCGTACTTGAGTCTCCCCTGGAACCTCGGGATTCAAATCTCCTCTTCAGCTGATGCAGTCAATAATCGTCGTGATTTTGGCTTGGAAGGCCGTTGCGAACCGAACGGGCCGCAGAGCCTCACACGTGACTCGGCGGGGGCCCGACTTCATCCTTTCGAGTTGAATCAATTCTTCTTCTTCTTCTTCTTACTCTTCTTCTTGCAATATCACCGCAAGATGTTTGCAGCACTTGTTAATTGACAAATTGTTCCAATGGTTCAGCACTCCGAAACACATTTCTGGAATCAGCTTTGACAATTCGATTGCCCTTTAAGGGCCCTGGGAAGATACATTTTGTTTCTGAAATGAGATCAGACTCTCAAAGGATCTCAATTGATAAATTCTCCGTATGTTTTAAATCTTCAAACTTACCAGAGCGAAATATAAATTTCACCCAGAATCTTGCGACTATACTATAAGGTTGAACAAAATGGCATATCATCGCCCCTCGGCCCAAGAGATGTATGATTCTCTCCAAAATGCAGAGAAGCAAAGCAAAACACCTCTGGAACCCACTGCTGGCCAGTTCCACCTTTATTTCAGCGACCACGTCAACTTTTCAGAGTGTGTCTGGTTCTATCACGTGGACCTTCAAATGGATTACTGAGTGCTCATGTTGGTGAAATTGTTTCATATTCCCAAATTATACTTCGTAATGGTTGCTTACAATAGTAATCAGGGAACTGTGGTACTCGAAAGATGGAATGAAGCTCTGTTGAAAGTAACAACTATCCAATCACATGAAACAAATTACATGGCCGGCATATACATTCTGGAGGAAAGTGGTCCACAAATGACGGTTTGAAGGAAATAAAAAATGGACGTCATAAATTAGCGTCGACCGTCAAGCCTACCGAATTTTGGTATCGCGGGGTAGCGAATTGCGTGCCTTCAAGAAGGCGGGTTCGAGGCGATGGAGAAGAGTCTGAAATTCTGCTTGACCTAGTTACACTAACGTTAACAAAAGCATTCTCTGAAGCGTCCAGAGAGATTCTTACAACAGGTCATCTTTGGCGACATTCACGGCAAACTTAGAGCGAGCATGTTTCAGTCCCGGATGGATTGATGACCATGGCCCCGGGCGACCTTGACCGCATGGTCGATCTTTCGGTCCCACCATCGTATGGCCGCATCTGTATTTAGTTGTGTTGAAGTGGACGTCACACATCTTGACTTTTTTTCTGCATCTGGGTTAGAGATGTATACCTATTGAGAATAGGGATATTCATGCTCACAAAATGCCGACTCAGAATATCTGGTTATTGAGGTATTGGTGATTGTGACCTGTCTTCTGATGGTGGTATACACCATAATATTTTGATATAAGAATATCAGACGGTTCCGAGAGTGCTCTGGCTGATGAACTTCATGAATATCACTGAGGTTGAAGGGCTTTATATAGCGCGGTCGATGACTACATTCGGGCTGCTTCGATTTGAGCCCTGAACGGCACGATATCCAGATTGCCTCGCGGTGTCGCAGCGGATTGCTTTGTCAAGGCCGCCATTATACGACGTCATCTTAGCTGGCTATATACAGCTCCCAGAACCCGTCTGAGTCCGTAAACCAGCAATATTCAAGGCTTCAGTTGCCAACAAGCCTGTCAAGAAGCCCAAGGGGGATGGCAACAACCAGGAAACCGCCGACACATCTCTATGCACCTGATTCTTGCGCTGCCCACTGGCTTGCTCCGGCGCGCGACTGTGCATTTTCAGCTACTCCTCTTCCGTGACAGCGTGAGCGACCTACCATGTCTATGGCAACCTAGGCGGACTATTACGCGACCATTCAGCAAACAAAACGCAATGGTAGGCAATGGTCCTTTTCTAGCCTGCGGATTAAGACGCGCCAATAGGTTCTCTTTAAGCTACGCGTCTTCCTCAAGCCTACTTTGCTACGCCAGACGCGCTACCGTATTAGGACCTAATATTCCCGGCGCACGTGTACGGGAATATCTTTACAAAAAAGAATATTAAAAAGAATATTTATAGAGGTAGAGGGTATCAAAACGGTTCATTTTGTCGGGCGAGTTGAAGAAATCAACCCAAGAACATTCAAAGAGCAATGTTGGCATTGCTGTATTTCTCATCTTCCAAGGAACCAAGGAATTGGAGTAGTGATTGGTTATTCAATCCTTTGAACGCGCAACATCCTCGTCTCAATGCGTTGGCCAAATCCGAACTGAATGGGTCATATTCGGTAAGCCCCTTTATTATATCTAGCTTTCAATAGCATGGAAGAAGCTGTTGGCATTGTTTCGTTTTGGCCAGCCCTTCAAGCTTTAAGCGCTTCAACCCTGGTCGGGATAAAGTCATATTTGACCTCTCAAGTAACTAGCTCCTACGCTGGTGTCTGAGCGCTGATCTTGCAGGGCTCATTTGCGCCGCATTGAGTACGAAAAAGCATATCCTTACGGAGTACACACAGTAAATAGCTCTATTCTCCCAGGTTTCTTCACATACTTTTATCGCGACTGACGGAGCTAAATCGCATTCACACTGCTAGATATAGCTATGCTCCAGACAGCTATGACATCAGCTGCAAACTACGAGTAATACCCTACGGAGTACATATATTCCGCATGGAGCGTCTTGTTTAGGTCTACGGAGTAGAATTAGTTTGATTGGTACCACTGGGCATCCTCAGATCTGCAATGTGATGGGCACTAGCAAGGTTGCATCGCAGGAGCCCTCGCTGCGGCTTCAAGAAACCTGTCAAGCGCAAAGGCAGTGTCGATCATATCCCCAGCATCGGCCAGAGTCAATCGCTCCCGCTTCTTCGAATGCAAGGTTCGAAACGTTTCTCGACGAAAAAGAATCTGGCGGCAAAGCACAAAGCACAAATTTTGTCGACTAAGTATGTAGGGCAACTACACAGTCGCTGATAAAGGGAGTTTAGACCGATATCGAAACATCCATCAAAGGTTAACCGCAGCTTCAACTTCCCTGTTGTATCGTTGCATTATTCGCGAAACTGGTGAATTCGTCAGGGGAGAGGCCTCCTTAGGTCCGATCAAAAGTGCGCTTTGTCTCAGGAACCGAGTAGGATTCTGGCATCGCTCGTTCACCATATCAACATCATGCAGTTTTCACGGTGGACGATGGTGCTCCCGGGCCCTGCGTTTTGCCAGCCAATGTCCCCCTGCTTCTGGCTTGAACTGGCCCCTGAGGAGTATCGACTCGAGGCCCTTGCATTAATACCGGTGGTTTCGGAAGGCCAAGGAGCCGAATGTAATCCGTACGCCTCGGAAACCGGGCTAAACCAGAAACAGAACTCTGGGCTCCGTTCTTGAAGTCTGGAGCCAATGACTATCGAAAGACTGGTGCGCCCCTTGCGTTAGCTGTCATTTACAGTGGTATCGCAGTGTAATCTGAAGCCTGCTGATAAAATCGCCAGCCTGGGTTGGGCTGCCGGCGTTCAAAGCGCCTGCATTGTACGGAGTACAGTGCAGCAGGAGAAAGAGAGGCATCGCCGTCGTCTTGCGTCTGGCTTTTGTGGCGAGAACAATCCTACATTATGGAATACTCCGTACGGAGGGTTCCGATTCAGTGGGCGTGTTTCAGCTGGCGCGTCAAAACAGTCACCAAAATGGCCCTTGCTCGCATGATGATCTCTGATCTTTCCCGAAACTGTTTGGATAAGAAAGCTGTGGGACCGGATCCATCGCGGGATTGGGGTATCTGGACTCTGGGATCCAGAGAGGAATCGGGCGCTATGGCTTCGGGAAACGATCGACCTTGACTTATGATGTGGAGTGGAGATCCGATAACTAGTTAAGCTGGTTTGAAGAAGGTCTGAGGAAGTTGGAGCACACGACTGAATGTATGGATATATAATAAGTAGATATATATTCGGGGTATGCTAAATAGAACAATAATGCACAAACAAAACAAAGTTGCAGTGTTTTTCTTCTGCAACAAGTTGGACCTGTGGGAGATCCCTCTAGAGCGAGATCATACATAGTCTGGAGCGCCCTTGAAAACCGACTCACTGGCGCTAAGCGGGTGATTGCGGCCCCAAAGGATTGGAACTCTGGAATCGCAGCTTGACGCCACGAGATGATGAGTCTTGATAGCGTTTCTTTGTTCGTTCGGGAGATATAAACCCCAAACATCCCCAGTCGTAGACGGGCAAGCTTGAAAGGCTTGTGGGACTCTTTGAAGGGCCTAGTCAATAGACTTTTGCCCCAGGACACTTGTTGAAGGGCCAAGGGAATGATGAATCCCGCAACCTGCTAGCAAAGCATCCTGAAGGTTGAGCACTCCCAACGTCCAACTACGTTGCCTGATCGAACCGAGAAGCGGCTAGTTCACAGGTCTCATTGGCCTACTGCTGGCCCTGTCAAGGCCCCACGGCCCTGAAACAGCGGGAATGACAACATTTATGTAACATGGGCACATGGGCGTCGAATTCCAAACGGCCATTGTGGCTTTGGCGAGGAATAATAGCAGCTTCCTGCAAGTGTGAGCTTGGGCGAAGCGCGGTGTCCTCCGAGATCATCCCTTCTTCAAAGACCTAGAGCATTCAATCTTGTCGCTAACGCAAGGCTAGTGTCTGATGGCTGGCTCACAGGAAAAACAAACCAACCTCTCCAAGCCTGCAAGGCCATGCTCATCAGGCTTAGTTAGTTATGCGAGTTAGGCTTGTGGCTCTGTCCCTTCAGCCGTGCGGAGTATATCTCGGCGCTGCCACAATTGCGTCCTGCTCTCCGAAACTATTGATCGTTGTCCTCGCCCGATATTCCACAGAACGCAGCTCGATCGACTCACAGCGAAGCTCCCACGTCCTGCCCGCGAGCAACCCTCTTCTTCGTGGCTGAAAAGTTGACAAATCCACCCCCCTCGCAACCGAGACCGGCATCCCTGGCCCGATCTCTTGTCATTGACCCCAGCAAGCCCAGTTCTACACGGGGTATATGCGCACCTTTTCCCGTGGGCGCGCCCAATAATCTGCTAGGGGATTCGGCATCCTGACAGGCAGACTGGCAGCTAAAATCTCCTACCTTCCAGATTCTTCTCAGCCCGGCGGTCTTGCGCTGGCATTCCATTTCCATCCCCTTCAATGGTTTCCTGATGCCTAGGCGAATCACCATCTTCTACTGTGTAACTGCTTCAACCCCACTGGCTGAGTGGTTCAATCACTTTGATTCCTCACAGTGTGTGTGTTCTTCGCCTTGAATGTCATCTTGGGCTCGTGCATGGGTGATACTGCTGAGAGCACATGAAGCTTGACTTTCCTGGGTTACATTCACTTGACCTTCCCATCGACCTTCACTTTTAATTCACATCCTGCGACATCCTTTCTCTTCAATCTTTTCAATCTGCCTCCAAAGAGTTATATAGTGGTTGTCTTCTGCGCCGTTCCCACAAGATTGGTTGCCAGGTTGTCATTCTGGAGGTTCTAGACTGTGAGTGACCTGGAGAAGTCCCACACCTCCCTTCAACGCTGACAACATCCTGAAAAGTGATAGTATAGGTAACCAGTGGTAAGAGCCCTTTCTAGTTTCTTTTCGATATACTTTTAGCAAAAGCGACTTTGACGAGGCCTGGTCTCCAACTTCCCCATCACCCACTTTCGCGACCCTGCTGCTACCAGACTCGACTGCGAAATAACTGATTGCTTGGGTTTGACTGATGGAATGTTAAGAGGTTTCAATCGGCTTTCCAAGATGGGGTGTTCCGGATCGAAGGAGCTTAGCCCTGACGAGCGGCAAGCTATCAAGCAAAATGCGACTATTGACAAAATGATACGCATGGACAAGAAGACGCACGACCGCACTGTCAAAATCCTTTTGCTTGGTAGGTGAAATCCGCGGCACACATATGGCAAAGCAACGGTCCTGAGACTTTCAAACCAGGTGCTGGCGAGTCTGGAAAATCTACGATTATAAAACAGATGCGCATCATCCACGCTGGTGGCTTCCCAGAAGACGAGCGTCGCCAAACACGCGCCGTTATTTATTCTAACATCATCGTGGCCTTCAAGATCTTAATAAATATTATGGAGGCTGAAGGAATCGGTTTTGAGAAACCTGCTACACAGGTTAGCACTCTTGTTCTCAGTTCGGTTTTGGTAAACATTATTGAGTGCGAGCTTACGATAATTATTTTTTCTTATTCCACAGGATTTTGCCAATTTTATAGAGGGGACTGAGGCAGACGTGGAATCCGATGAGGCGTTTACAGATTTAAAAGTTCGAGAAGCGATGAAGGGAATGTGGGATGATTCAGGAGTTCAGAAAGCAGTCGCAAAAGGCCACGAGTTTGCTCTTCACGATAACCTCGACTAGTAAGACGCTGGTATTCTATCCGATAACGAAAGCCACTTTGCTGACAAGACATCCTCTCAAAGCTACTTCAATTCTTTGGACCGCATATTCACCCCTGGTTGGCTTCCGAACAACCAAGATATGCTGCATTCGCGATTGCGAACAACCGGAATCACAGAGACTCTCTTTGAGTTAGGGCAAATCAACTTTCGTATGATGGATGTCGGTGGGCAGCGCTCAGAACGCAAGAAATGGATCCATTGCTTTGAAGGAGTCCAGTGTCTGCTTTTCATGGTGGCCCTTTCTGGTTATGACCAATGCCTTGTTGAAGATCAAACTGCGGTGAGTAACTTCCGCCACAGACCAAGGATATGTTGTGGCTAACACGAGGCCGAAGAATCAAATGCACGAAGCAATGATGCTATTCGAATCTCTGGTCAACGGCGACTGGTTCAAGAGAAAACCCGTCATTCTATTCCTCAACAAAATTGACCTCTTTAAACAAAAGCTTCCATACTCCCCTGTGTCAAAACATTTTCCAGAATTCAAAGGGCCAGATGGCGATTACGAAGCAGCCGAGAAATTCTTTTCAGTGAGGTTTAGAGGCATGACCCGTATGCCTGAGCGCGAAATTTATATTCACCCCACAACCGCCACCGACACGACTCTTCTGAAAGCGACCATGAACTCAGTGCAGGATATGATCATCCAGAAGAATTTGAACAGCCTTGTTTTGTAAATTTCGTGATACCCTAAAAGTCACGCCTCTCGACTTTCATTCGCATCTGTTCTTTGCATATTGCTATTTCTATTATATCCCATGTGCTTCTTATTTCATGCTTCATCCTGTTCGGGAGTTTGACGGAGAATGGCTGCAATCATCGAGCACATGTCCCGGTTATTGCACGTGTTGATATTTTCACTGTCTCTTCATCTTCATACTTGTGACTTTCGGGTCGAACTTCAATTTTTCCGGCTTTCCTGTATAAGTTTCGCTGGGGTGTTTCAGGTGCCTCATAGAAATGATGCTATTACTTTTGTTTAGTTTGTTTTCCTTTACCGCGCAGGTCATCACCGAAAGCTTATAGGCTCTTGAGCCAGCTGATGTTCAAGGAATGAACAATCTACGGGAGGGACAGTTGTTTTTCTTTGGTGTAGTTGGTGGATCTGGGGTTAAGGGAATGAAAAGTGGAAGGACTTCGAGTTTGATTGTAATGTCTTTTTAGCAGCGTGCTTTGTGAATATTAAATAATAGATGGGGGACGTTTACCATTTGCTTCTCGCTTCGCAGTGACCCTTGCTAAGTTTCTCTAAGTGCCTTTACCGTTCATGTCAAGCAACAGGAGAAATGCGCGCAGACTCTGAAAAGACTTAAAGGGGTAAATACGAAAGTGTCTGACAGGGGATCTGCCTGTCTGCTCGACATTCCGCGCTATCCAACCCCCACGGCTATAAAGAAGCCCGAGTGTCTGCGGAGAACCGCCGACAAATACCATGTAGGCTTACCCCTCTCGCTTGGTTGGGCAGATGGATGCGCCTGGCATCTGACAACCGAGGAGTCAAACGTGTTTGTGTCGACATCAATATCATTCAGAACACTAATGGCATTGGTACAGTCCTCGTCCACAGCAAGCTCTCTTTAGGATTGATAACTTTCATTGAGCTGTTGTCCTCGTTCCTGGAAATCATGTCATGGGACGCCTCCACGTGACATATCGGGTGATTATGTAATTTGTGGCGGCAATGTGACTGAACTCACCTTTAATCCGCTTGGGAGCAGAACTTGCTCACTCCAAAGGTACAGCAGACAGTGATAAACCCTCCCCCTTCGATCCTCCCTCGACTGACTGCACAGGAGCTGTTCGCGGCTCTTGTTGCTTCAAAATGCTTTCCTCTTCGATATGCCGTATCGCTCGAACTCCAACGGTCGCCATTCCCGCCGTGACGCCACGCCCATCAACCATCGCCCTCGCTAGCTCCGCAACCAACCTCGCTGCTCCTCGAACCCATCACCGCCGGTATTCCTCTTCAAAACCCCCAGTACCCCCGAGTGATGGCTCCAGAGGCATCGATGCGCCATCGCAAGCTCCCGCAAAGAGTGTAAGCCCGACGAAAAAAGAGGACGCTGAAAAAAGAACCAAGCGCCGGGCCAAGGAGAGCAAATCCAAACCAGAGACTTCGCTGAATCTTCCTAGCGTTCCTTCTACACAGCATTTACATCCTCAAGGTTCGTACTCGCTATTGTTTGGCTTGTCTGAAATTTTGGCAATTTGCTTGTTGAATCACGTGGACCTTTTGGGAAAGATCAGATGTGCTAACCAAAGGAATATATTCAGATATACACGTCGCATCTTTCTTTTCTATTCACCGGCCCATGTCCGTTACAACCACGGTACCTCCGGCGTCGACTTCCGAACTTTTTAATTCCATTTTCTCCTCGAAAAAGCAATCGAAAGCGCGGCAAAACGACGTAATCTACACCATTGCTTCGGCAGTTAATGTGATTGAAAATGCGATTCCCAAAGGGCCTCACTCTACGGAAGCAAACGATCTTCGTGCGGCTGTAACGCAGGCATCGACGAGCAATGCGGAACCCGATGTGACACACCTTGATGGCGTCCCAATGCAGGATCTGCGGATATCCGTTCAAGAATTTGCCAAGAGACTCAGACCTTTTAATCCTCCCCCACCACCTGTCCCTATGGATGAGGCTGAGCAGGCGAAGGCCATGGAAGCGGAAGCCGAAGCAGCCGAAACGGAACAGAGTTACTCTACTGTTCTTACGATACGTGAGTCTAGCCACGCAGACGGTTCAAGGAGCTATGAGGCGTTTACAACACCATTTGTTCGTGTAGAAGAAATGGAAGCGCCGTCGGGCGTCGAGACAGAAACCATGGGGGAGCAACATATTCCCGAGTCCGCGAGATTACCAAGCCGTTTCTTAGATAGGATGCGGATCCGACAATTGCGATGGGAAACTTTTATGGAGCGGAGAAGACCCACGATGCATGCCATCAGTGTTAAAAGACAGCGAAAGCTCAAGATGAAGAAACACAAGCACAAGAAACTGATGCGGAAAACAAGAACTTTGAGGCGCAAACTTGATAAGACCTAATGAACTTGGCTATTCGCGGTCAATTCCGGTCTGTTTTGATTTTCTGGTCTCCTCTTAGCTGCTGCTTCTGTTCGGTATAGCTGGCATTGTTAATCCGTAGGTATTTTCGCGTTTGTCTCTGTTGGTCGGACGATCGACTTGGCTTCTCTTGTTTTTTCTTTTCATACAGTCTATAAGATTTTCCATCCACTCAGAGAAATGGTTTATATATGCCGCTGCTGTCCACCTATGGCAACACTTGCCCGTCCCTTGAATAGACCATGCAGTCCACATGGCTTATCTTGTCTTCTCGCCTCTCTACGCTTTTTGAATATACATATAGAGTATCCCCATCAATGCATAGCATGAAGCAATCCACACCAAGCCTTGCAACCGTGCGTTGTTAAACTACCTTTTATAAGATGTAGACAGCTATAAGGAAATAAATGCATTAACTACAGTACACATAGCACAGATACATATACATTGCACATGAATTCAAGTCCCAAGATATCCGAAATCCACGTCTAGCATAGGTACCAAAGAGCAATTATGATATAGTAGCAGGGAGGCAACGTACAGAATAAGCAGGAGAAAACCTCAAAGACTGGCAATGAAAAACCAGATAGAAACCCCAGAAGGAAAGGTAGAAACGTCTAAAATCAGGCTAAATCCCCAACCATGAGAGTTGGGATACATGTTTCGGCCACCACAGATAAAACAAATGCGGTATGGTGTACGGAGTAGTACGACGGTTTTAGGTTCTCAGGTCAATGGCAAGATAAGTAAAGTCATCATCCTCACCCACTCATATTCCATAGTACTTGATTTAAACACAGTTGACTCCCACCAGTCTTCATTAGTTGGCCTAGCAGTCGATGTATCGGCTGGCAGGCTGTGTTTAAATTGGTTGTGCAATGTTTAGCATGTAACACCTTGCGTTGCACGGGAGTTCATGAGAAGTGCAACAATCAGTCCGTATAGACCTGTCAATATTGATTAGAAACATGAGCCTTTACAATTATTAACTTCATAGGAAAACGAACCCAGGACTTCAGCGAAAATGAGGATCAAAATCATTCCGACGAAAAGACGGGGTTGTTGTGCAGTTCCACGGACACCAGCGTCACCAACGATTCCGATAGCGAATCTAGGGGCAGAACGATCATCAGCATGGATTTACAGTTATGATGAGGGCAAAACGTACCCTGCGGCCAATCCAGCAAGACCGACGGACAATCCAGCACCAAGTTGAATAAAGCCGGTGTACAACGATTTGTCCTGACCCAAGTCGTTCGCTATCAAGACCGAGACAACCAACCCGTAAATGCCAATGATACCGGCCATGACAATAGGAACGATGTCTAGAGGAGGTAGAGAAGGCGTTAGCGACGACTGAAGCACATACGGGATTTTGTGCACCTGCGAAGCCCGAGCGCCGACATTATGGGTTCATCAGGTGAAGTTGAGCATCTTACTTTTGACGATCAAGTCAGGTCTTAGCACAGCGGTCGAGCAGACGCCCACACCGGCTTTTGCTGTCCCGTAGGCAGCACCGAAACATGTGAAGATGATGGCGGAAGAGCATCCTAAGGCACCAAAGAATGGCTGTTGTTTGTTCAATATCAGTACCAGGCCCAGTTCTAAAATGCGTCAAGGAGGTGGAAAAAGGAGATAGACAGTCGGGTCATAAGTCGTGTTTGCTCGTCGAGTATGAGTGCAGAATGCTTAGGTCTACTAACCGCGTAAACAGGGCTAGACGTGGTTTAACAGTTAGTATTAAGGCCAAGATAATCGACAAAACCCGTATAGGGACGAGTGATACGTATTTGGTCCAGAATCGGCTTACCAGAGATCTGAAGGCATCTTGGTTAACTATGAGGAAACGTTCAACCGAACTCCGGATAGAAAAGGCACGGACTCAAACGATAGGTTGTAGGCAAAATAACCAAATAGGCAAATTAATATGGATCAATCACGGTTGTGCCTCGCTTAAGATGTTAGAAGGCAGTGGAATTAGAGAAGTTGTAGCTTGTTGCGCTGTGAAGCTTTGGGATGTTCGTCGTCGAGCCCCAAGTGCTGAGATCCGGTCACGTGGGGGGCTATCGCCGCTCTATCAATTCTCCCGACCCGCTACAACCACGCAAGGGGAAAACAAAGCTTCAAATTATGTTCTTTTGGTATACGAACTACTTAGGCTAAGTCCCTATTACAATTCTCGAACCGGGGACGTCGATCTTGGTTCCTGGTGGTTCGAGAGATCGCCTTCCTTTGACTATACCCTTTTCAACGGTAGTAAACGTGATGCCCTTCTCAGAGAGCGCTCCGAAATAATTGTGCAGCACGACAAGATCGTTGCTGAGCGTCTGCGTTGATTTCTGCAGGTCATCCTGATTGTCTGTCGACGGAAAAGATGATTCATCCGCAGAAGGAATCACTCCAAAAATACAATCTTCTGCAGTTTTCTTTGCTGACTTCGAGTTTTGAGAATGGTGAATGGGTACGCCAGTGTCCAAAGGTGCGACGAAAAACTGCACAGTATCTCCAGGCTTCGCTGCCTCGGAGAGCGGCGTGACCAGTTTCCCATCATTGAATTCCATCAAATTCGGAAATGGATCGGAGGGAAATTCGTTGATATCCGGTTTCTGGGGTATTTGCAAGAACAGTTCATTAATCGGGTGACGGTGCCCGGAACTGTGCTCTTCTTGATAGCTATACTCAGGGTCGAGTGAAAGAAGACCCTGCTTTTTACCCCATCCACCACCTCCACTCATCAAACGATGAAGGCGGGCGCCACTTTGAATTGCGCCAGATACATTGCTAATGTAATCCTCGTCTTCAGAAAGGGGTTTCGTGTGACCCTCAGGCCTAACGAGAGCCCAGACGGCTAATTTGTGGTTTTGTAATTTGTGTTTCTCAATATACTCTGGCAAAGCTTTTTCTAGTTCTGCTGATGCCGGTCCCGACTTTGTGGATCCATTCCCGGTTGAAATCTGACTCAAGACATTTCCCATGCTTGCAACCACTTTTCTAGGTTGAGTAACTGGGTATAAAGGTATATACGGGGTGACAACGGGCGAGCGAGTAGCGGATTGTATTCGGCAGATCACGAGATCCTTTGTTTCCTTTAGTTTTAGACTCGTAGTATCTTTATCACGCTGCCAGCGCGATGCTAGCATCGTTCGTGGCTTTCCAGTGACAAAGATGGTGTTAGCCACGCGGATCCCAATCTCTGTAAAAACAGTTTCGTCTCCTTGGGCGTGAGTAACTGCATAGGTAATCGTGGGCTCGATTTCAGGCATCGAAACATCCCGCCTCCGCATGGGCCGGGCGATATCTCCAGATAAGGAGTCCTGGTCGGTTAGTAAAAGCGATATTCCCTCATAGCCTTGTTGTTCGAGCGGTGCCAGGTATTGAGCTGAGGCTGAATTTGGAATTGGTAATTTGTCCACCACAGCTGATATAGAATATAACTCTGCATTCTCCTTATCCATTTGTAACGCATCCCGAAATATATGGCTCATGATTGATGGGAGCAGTGTGTTATGCGCCTGTGCCCAAGCTGCCAACGCCGGTGTAGCAAGAATTACAGGGACATTTCGTAAGGATTCTGGTGCCCGCGGAAGAACTGGCAGCTTAGGTATGATGGTTGCAGGTTCCTAAAAAGCGTTGCCATCAGCCTGGGATTCTCACATTCGTGTATAATAGGCAACAACTTACCGCAAGGGATGCTCTAGGAGTGAGCAAAGTAATAGCAGTTAGTTGCCCTCTCCCTCTTTGAACAATTGCATCTTTTTGTAAGGGTGTAAGACTGCTGAAACCCTTCCACCCCGTAGGCTTGCGGCAAGCCCTTCTGGCTCCTTGCAAACCATGTTGGGTTGCAACAGGGCCCCAAATCAAGCCTCTAGTGATCATCCTCCTTGTAGCTGAGTTCAAGGAACATTGCGAGAACTCTGATATGTGTTAGTGACCATTCACTGTTTCGATGGAAGGATGAAAATCAGAGGGACATCGTCCTTGGAGCCATACGGAGTTATCAATGCCAAGGACACCTTCAGCATGGTCGCATATACTCCGTACCCCGTATTATTATTCGATTTAAGAAAACAATTTGTGTCAGACACTCATGACGCCACTAGGATATGATAAAATACGTCGTAGAACGGCATTAATCGAGATTGTTCATTTTGTCTAGGCCAAATAACCAGAGACCGGGAGAACGAGGAAATTATGACAATCCCATTCCGTGCTTTTTATGTATATACCCGCACATAAGACGCCGCGCAAATAATTTCATACCCAACGCCCATAAAACCTGGCTTCCTGAAAGTGAGGTTCATGGAAACAGAAAGACATTCAGAAATGGTACACGAATCCAACCCGTACATCGACTTTGCAAACATACCACATCCCACCCGCTATACTTTGACCTTGCTAGTCTCCTTCTGGACGAGCTTCGTTAATTCTTCGTAAACTTTGGAGTACTCCTCTTGCTTCTCAGCGTCGTCTTTAGATGTTTCCTTCTTCTTCTTACCGCCGGGTTGCGGAAGAAGCATAACAACACTGGTTGGTCTCTTTGTCGCTCCGGCGCTTCCCAATTCAGCTCGAGACGTGACGTATACGTAGGGGATCCCATGATCTTCGCACAGGACAGGAATGTGCGATATTACGTCCATTGGGGAAATATCGGCTGCGAGGACAACGATGCCAATTGGCGACGTAATACTGACATTCGCGGCGGCCATGGGCGATTTCCGAACGGCTTTGACTACTTCCTTGACACCTCGTTTTAAAGATTTGTTCACAGCAGCTAGAGTAAGAACCTGGTAAGCGAATACTCCATGTAAACCGAAGCTAGGAGCGGCATACCTTTCTTGACGCCCTTCAGTACCTTCTTCGCAGCCTTATCGTCCGCCAACGGGTTTGCGAAAGGCACAAGCGATCCAACGGGACGTTTCCCGTCCTTCGGTTGCTCGTCTACCTCCATCTGAACATCCTCGACGGAATTGGACAGTGGCAGCGCCTTCTCAGCCAAGTCCTTCTCGATAGCTTCGGCAACAACGGTGGTTTTCTTCTTGTCCTTATCCTTCTTCGACTTCTTATGGATGCCGTCTACCTCGGAACGCTTCTTCTCCTTCTTCTCCTTCTTTCTTTCCTTGTCACTTCGGTCTTTCGCCATTGCGGAGAACGATAATCGACGATCCCCGTTTGGTTAATATCGGGAAAACAAAAATATACCGAGAATGACAGGGCGCCGGGCACAATGGACGTTTTGATTTCTGAGCAGCCAAATGTTCGTGATCTCGACTTTTTCCTACAAGCTCCAGTGGGAGCGAAAATTCACGCGCTAATCCGTTTTCGTCTTAGTCGCCTACCGCTCAGGTAACAGCAGCAATAACCCTAATATCAGCTAAAAATTTGCTCACCTGAATATCAAGATCGGCCGAGTGGTGTAGTTGGTTATCACGTTTCGTTAACACCGAAAAGGTCCTGAGTTCGAGTCTCAGCTTGGTCAGAACATTCTTTTTACTCTGGCAATATAATTGTATTTTTGTTCAGCCCGGGAAGCCATCATATATTGCCGGTCTTCGTCGAGATGTTGGTGAGGCCGCTAAAGAAAAAGCCCTGATTTTTATGTCGGAGAGCAGTTAACGGGCTGCAATTAAAGTCGGAGACATGTTCACATTGGCAATCTAGATAATAAATATGGACCAGAAATATGTAGAGTATGATTGCTTTCTATTACTGTACAACGCAATCAAAGAGAACCTCTGCTTTCCATCCTTATTCTTGCTAAACCAACAAATTTATGTTTTGACCGTCTTGACTTACTCCTCGGAGGCACCCTCGGCGAGGCGACCAGGCTTGGAGTTCAGATATTCGTTTCTAAGACCATGAGCTGTCAGCGGAGCCCTGAAAGACGCGACCAAAGTCCTAAGCCAATTTAAGTACCTCTCAACAGCCCAGTTCATGATAGCATATGCAGCGACAAATGGGGGAACGACGTAAAGGAATTGGCCCTTGCATCGTCGCCATGTGTTGAAGATTGCATTGTGCATAGCACCTGCGAGTGTGCGTTGACGGTTGGAAGCGAGAGAGTATGTGATAATTCCTCTCTGGGGGTTTGGAGAGCCTGCGAAAGAAAGGCGAAGGTCGTAAGCCAGGTTCTCATCCGGTCCATGTTCTCGGCTTTTTGGTTCGAAGAGAAGGCGAAGTTGTTCGGTGATCTACTATCTCAACATACCAAAACTACCCCATCCTCCCAGCCACCTGCAACACGTTAGCAATTGGCCATTGAGCAAGGCAATCTTCAAGATAAATTGTCGTTTGATTTTAGCCGAAACAAAATCCGCAGTGGAATCGCCAGTACTCACACGCCGTGCTTTGGATCCGCTCCAGCGTTACCCATTGTTGATACCGACGAAATGCTATGAACGTAAGGGCTTGTTATGAAGAATAGGAATAGCTGCGACTAACACGGATGTTGCTCGATCTCGTCAGAAGAAATAGACGATGCGGGATTGGCGTGCTGGTTGGTTGTTCGCTGACAACTTCACCCTCCCACGCTAAACCCGATTTGGCTACGGCGACTTCTGGGACGTCCGTCAAGCTTCCTGCAAAACGTCTCGTCGCCAAATCGCAGCTTTCAAGGAAGACTTCGAAGCTGAACCGGCGCCCGCTGCACTTCCGGATACCCACGATCGATTCTCACCATGGCGACCCCTCTGACCTTCGTCTATAGATACGCCATTCCGATTGCGTTTGGTGTTTCGTTTGCCCAGGCATCTATGTACGATGTCAAGGGTGGCACAAGAGCAGTTATTTTCGACAGACTGAGTGGTGTTCAAGATAAAGTCGTCAATGAAGGAACACATTTCCTTGTTCCGTGGTTGCAAAAGAGTATCATCTACGATGTGAGAACGAAGCCTCGAAATATCTCAACGACAACTGGAAGTAAGGATCTGCAGATGGTTAGTTTAACGCTGAGAGTATTACATCGCCCTGAGGTGCAGAAGCTGCCCAAGATCTACCAGGTATGGAAACAAATAGCACTGTCGTTTTTCGCGTATTTCTCCTCCGGTTAACTAACAACTTGCATAGTCTCTTGGGCAAGACTACGATGAAAGGGTCCTCCCGTCCATCGGCAATGAAGTCCTCAAGTCCATTGTCGCCCAATTCGATGCCGCAGAACTTATCACCCAGAGAGAAGCCGTTTCCAACCGGATACGTACCGACCTCATGCGCCGTGCTCAAGAATTCAACATCGCCCTAGAAGACGTCTCCATCACCCACATGACTTTCGGTAAGGAGTTCACTCGAGCCGTCGAGCAGAAGCAAATTGCCCAACAAGATGCGGAAAGAGCGCGATTTATTGTCGAGAAAGCCGAGCAGGAGCGCCAGGCGAACGTTATTCGAGCCGAGGGTGAAGCTGAGAGCGCCGATATTATCAGCAAGGCCGTCGCCAAGGCTGGTGATGGTTTGATCCAGATTCGACGAATTGAAGCCAGCCGAGAGATTGCGCAGACGCTGTCCACCAACCCCAACGTCACATATCTCCCTGGCGGTGAAGGTGGAAATGGGGGAGGCAAGAGTACCAGCCTTTTGCTTGGATTGAGATCGTAAGGCGTGTTGGTTGGAACCTGTATCAAAATGTCTTACTACACTATTCTTCTCATATCATGTCTAAAATGTATTTATCCTTCTCCGCTTCATATCATGTGTTGGTAAATCAAGGCTTCAATAGTCACTCAGTCTCTATGAAGCCCGGTCCTAATGAAGTTCTGAGATGTATCTTTGTATATGTTCCGGTCTTGTTGGTAACTGCCATCCAAAACCAAGTAGGCTATATGGAAAAGTGCATCTCAAGTGAATATTTTCAATCTTCAAGTTCAAAAACTATTGCATCCGGAACAGCACAATCTTGGCATGCGACTTTTATAGTGTTCACTTTTGAAGCCAGATATACTGTCCATTCCTCTGTTTGTTGCCTTACATCCCAGACCAAACAGACTGCTAAGCCTGTGACAATCTTAACTATTACCCTTCATCTTGCAAAATCGATCCAAGAGCATCAAATGATTGACAATTCCAAAAGCAAACAGGGAACATACATTGCTTCAAACCAAAAAGGAAACGGCAAATGCCATTATTTTTGGTCTCTGGTGTACAAGTTCCCAGAAACGCTAATTTGTTTGTTTATATAAGTTCTCAGCCAGGCCCCCTCACGCGATCTTGCAACACAAACTCACACATTCTGTTCAACAATGGACAATGTCAAGCACCAAGACAACATGAATGGGTTTAACTGGGAAAGGGCCCAGCAGCGACGAACTGCTGGACTTACAAATGCTACCGGTGGCCGTCCAAAAGATAGGGCTATCAAAAAGGGCGGCGAGCAGGAAAAGGGGACACCGCACAAATTTTCAAGAGCAAGGAGTGTTTGGCGACAATCTGCTTTACCAACACACGCCACTCACTCGGACAATAAAAGAAACACCCCTGATTGGAGAAAGAAAGGTGCACAGACTTCCCAGAACAAGGCGGATGGCTGGATAGTTGGGAATAATCAAGGGAGTCAACGCACAGAAGACAGTTGGGCAAGTAAGGATGACATCCAAGGAAACAAGAACACAGGTGATGGCTGGACAATGAAGGATGACAATCAAGGAGACAAAAACACGGACAATGGCTGGACAGCAAGCAGCAGTGTTCAGAAACCAGTCACCGGAAATGGTCTGGTAGTAAGTGATGCTAAACCAACATCACTCCCTAAATTCCACCCTATCAGGGCAGATAATCGTTATAGACAACAAAAGAGCCACCCATGTGGCGGCAGCACCAATATTAAACTCTCGGACTTGCGCGCCATGCAAAATGGGATTTTGAAATCCGCAAAGATTACCCACTGTGAATATGCGGGATCATACAATTGGCTTGACAATTCAGTGCCAACAATCCTGATACCAGGTAGGATCATCTCCTGAAGTCCGAAAAATGAGGCGCTAAACAGTATTGGTAGGGGCACCACCCGTCTGGACGCCCATTCGTGGACCTCACCAACTCAAGCAGGATAAGGGCAAATATTTCCGCGATCAAAATTCCGCACGATGGCGAAAGCATCCTCTAGAGCCAGCAATTCGAGCGGTTTTGGACTATAACCCCAAATTTGATCCAGAGGATATTGACGTTGTTACCTGCGCCGGGATCCTAGGCAGTCTGTTCAAATTTGCTTCCTCAGTCCCGTGGACGTTTGGGTTCGATATGGAAAAAGTGGGCAAGACTGTCTTTATCGTCAGACGCGAGAAAAAACCAGACGAAATCATCGAAGGAGTTTATGGATATGGCCATACCTTTCCCGAGGCTAACACTAGCTGGGACACGTCAGTGAAAAACTCCGTTTCCCATCAAAGAATCATTCGATATCGATTTGCCGGACTCAATCTTCTGGTTCGGTATGAAGCGGACGGGTACTTCCCTAATATGGTCCATAAGCTGGATGAGCTTTTCGAGGTTATTGGACGTGATGCAAAAACGAGCGACGTCGACAGCCTAGTCGATGCTACAAAGAAACATCAAGTGACCGAAACACGAGCAACTGAACATAGCACGCTTCAGATTCGGCAGGCGGGATCGATTGTGCCTCAAGAAGCTCTATTTGACATCAAAACCCGCCACAAAGACAATGAGATTGATATGCTTGTCCAGCTCCCACGTCTATGGGCACGCCAGATGAAGAATTTCGTCCTTGCCTATCATCAAAATGGATTTTTCGGCGAAAAAACCATTATTCAAGACCTTAGCACCGATATCGAAAAATGGGAAGACGCCAATCAATCGACCCTGTCACTTGTGGCAGTCGGTCTAAAGAGATTAATCACAGAGATCAATAAATCTGAGACGTCGCGCTTGGAGGGTTGGCGAAGTCGAGACGGCCCATTAGTCCTTCGAGCTCAGGACGACGAGTCGAAAAGCGTATTGCCCGCAGATCTCACGTCAAAATGGGAGGGAACGCATTCAGAAACCGAGGAGGAGGAGGATGGGCCCCCCAGCGAAGACGAATGGGACTTTGTCGACCCGAAAGGAAAAGACCTTTTGCTTGATTATTAGTGCTCCTTGGGGGACCAATTCAAAGCTTCCCTGAAGGATCTCCAATCCAGCTACTAGATTGGCTCGAAATGTTGTCTTTGTAGTTAGTCTCTTTTGTTCTGTATAGATCGGACACTGATTTTCGGGATGTTATTGTGAGATTACTAGATTGAATAGGACCATATGCTTGGAGCTAGATTCCTTCATGTACTGATATCCCGTGGTAAAATTTTTGTGCGCAGATATCCGCAATCGCATGCTCGCGCCGTTTTCCTGGCTGGAGGTCCATTCTTGTGATGTTGACTGAAAATAGCCATCCAAGATGTCGCCAAATCTCAATGTAGTTTAATCCCATGACCCTTAGAGCCTGCGATAAATGTGGATCTGGTATCTCATATCCTCTAGCCCAATCCCTTCGCCCACATCGTACACCAAGGCGTCTTTATCCCTTCGAAACCATCGCGACTCATCACAAAGCATACACTCCCACTTCTCAGTCGCGACAGAGAGCAGCGTGTGTTCGAGAAGGAATCGCATGGGATATTTTCTTTGAGACGACTCGTTCACTTCAGCCGGGTCCTTTGAGCCTAGGGAGACCGTAGAGTAGCTGCCAGGGCTATCGACGATAAGTAATACTGCCCCAGCTTTAAGGATATCTGTTAACCGGAGGAGGAAAGATACTGTCTTGGGTATCGAAGTAGAAAATAGTTCGTTAAGAGTAAACATAAGAGTGACAAGAGTACTTGTAGAAACCGTTTCTCGGTTAATGGGTGGGTATAGAAGATGCGTAAGGTCATCTTCTGAAAGACCCAACACGTCTTCTTTCGCGAACTTGACGGCAAAACGCTCAGTTTCACCATCATCCGGGAGTAATGGAGCCGGGTAGTCTTTCATAGATGGCACTAGCTTTGATTTCATACCATCGGACAAGCAGGCGACAACGCCAGACCAATCCGCAATATCAATCGCTGTCGCATTGAGCTTAGGAAAACTGCTCGTAACCAGACGCTCCTTGCAGCTCTGGCCGTCACTCACACCAGCACCCTCCAAATCCAGCCCAGAGACCCGCTCACTCAGACTCGTCTCTTGCTCCTCCTCCCATAGAGCTCTCCAAACCCCCGCCAGTGCCATAATTTCAGCTCCGGCGCCACCACCAACACACAAAACGTGGACATGCCCATCCCGGAATAGGAGCTCCTTCAAGCCCCGGAACACGGCTGCGTACCCCAGAGCCCGCCCAGCGCTCCACCTCAGTGCATAAGCCCTCAATGCATGCTCATCGGCCTCCGCAAATGCTTTCACAAAGTCCCTTTGGTAAAGATGTGCCTTGATGGCTTGAATGTGCTCGGTTAAGGATGCAAAGAGAGACTGTGCTTCAGAGCTGGACTGTTGAGGAAGAAGAGCGGATTTGAAAATGTTTAAGATGAGCTGCTGAAGGGGTGTGGGAAGAGACGAGCTGAGAAATTGCTCCCTGGGCGGAGGGACATTGTGCGCTACCTTTTTGGGCTGGGATTTATTTGGACTTGGTTTTCCTCGCTTTCCGTTGACACGCTTGGTGTTTTCTTTTCTTTTCGACTGTTCAGCCTGAGGGCTCATCTTGTTCGATTCTGCTATATTGAATCTGCGTTGACGACCGGTGCTGAACCACGTCGTCTTGACAAACTTTGGCGGCGCGGAAATTCGAAGCCCCGAGCACAACCTAACCAAATCTGGTAAACTCTACAACTCAGTGTGATATAGATTCTTACATCAACCTCAACAGCTATATATGTATAACGCAAGTTACCCAGTTCCGTCCAACCAAGGGTCCGTGAAGAGTTCTTTGGCAGTGCTACGATCCTCCGGTTTCCAACAAATCATTCGTCGAATAAATTTCGCGAACATGGTTTTTTCTTGACCCTCAACGTTGGCAAGCAGATCTTCGAGACGCAAACCATCAGGAACTAGTTCTGTAAACTTAAATTTCCCTAGATAGGTTGTTCAACTTGGATGTCAACCCCAGAAGCACGAGCTTTCATTACCTTCGTCATCAAAATACTGTGAAGTTTCCTTCCCCTGGGCGAGAAGTTCGGGTGGTGGGGGGCCTAATATAGCGATGATGCGGGCCAAATATCGCTCATCTGAATATTGAGGAGTCTGCGGGTCGAAAAACAAACCGTGATCCTCAAGGAGATCCCAGAGCTAAATTAGCTAGTGATCAGTATGAAATCTAAGAGAAGCATGTAAGTATGTATTAAAGGTCGCATTACCAAAAGACCCAAATTCCATATGTCAGCACTATAACCCCAGCCTGCGCCAAGTAGTACTTCAGGCGCGCGGTAGCCATCGGGTTGAATACAATGGTTGTGGATTCGGCCCTCTCCAGGCACCGCAAGGCCAAAGTCAGTTATCACAGGCGCTCCCATATTATTGGGATTGAAACCAAAGTCGTTCCGCGACAGGTATATTATGCGGTCTTCGAGTGTCTTCTGAGGTAGCGGACTCTCCATTTCGTCGTTTGCAATTGTACTCAATACAGACTTGTCACTGAGCCATAGTAGAATGTTGTCTGATTTGAGATCTGATACTCCTGTTAGCGATATAAAACCAGAATTCTTAGGAATTGGAATACAATAGTACCTGTATGGATAACATGACATTGTGAGTGAAGACAAATGAGGCCCTCAAGAATTGGTTTGACCAACGCCTTCAGGACATTCAAAGGCAGTACATTTCCTTGAAACCGGCGCTGCAGGATCCAGAGCGGCTCCCACAATACATCAAAGACCATGCAAACGTGTGTTCCATGAGGTCCATGTAAATCAAAAGAATCAAGCAGCGTGCTAACATAATGACGGCCAATGGTTTGTGCACTCGCCTTTGTCACATGTTTGGCTACTCGTAACTCATTTTCAGCATCTGCCTTGCTGGCAAAATTGTTCGCATTCACCTTGACTGCAATGTAGCGTGCAGGGCGCCAGCGCCATCTAACTTGCTCATTAGATTACAGATAAGGTTGCAAGGAGGGTGTTACTTGAAACAAACTGGTCAAGATCTTTCGCCAACCAAACTGTTGAGCTTGTCCCCCAGCCGAGCTTGGCTGCGACTTGGTATCTGTCATTCAGTATCTCGCCGAAACGGATAGGATAGAAGTAGCGGTGATTGTAGTTAGGAGCTCTTTCTTCTTCAATAGGATCGGCCACCGGAAGCGCTTTGGCAAATTTGGTATATAAAGCGGTAGGCTTCGATCGAAGGAAGCGGGAGATATACGTTCCTGGGAGTTTCATACCCCTCATCAATTCAGAGTGACAAAAGATAGTTAACTAACTAGTCATGTAGAGGTTCCAGGTGAATTCAAATCTTATGATTATTATGCCGCTTGACTTCTGGCAGTTATGATAGTTACAGTCACAAATAAAATCATTGGTTCCAAATGAAATCCTCACCGCTTCAAGGCTCTTCTCTTTCTTTCCAGTTCATCATCTTCAGGGACGCAAATTCAGGTCACCGCGATGCCCATCATGACCCGGTAGTAGGGCCAAATGTGAAATCTCTGGTCAACACCAGGCATTAGATTAGGTAGCTGCAATTTCCTGTCAAAATCCAAATTAAGGAGATACATACAGCGGCAAATTTTGATTTTGTATGTACGTCGAGATAAAGAGCTGGGGCCAGTTCTTCCGCAGCAAATCTAGATCTTGAGTGTAAGCCAAAGTAACGAATAGCTTGGGTCAATTCTTGCCCACCAACATCCAGCCATAGACTCTTCTGAATACAGCTATAGAGTATTTCCATTCGTCCTTGGGAAGTCATAATTTGAACCAAGCAATATAAGTATAAGAAAGAAAGCAATAGTTACCTCCGGCAGCGCTGCGGACGGCGCTGGAAACTCGGGTATTTGTACAGTATCTCAAGTTTGAATTGAAGCCATGGTGAGTGTAGCTCAGAGGCTGGATGCTGAAAACCATCAGAATGAGTAGCTGGCCCTGTGGTATTTCATACTAGTAGCGAGCACCAAGTATAGAGTGAACTATGGCAAAGAGCAGACCGCCCCCCCGGAAGCCATGACCCTAAGGATCAGTTGATATCAGGCCACATTAGCCATGTGATTTCTCGGGTAATATCTCAGCCAGCCGAAAACATGCACTTGAGGATATATTTCAAGGCTAACTTGTGCAAGCCTTTTTGTATTGGGCATTCGTGCTGGCACAGAGTGGTGCTGAGATTGGGAGGACAAGTGAGCAAGCTCATACTACCCATAGATAACTATTGAATGGATAAACAGCGGCGCCAAGAACAGGAACAAACTGCTCACTTTGCCTTGGGTAATCCAAGCTGCGTTGCCGGACTCTGAGATTCGTTAATGAGTACTCAGTATGGACTGCAACTTGACGGGATCTGTCTCTGCAATCCCTTTCAGTGTATCTTCTCAATGTCGTTCATTCAGTTGCCGTACTTCGCTCCCATCATACCTCACACGCAGTTTCCCTCCTTGACTCAGTACTCAATATCGATGGTGGGAATGGGGTAGGCGGATGACTGGAGTAAGTGGATTGGGCAAATTGTAAAATGCTCCTATATTGAATATTTATGGTTCCAGGTGTTGGTTCTGACCTATGGCCATGACCTGAAGTCCGTTTATGCTGCTTTGTGATTGCAAACAGGGTCAGCATTTGATACACAGGGCATTCGCATATGCACTCAAGCACGATAAGACTCAGGTTTCACATCATGATCAGAAGTGAGCAATCAATCCCCGGTATTTCTCTCTAAACAACAGTTGTTGACTCTCTCACCTACATACACACTCAAACATACATACAAAGTGTAGATACTCTGATATCAGATTGCTCAAAAGAATCTCATAGCTTCCCAAAGCTCCACCCATTGTCACACTGCGCACAATCGCAAGTGGAATCCAGATCTGGGAAAAGGTAAAAGAGGCGAGATGTTTACACGAACAGATGGAAAATTGAACTGTAAACGAAAAGCCATACCGTCGGGTAAGCACATAAATCCCGAGTTTTGAAAGTCAACAACCGGGCAACAAAGTCATAAAAAAGAGTGGGGCGGAAGATTCATAGTCGTGGATATCTTAAATGAATTGAGCCCGCGGACGGTGCAGGGCGAAAAGGAACATCCTTCGCTGAACAACACGACTGGCAGGCAGCATGAACAACAAAAAGGTTGTAAAACGAGGGTAGTGAAGAAGAACTCGAGCAGTGAAAGGATCGGCGCAAGCACGGGAGGGAAAAACATGCCGAAATTTAAAAACGAGAATAATACTCTGAAGGGTTTCCCTTGGTCTCGTGAAAAGTCGCGAAGGAACAAACTGTGGTTGTTTAGTTTCGAGAATCATAGAATGTATCTGCAGAAAGAATGGATTCGATAGAAAGCACCGCGACAACGCTGGCAGGGACGAAAGTCATGCATGAGGAGGCCCGCACAAAGCGGAGAATTAAAGAGGTAAGTGATATAATGGTGGAATCGAACAAAGAATAAAAACCAATTACCATCCGCAAAAGTTGTTCCCCGTATACGCCCAAGAGTAAACCCACCCAAACTGATCGAAAAACATTTGATTCGGCGTGGTAGTATCGAAAATGGAAATTTTTACTGAATGTCTTTTTGCTTTTCTTTCTCCTTGCTTTTCCAAAAATGCATCAGGCGACTTATTCTATTGCCTTTCTTTTTCTTCTTTTCTACCTCATCCGTAGGAGCTTTGTGCTCATAGCTGAGTTTGCTTTTCTCTGCTGATGCCACGCCCACCAGTCTTGAAAGGCTGACAAGACTCGAGCGTTTGGTGGTGTGCGAAGAGCTTGGTCGAGGACGGTTTAAAGCAGAAAATGAAGAGCATCGGTCTCCAGCAGCCTTGGAATGGAGCCCGGATGATAGCCGCGGGATTGTGCCGGTCATAGTCGAAGCGCTACTCGTCAGCGACGGCACGTCTTCAACGGAGTTATGGAAACATTCGCTTCCAGGCTCACCGCTATAGACAGAATTGGTTGCTTGCCTATCAGTGACGGAAGAAGGTGTTGCTAAACGAGGAGGGTCGAAGGATGTCATGGATGGGGCGGGAGAAGGTGTTGCCGAATCTGTTATAGGTACGCCTGGCTGCAGTGGTAGGGGAGCTTTCGAAATATCCTGTGAAATACCAAAAGGTCCAGAGGGGCACCTCTCATGATACAAGGGAGAAGGTGGAGATGTGGGGTTGGTTGAGTTGTCTGGTTGCCCGGACCAAGGGTCCGTGTCGAGGTGCTCAACTGTATCCCTGGGTGAAACGTCCAGTTTGGAGTTGCGAGGGATGCCAGAGATATCCCAATGTGGGGTGCAGGGAGTGCCGGCCACAGTTGTACTTGGGCAACTATCAATTGTTTGAGGCGTGGTGGCGTTAGATGATAAGAATTCATCAGCAATATCGACGATTTGGATTCCCAGTCCAGCGTTATTCCTCGAGGTCTCGAACTTGATCGTAGATGTTGAACAATGCTTCACGAAAGTCTTCTCAGTTTTAGTAGAGGGCATATGCGACAACATGGGGTGGCTTGGTGTTTCCTCGACTTGACGTGGTTTGTTAGTTTCTGCAAGAAACTCATCCTCTTCCTTTTCATCAAACACGTCAGGATTAAGCATCGCTGCTGTACTATGACGGCCAAGGCCAAGTCCAGATCGGTCGAACGGCGGCATTTCCGGGGCACTCTCTGCACGCCGATGGTACCGCATCTCTGGACCGACAAACTCCCCTCGCCTACCACCACTGTACATACGTCTTGTTGCGGCGGAGAAGCCACTGACAGGGCGATCGGATCCCATTTCAGGGGTGTTGAAGGGACCTAAAGCCGCATCTAAATCAATAACTGGGCTAAACATGTCCAACTCTCTTCCTTGATCATAGAAGCTTTGAGGTTTCCATGAAGTATCTAATTCAAGAGTGTCATCCTTCAGGGCAGCAGGCAAGGAGCGTCGGGGCGCATTGGGATCAGTGGGCGTTCGGATCACAATTGTGTTGTCCGAGTCAAAGTCTACCCCATACAAAGAGCTCATTGCGGAGTTTGTTCGAGTGAGGACCGGCGGTGGCGTGGGGGCTCTCCGGGATGGCGGCCTCTTATTTCCTCGTTTCTTGCCTTTCCGAGTAAGAATGCCAGCCCAAGATCGCATTTTCTTTTGCTTCTTGCTTTGTTTCCTATTGGAGACTGTGCGTTGCGGAATGGATGGTATCTCTTCTGAAAGTACTGAGTTGTAGAGCGGATGCCGGGCAGTTAAAGGTTTCTTGCCCGATGGTAGTTTGGAGGCCACATCCACAGAATCAGTGGACAAAGCCATGGAAGCGGAAGCAGTGCGTGGACGCTCCGTCAGACTGTCCTTTGAATCACCAAACTGTGCTCTGCCTAAATCGAAATTGGCTCCGGCAGTTTTTGGCCGCGTAACGGTATCGCCAGCCAGAGTTTTCGGTCCAACGCTATCCACGGTGCTATCAGATCGGGAATGCCTGGGGCGAACAGTAGACATGCTGTCTTCTGAAGAAACAAAAGAAAGCGGACGGCGCTGTTCAGCGGCAGATTCCAGGGGCTCAGGTCTCAACTTCGGCGACAATCTTAGTTGTTCATCCGATTTGCGAGGAGTAAGAGGAGGGGTGTAGGCAGCATTTCTATTTGAGAATGAACATGGACTCAAACTTGCAGCATCTTCGTTGCCATTATGGTACTTCTTTGAATCAACGGGGGTCGTCGGAGCGCTGCCATTGACTGGTTTCGGCGGGAATGCTTTAGTGATAGCGGTCAAATCCACGCTCGAGATAGCTGCGGATCTACGGTGGGCATGACCACGCCTGCCCGGACCTCGGGCGCTAAGTCCAGGCCCAGGGTTGGGGAGCGTCTGAGCTGGCATGGTAGACAAAGTGGACGGAACGCTGTTCAAGGTTTCTCCACCGTTCTGTTCGCTGTCTCGTTTATTATACCCAGCATATTGCGAACTAGTCGTCAACGGGGCTGAAGCAGGACCTGGTTCTGGGAGCTGAGGGAAGGAAAACGCGGGTAAAGGAGGTGGGGCCCTCTTATGTGTGGGCGGATTGTGAGGTGACGATTCCTGCGGCACAAAGTTGAAAGGTAAGCTAGAAGAAATATCTGTGGCTGAGTTCCGTCGTTCACTGCTAGGACCGCGGGGCCCGCTGGGCTGGTGCCAGTGGGAGTGAGGAGCAAAGGACATGGATGCCATGGCGATAGAACCAGTGTCCCTATCCGCCTAAAATATGACTAGTGATCGAAGCAATCGATTTTTCAATCAAGAAGAATCCGAAAACGTTGGCAGGAAGCGACCTCGATTCGGGCTAAGCACCTCCCACCAATATGTATTGAGATTTCACCAACTCATTTAACACGCAGTTGAAGAGCACGAAACGAATGTCGACGGCGCTGAGGTCCGTTTATGGGGAGTCGAACAAGGACGAAGAGGCTTTGTCTGACGAGTGAACGGTATCGCCGTATTCAGGAACGACCTCCGGAGAATGCGAGACGGGGAACGGAGACAAAGGGACGTCGTGAAAGGTAAGGAACGGACGGCCACAAGATGGGCCAGGGTGCGATGGAGGGCGAGTAGAGGGAGAAGACGGTGGATTAGGAGGTCGACGGCGGTTGATGGATGAAGAGAGAGAGAGGTGACGAGGGGAGAGAGAGGGGAAAGAGGGAAGAGGAGCGAAGAGATTCGAGTGAGAAAGAAGAGTTAAAATGAATGGGACGGCAACGAAATAACACTAATCACGTAAGAAAGAAGAGGGAAGGATGAACAGGATCTCATGGAGGGAGGAGATGCTGGGATGGAGTGTCGTTGGGTTGCGGCACTTGGCACCACCCAGAAAAGGCGGAAATGAAGGCCTGCCGCGCTGTGATTGGCCGGCAGCGCAGCACACCTGCATTAGTCAGACAGGGTGCCTGACGAGGGGCGGCCCAAAGCGGCTTAGCGCTCGGAGCGAAACAAACCCATTGAGATCAAGCCACCGTCGGTCACGATACCGGGGCAAAACACTCAGGAACCCGGCTTGAGCGGCGGCTATTGGCTCGTGCTGATGGTGCGTCGATCGTTTTACCGCGTGTGACGGGAACCCTCCCCAGCCTCAGGTCAGCGAGACAGTAGACTCACTCAGACAGCCATCAGCAGCGAAGAGCACGCAGCATGTCTCGACGGCAGCCGGCTTCAAAATTCGATGTCGACTTGCGATTGCGCCCTTAATGCCACGTTGTGCCAAGCGTCTGGCGAGGAACAAAGCCCGGCGCCAAATAGGATGTGTTTTTCCCTTGAGACTTGCTCCTTCAAATTGGCCCAGGTCATGAGACCGCCCTCCAATAACCGTGCTCGCCCTACTGCGCCATCAAAACATTTCAGGGGTTAGCCCGGCCAATCACGTGGCCCTAAAATGCGTCTCGTATTCGCTCGGTAATATGACAGCTGACTGGCCAATCACAGCTCGCATCTGTCATAACCAGCGCTCCACAGCGTCTCCACTGTTTCTCGGCTGACCCGTGCGTGTGCGCAGCCGGCCAATCAGCAGCGTGCCCTGGCTGCTCAAATTACAGCTCCCTGCCCATCCCCCCCGTTTCGTAATTATCTTGTTTCGTTCGCTCGCTGTGAGGAATCTCCTGGGCTTGATTCTCTCTTCAGCTCACACGCCCGAGTTTGACGCTGGGTTCCTTCTCCAAGATCGTCCCACCGCGTCACAGGAGGTGTTTGGTATCTCTCAGAAGCAAATAGCGCCGGCAATGCGCTTAGCACTGCATAAACGCCCCTCCGTGAGACGAAGATGGCTTCTGCCTGCTGATCCCTTGAGGGCTACGCGGCTGCCGAAGCCAGCCATTCTGCTACGGGGTGATGGAGTGGACGACTAGACTATCGATTTGGAATTGTCATCATCAACGCTATTTAACTCCCAGGTGGATAATTATTACGCCAGGGAAAGAAACAGATCCTCTTCATTTTGGTCTGACAAGGCGTTGCGCTTCTCTGAAACCTTGTGACACTGTCCTTCGCCAGCCTCATCATCTCATCTCTCAGCTTCTCAGATGGCGACACAAGCAGCCGGACCGTCCCCAAGCAGCCACAGTTCGACATGTCAAACAGTCTGTGAAGAATTGCCGTGGTCGAAATCAAGGACTCCAGGGGACCCATGATCCCTGGAGTGCCCCAGAGATCGGGTGAAGATGCGCACAGCCCCGGCGATTCATCAATGATACCCCTTCTTGACTGCAGCCCGTCAAGACTCGAAAGCGGCACAGACTCCAGAGGAAATCAATTGTCAACCGCGCGCTCTCTCAAGCCAAGCTCTCTCGCACTTGGAAACCTGCTCTGAGACTTGAACAGTGCACTTCGTATTCATCAGCTCTCCCAGCTGCAAAGAAGATCCCAATTCCCGGAAGTCAGTGCACTCTTTATGAACACCGAGGAAAGCATTGATTCCCTGAGAGAAGAGTGCCCATTGGCTGCACATTCTCTCACCCTTGTCAAATCAAGTCGCGAACCCAACAAGAAGGGGGTCAAATGCACGTTGTGCAACATCTCCCCTTGCGCAATGCCCTGACCCTGACAGGATCCCAACTTCCTCGAACTAAAACAAATACCCCTGCAAGTATGACAAATGACGCTGGAAACGTTTTGCAGAGGCATTCATTGCATGTAAAACCTACAGAGGAGACTTTTCCTCCACGATTGTTCAAACGGTGTGGCGGTCAGGCCAGGAATCTTGTGTTGGTAAAGGCGCAGGCTCACAGACAAGTGGTCGGGGGAAAGATGCATGCATATCCTCAACAGGAAAACGACTGGGGAGGTGCTTTGCTTTCCGAAATGAATTGATATTTCTTCAATAATGCAACCAATCGGCTCACAAGCTCGTGTGAGAAAATGCCTGCTCTGAACTCATGCATGGGCTGCAGCAAATCGAGATAAGAATACCCCAGAATCGAATCGATTGACATTACCCAAGATTATTTCGGCACTTCGGGACCCAATTCCGCTTGGGACCGGTGCATATGGGGAACAAGTGCCCTGTATCTCATTAACCGAAGGAGAATATCAAAATCGCACAAATGTTGCCACCAAGCTGGGTGTTTATTTTTTTTTGTATTCCCCAAGAATTCCCCTTCTTCTCATCATCATCGTCTACCATAACGGACAAGAGGATGGAAATGTTTCGCCTTGAAACCCGTGCAACACAAGGGAAGGGTTGTCTGTGTATCCGCCGCCCCGGAGATGTCCTGTGTCTGGATTTCTTGTGCATCCGTAATGCTCCCTTTTCCTGCCTTTGTTTGATCATTCAAAGCTGCGAATATGATTGCCATTTTGCCCTGGCAAGCATGCGCATGCATATATGTCTGTACGGACCACTTCTCGTCAGGGAATCTTGCCTGCCCGCGGCTCTCAGCCCCCACGCCTGCCTGGGGTCTGCAGATTTCGACGTGGTGGGGGAACTCGATGAGAAAAATTTTCCCACGTCTGCATTGCCATGACTGGCGGTATATCCCAAGGCGAAAAACTGGTCATTTGCCGTTTTTGGATCGGGAAAGAGGCGAACAGTGGGAAGACAAAGCACGATTGCTGGTCGCCTCGTCTAGTGCCAACATATCCTGGTTGGAGGGCGGTTGAAGGGCTTTCCTGGATATGTATTTCCGCAGATTGCATCTCGAATTTAGCTTTTGTACCTTGGATGTCTTCAAATCCCGAGAAGGGAGACATGTAATCATGTCGGCGATCAAGAATGCTCTGATATCTTGATAACGGAGATTTTGTAACACTTTCCCCTCTTGATTTCTTCTTGCTACTGATTTTCTCACACTCTCTTTTCATCGTTGAATGTTTTTCTTCCCGGTACTCTGTGCATTCCCGTGATTTTGCTCTCTGCTCATTGTTACCCAGCCAGCTTGGGAGGAACCCAAATCAAGCCCACAGGGTCAATATGGGCCCAAAAGACGTTTACGTGCTACCTGAGCCCACAAGCCCACAAGCTACTTCGGGCGTATCCGTTTTGAAGCTCCGAAAAAAGGGGACCAAGAGTTCATGCACAGCTACCTGCAAGGTCGTTACATAACTTTCAAAGCCGCCCAGTGCACATTGCGCTACCGCTAACCGAAATGCCCGAACCAAAAAGAACATTCAATAAAAAATAAAAAATTAGGAAAGCTGGAACAGGAATAACAATCCGAGCAACAATAAAAGCGGGAAGAGTGTTGTACATGCATAAATCATAGCCGCTGAGGACAGCATTACGGGGAACACAGAATATGCGCGACGGAAACAAGCATATATATCCTCCCAAAAAGGAAAAAGGGAACGAAACAGAGATTGTTTCCCGCCCCCCTGAGAGATTTCGTTTTGCCAACTCAGGAGTCAGAACAAAAGAGACAGCTGGTGAAAGCTTTTGTGTGATCACGCTTCAACCGCCCCCGGAGCAATAGCCAAAATCACCACCAAACTACTCACCATCAGGGCGCCTGCTATAAAAGCAAGGATCGCCACACTGCCCCGGCTAGCAGGGAATTTTCCTCGCACCACCCAATATTGACCCTGGAAGTATCTGTGAAAACCCATCACCAAGACCACGATTGCCACTCCGATGAATGTCGCACCGAGAGGCTTTCCCATACTGCGCAATCGCCTGCTCTCTTCGACGAAACCGATGGAGTTGTAATCGTTAAGTTGGTACTCCTCTGATATGACGGGAGGAGCGAGGTTAGAATTGGCTGAGGCGGAGGTGGGCGAGCGCTGGATGGATGTGTTGAGACGGAAAAGCTGGGTTATCGCTATGCCAATCGAGGCAAATGCGAGAGAAGTGCGGAGCCAGGCGAGGAACGTTCGTTCTAAACGGAAAAGAGGAGGCCGTTAAAAATCTGGTTCCGCAATGAATGATGTTGTTGTAAGAGGTACGTACCCAGAGCGAGATGATCTCTAGCAACGCTGCCTTTGTTATCTAATTCCAGGCTTCCATACTTGTCCAAGGCCCGCTTATACCATGATTGGCCTTCGCCGAAAGTAGAGTGACTCTCCATTGAGGCGGCTGGAGATCCTGCTCGAGCCTGTTGAGCTTGGGGCTGTGGTGGTTGTGGCGCTCGCTGTCGGTTATCGTTCGAATCGGGAGGGTAGTTGTGAACATCCTCTGTCGACTGATAATTTCGCGGCGGCGTCCCCGCAATGATCGGGGCCCGCTCGTGAAGCGGGGAATTTCTCGAGGACGAAGTGGATGAGAAGCCACTGGACGAGGACCGGCTCGGGTTGGCATCCGGCTTTTGAGACCGGGAGAGCGAGTCTATACTGGTGACACTATCTCTATAGCGGCGGAGATGAGGGCTATCATGGGTATTATTATTACTGCCTGTGGGATCAGTCGTCCGGGGGCGCATTGGGTCGGCTGGCATGGCTCCAATGAATTTCTCGCCTCCCTCTCCGGAACCAAGGAACGACCGGAGGGCTGTGTTGCTTTCCCAGAAATCCAAGGTTTTAGGCGGGGGGAAGCAGTGTTCTATGGATAATACATGGGCTGATTGTGAGATTGTGAGGTTAGTTCGAGCAAAGGCAGAAAAAAGGCTCAAACGCGATGCTGGACAGAGAATGATGAGAGACAACCCGGTGATCTCAGTCGAGTTGCTCAGCTGCATTCGATCATCTGGAGGGCTTGGCGAAGATCCAAAAGCAGGTGACAGCTCCACCGGCGCGGCCTGATTGGCTGAGCAGCCGGGACCGAGTGCTCGGTATGGAGGCCCGAGCGGCGGCTAGTCCCGAATCGGGCTGTTTGCTTTGTTTGCTAGTTGGTGAGCGTGAAGGCAGCACAAAGATCTCCTTGGAGCATCGTTATTCGGGATGGAAGAAGATGCGTCTGAGTGTGATCTATATGGTCTGCAGTTTGAGCTGGCAAAAGACTTGGGGTCTGCAGACTACGGAGTAACTACATTCCAGCAACCATGAATATCGCACTGTTGGCTTCCAACGCAAATTCATGGCTCGCGTGAGAAACCATTCCGTGTCCAATGCGAAGCCGACGCAACAAGAATCAATGCTGCTGTTGCAATGTGCCCAAGCGGTGTAACTAATGGACAAAAAATTCGACAGCAAGAGACTCAGTGCATCTAGAGGTTCATCCAAATGCAGGGCTGATATGGGAATGGCTCTGTGTACTCCATAGTTATTCCCCAGAGCAATGAGAATCGTAGCAGCATATAATCTCCCACCTTGCCATTATGTCGTCAATAACTGGTAACTGATCGCAGAAACCCCAAATCGCCCTCCTCATGAAATCTCCGATAAAGCGCACATCAAACGGCCGTGGCTGATGTCAGGAAATTGGCTAACCGGATTCGGATTGAGTAACTAGCGCAATACTTCGCCAAGGTTGTTATCAGGCCTCATTATTGCCTTCAGGTGGATTGAACACCTTGACGAACAGCAGGCATTTGAATAGCTGCAAGCCGCTATGGCGTCCCCAAACCAGTCTTCGCCCGTTTCTCACCCTACAGGCTCACTAGACCTGTCGAAGAAGCTGTCAGGTCTCCGGATAAACCGGCGAAGACAGCCTCAACCGTCCCAGGCCTCTGACCCTCCAACCCCAAATCTCCCAGACCGCCCCTGCCTGACCGCATTCCAGTTCATTCGCCCAGTGTCGCGCATTCTCTCTCCACAGGACCTCGAAGCCTTCCATTCCTCTCCAGCGTATACCCTGATTCTTGCATTCATTTTCAACGTCTCAGATAGTGTCCGACAGCAGTCGGTTCCTTCGGTCGCGAAACTGCCACAGTCGGAAAATATAAAGAAGATACTGTCCATACTCTCGGCTATAGAAGACCTAATTGATAAACACCCTTCTCTCGATCAAAATGGATCGCGCTTTGGGAACCCAGCGTTTCGCGGTTTATTTGATGACATTGCAGCCCACAGCGCGCAATGGCACACAGATATCTTAGGCTTCGAGGACTCAAAAGCGATAGAGGAGGTCTCGACATATCTGATACACTCACTTGGGTCGCGATCCCGACTTGATTTTGGGTCTGGCCACGAGCTGAACTTTATGATGTGGCTGCTCTGTCTATATCTATTTGGGGTCATCGAGAAGATCGACTTCCCTGTTATCGTCTGTCAGGTATACATTCGTTATATGAAACTCATGCGCCACGTGCAAGCGACATATTACCTCGAGCCTGCGGGATCACATGGGGTATGGGGCTTGGATGATTATCACTTTTTACCCTTTCTCTTTGGGGCCGCCCAGCTAGCCGGGCACCCCTATATTACTCCGCTCGCTATACATAATAACGTCGTTTTGGACGAGGAAGGAGACAATTGGATCTACCTGGACCAAGTTCGATGGGTGGATAGTGTCAAAACTGTCAAAGGGTTGCGCTGGCATAGCCCCATGCTCGACGACATATCTGGAGCTAAAAACTGGTATAAAGTCGAAGCAGGCATGAAAAAGATGTTTATCAAGGAGGTTCTTGGTAAATTACCGATTATGCAGCATTTTTTATTTGGGAGTTTGATCCCCGCGTTGCCGGGAATGGGTGAGCGAAGCGAACAAGCGGCTCAGGACAACGGTGCGGATCATTCTCATGGCCATGCCCATTCGCATCAGACTGATTATTGGGGTGACTGTTGCGGGATCAAAGTCCCGAGCGCATTGGCTGCAGGGGAAGAAATGAGGAAAAGGCAGGGAGGGACCGGGTTACGACCAATTCCATTCGACTAGAAGGAAATGGTTATTAACAAAGTCGTTTTATAGTCCATTTTGATTTAACCTTGCAAATACCCAGATCAAACAATGGAAAAGGCCAGAGAGTTTCATTGCCGACTACAGCAATCAAAGCAGCAGAGAGTAAGACGGGTGTAATTGTGAGCACTCGCTAGTTCTCGCGAAAATATCTGAAACAATATATTCCTTCCCGCCATACACCCACCCATAGAACGCCACTATATACTATATGGTCCACCAAAAGAATAAAAGAGCTGACATCAACCGTAAACGAGTAGGTGTAAAACGTAAACCTCGAATGTTATCCGGGTCCAATTCTAGGCCTATTTCGCGATTAACGATTAGCATGTCGTCGCAAGTATGAACCGAAACACCCAAATACGTACATATCATGATGCTCACTCAGGCTGCTTAGATACTTGTTAAGCTCCTCCACGCGCTCTTTGTGTGTCTTTGCTCCCTCTCGTTTTAGCCGCTCATGTAGCTATTCAACAAACATCGGTCAGCAACAAGCTTCCGGCTTAGGTGCCCTCGTTCCTTAGCACGGTACATACCCTCTTCTTCCTCGCCTCTTCATACCTCCGCTCTGCTTCTGTCTTCCCAGCATCCGCCGGCTGATCAGCAGCAGCTGCGCTCCTACTCCGGCTGCGAGCGTCGCGCTCATCGGCGGAGTGTTCATCATCCTCGGGTTTCAAGAGTTCTTTGGCCTGGTCCTGCTCCGGGTTGTTGGCTTTGGCTTTCTTTTTCTTCTTTTTCTTCTCGATCCGTCCATCTTGGATGCCTTTTAGCTTCAAGCGGCCTGCCCCGCCGCCTGGGACTGCATAGTCACTGGGCGGCGCCATCCTTGGAGAAGCGATCAGCCATGAGTGATGGCAAGTGGTTGGTTAGCTCTTGATGGGAGCGCGACGGTATGATTATGTAAGCGTTTAGCTGAATAAATTCACCCACTTCCAACGACCGACGAAGAATTGGTGGACATCAAATCCTCATTTTTGAGATAGACAACATGAACTCGTTTGCCTTGGCTTTTATTCAATTCATTCAGTGTTGCTACTGATTCTTACAGCTTGTGACTATCATCAAATTATGCTTGTACAACAATTCCGAACCCTACGCATTCCTGGTCGTAACCACATCCGAATACCCTCCCCGTCTCCTCTCAATCGAACTCTGGCCCCAACCCAAGCCAATCTGGACTGAACATGCCATTCATGGGCTGCCAAACCAAATCCCAGCAGAATCCGCTATATCCGACACTTTCTGCCCAATCCTTTACTGTTAGACCCAGATAATCAACCGCGTTCACATCCGCTCCCCGGTCGACAAGCAGCCTGATAACTTCCTCTTTGATCTCCCATTCAGCATGGAGCCCGCGCATTTTCATCATATTGATCAAGGGTGTAGCTCCAAATCCGTCCCTAACATTTGGACTTAGGCCATGATCCAAGAGGCATCGTACTACGGCGCTTTGGTTCGGTGATTCGACTGCCCAGTGCAACGCCGTTGATTGATCCGCCGTAACGGTTTTGGCACCATAGTCGACGAGGGCACCTACGACGGATGCATTTCTGCCGTGGAAAATTGCTCTCTGGAGTGCTGTCTCTTTGTCCGCTGTGGTTAACTCGGCGTCGGCGCCGCGTGCGAGCAGGTATTGACACTTGATTTCCACGTTGCTATCAACCGCGTGCATCAGCGGGGTCCAACCGTTTACTTTCTGTGCGTTGATGTCGGCTCCGAGATCGAGGAGCTTCTCCATAATTGTGATGTTTGCTTCAAATTCGCTATGCGCTGCCGCGTGGAGTGGCGTCTCGCCAGCTACGTCTTTAGCGAGTGGGTCAGCGCCGTGGTCAATCATTAGCTCCGCTATGGCAGGGCAGGAAAATCGGCAAGCCATGTGCAGTGGCGTGGAACCTTTGATATCAGCCTTACGAACGTCGGCACCCCACTCCAGTAAAGTTCTGACGACCGCGATGTCGTTGCTTAACGTGCCATAATACAAAGCGGTCTGGCCAAAATCATCCTCCAAATCCACGTTTGCCCCATTTTCCACTAACAATTCAATAATATCTGCTGAACCAGCTGCAGAAGATGCGGCGTGAAGTGGAGTAGTGCTTGGGTGCGACCATTGTCCGTCACTACCAACCGCAGTTCCAGTTGTGGACGCCATTGTTGCCCCAGCCATGAAGCGGCGCTGGTTATTGGGATCTGCTCCGGCATCGAGTAGCATTTTCATTACCGCACTCTGTCGTTCACGATATGCGGAATCGAATCGAAGGTAGAACGGAAGGACGGAGTTCAGTCCCCAAGCATTCGGGTTCACGGCTGAGAGCAAAGCACCATTCACTGCATCGTTATTTTCGATTCCGTCATTCAACAGGGCCCATGTCGTCTCGGGTTGCCATTCCCTTGCTGCCGTTTCAAGAGCAGAGTTCTTATCCAACGGAACGTCCCTGGACCGGCTCCATCTCAGAAGGACTTCAACCACCCTTGTGTGTCCCATTTCAGCGGCAATGTCGATGGTTTGGCGATCTGTTACTACTGGATCTGCGTCGGCGTCTAAAAGTGCTTGGACGATATCTGCGTTTCCTAGCCGGACGGCAATCGTGAGAGCTGGAATGGACAATTCTCCATATTCATCCGGAGCGCGTCTGTGGACGAATGCGCCATAGTCCAATAAAATTTCCAGCATAGCAAGGTCTCCCTTCCTGATTGCTGCGTGGATTGGTGCTCCATCGGTATGCTTGTTGACCAGGTCAATATGTTCTCCCACGGGAAATACTCGTGAATCAAGAAGTGCTTGGGCGGCTGCTGTGTCTCCGCTTAGGACAGCGGCATGCAAAGGCAGGTTTTGCAACTCAATATCCCAAGTTGCTTCAAAGCAGGCGGGCTTGAAGCTATCGCAAAAATAAGATGTCCAGCTGGACGCTTCAGATGGTAGAGAGCTTCCATCCTCCACCTCCATCCTGTCCACAAACAAGAGGATAATTTCAACAATTAACCCCTACAAGTTAAGACAAGTTCGGTTTAATAAAGATGAGAGAAACAACGAAACATGAAATTTCCTCTCTCCAAGGAAATTTCCCTCCTGGTTTGTTTTGATTTTCAGATTCTGACAGAAACACATGGCTGAACGGAATGTTACTGTGTGAATGCATGGCAACCTCCGTCTGATACATGCTCACGTGAGATCAATACGCGCTTAGCCCCAAAGGGGTATCTCTAGCACTCTTTTAGACTGCCTGAGTCATATTGTGTGAAACCTGGAAGAGAACTGATAGGTCTGTTGTTGCAACCGGTGATTTTTGGCCTCAAGCTGGCTCCATGTGTTGGAGACTGTGGTGGTTCCCCTATCAGGAAAGAAAGGGTTTTTTTATACCATTATCAGTCTGATATTTATACATTTTGCATCAGAGCAACTATACATTCTACTATATTGCACTACTCACTGGAAAGAACTGAAGGAGAGGAGACAGTTGGCACTCAGACAAACTACTTTAGATATCTGACTTGGAAACTTCAACTCATAATGGTGGGATACCAGAAATTGTGAAAGATTAATCTGCCAATTGGACTGATTTTGTTCCAAGTAACAATTCTGCAGAGCTATTCATTAACCCAGCTAACAACTCCACTCGCCCTGGACCTAATCAATATTCAGCCTGGCATCGCAATCTAGCTTTTGTCGGGTTCGATAGCATAGTTATGTCGCAGTCAGGATCCAGATCAACCATCGGCTCCCTCTCACTATCCTGTCAGGGTTAATACAAAAATCACAGCAGCGAGAAACTTATCTCTACCTGGCCTAGACATATTACAAATCTACGTGGACTCTACTTGGTGGTTTGTGGCTCTGCATGGATCCTAGGAACATCCAATGATGTGAACGTTGATGTTGACCCTCTGGATGTATGTACAGATACCTGACTTGGCTTTGAACCAACTGTTTGAGATGTCAAAAATACCATTGGTGATTGGATATAAGAACAAGGATCAGTGAAAAGGGTCGTTGAGAAGCAGGTGCGTTTTATACTGTTGGGGAATTCACTGGACTTGTTGTTAGCTTTGCGCACACTCTTTCAACCCAGACAGTTATGCACAAAGTGAAACACCCAGAGTATCCCTGATTTGAACATGAATGCTTCCCATCCTTTGCAAAGCCCTGTGTTTGCAGCTCGCAAGCAAAAGCAAACCAAAAGTCAAATCAACCACACTGTGCTGTAGGAAACAGGAGGGTAGATCACCAAACAGTCACCGTTGACTGATGCATTTATTATCACTTAGAAAGAAGCAGTGGGAGATGTTAATCCAAACATCCCAAAGAAGTAACCCAGCTATATGCCAATAACCCCATGCCTTAAAAGCTTGAAAAAAAAAAACAGCCCGGTCATATATGTCCCCAAACCAAGAAAACGGAAAAAACCCCAAAACTCCCACGGTTATACCCCCTTAACCACCGTCGTCCGCTCTGAATTTAGCCGCTCCGCATTGCGTGCGTGGGATTCCTTTTTGCAGTCTTCTAAACCGCTGCAGGAATGAGACTCGAGCATGCGGTGCTTGCCGCAGAAATGGCCTTTGCAGAAAGTGCAGTCGCCGACGATGCGCTGGGCGAATTCTTTGCAGTCCTTGAATGTGCAGCGTGGTTTGCGGGATGGGGCCATGTTTTGCTTAAGAGAAATGCGGTAGGGTACGGTGATGATGATGCTGGAACGGTAGGCGGAGACGGGGAATCAAGGGGGCAGGTGCTGTTGAAAGGCTGAGGACAGGCGAGTGCGATTAGAGTGCTGCTTGAATCGGTAGAAGGGTGGAATATGTGAGAAGAGCTGGAGAGTGGTTAGAGAGTTGCTTGATTTCTGTTATCTCAGCCATGATGACTCACTGCAACCAAAGCTTTGCTGCCGTTCACAGAACAAGTGAAAATTCTCTTTAACGCGTAAACCGAATGGAGGAGGGCTTGAAGTGCCGGGTAAGCGGTGGAGATTTAAAGGTTGAATCTCAGGATTGCCGGAAGAGGCGGTGAAAAGGTGGCCGCGGCGCTGGCTTGGAAGGGAGGTTGGGATGGAATTGATAGGTTTGCTGGAAAGCGGATTTAGGGGCCGTGCGCAGAGAAGGATGTCTGTTGAGAACAACACGGCAGGAAGATAGGCAACCGAAAATGACAGGGAGAGTGTGTGTTGGTTCGGGGGAGAAGTCAGACGTGGAGGAAGCTGGGTATTTAAAGGATGATCAGGCGCCCGACAGTTCAACCGGCCAAGTATGTAACCTCCCTGTCCAGCATCCTCAAAAGTTAGCTAACTAATAAGGATGGGTCGGCGACTGTCTGGGGGCAAATTGGCACTTCTTGGGTCCAGCGAACTCGTTTTAGCGACCCCAGTGAGGCGTTTATGGGGCAGGATTGCAAAATGCCGTCGTTTGGTTCCTCAGGCTTATCTAGAGCCTTCCAGCACCCCTGGAACCTCGCCCAAGGTATCGTCATGGTGACGGAGGTACCCTGAGGTACTTTCCCCGCCAAACTAGCGGTGGAGATACCTGGGACACTGTTTGTCAGCACAGCTGTACTTCGTGATCGACCGTCTGGGTCACCGGAGGCAATTGGGTATCCATGTGGACAAAGACTGGACCAAAGTCGGGACAATTCTTGAACACATCGGCTTCAATGGTCTGAAACCAACATGCATCACATGCCCTTTTATCGCCAAGATGACTAGGAGCAACAGGATCGCTGAAGGAAAATTCCTCGCGAGAGAGCAACAGTGCTGTATATTTAATTTAAATGCATGCGTCAGCTCTTACCGGGGCCAATCCAGCATGTATCTGCTTCCAGGCTCTGGAGTCCCCATGTCTGTGTAGTTCTAAAGCGCCCTGTTCCGTCAGGTTAACAATTCTGAATGTTCTGAAAAGACCAAAGAAGGCCTACTGTTGTTGCTCTCCTCTAAATACATGTCGTGCGATCGTCTCAAACGGTCGGCTCCCAACTCCACCTCTTCCGCATCTGTCTTTGAGAATGGAACCGGCCGGGTCCAGCAGCTTCATCTAATAGGCCCATATATACTGTTTATGGCTGTCTCCTCATGATCTCCCCTCATCTTGTCACGTTCTAGTTCTTCATCCAAATGTTCTTGTCCGTCATGGCAACCGCTCACTGCACCGTAAAGGTCAGTACGGTCATAGCCACTCGGGACCTAGCGTTGGGTAACAACTTGCCATCCTACGGACCCGAGATTGTTGTTCTTCTATTTCCAAACACGTCGAGATCCAAATCACTGTGCTGTATCCTTCCCCACCAATCCAAGATTGGGGATAGTCTGATCCATGTCGAAGAAACGAGTTCTAGGCAGGATGGTACATGTCAGTCAAGCTCAGTATTCAAACGCTAGCACAAAGAAATATGATAATACCGTAGACCCGCCTATCTACTAGTCGAGAAATGATCGTCGGTAATTCTCTTGTATAGTACGGAGTAGTTGTCCGGCTCATGTCACTAGGGTTCTTCGTATTCACCCAAAGCCGCGAGGGAGAGTGAAGCAATTCGACAAAGCTCTCTCGAATTTATTGGTGCCCTGTTGCGCGCTTCCATGGCAGCTAGACCAAGGGTAGCGATCCTGCGCAGCTCCCCTGAATATATCGGTGTCCTCTCGCGCTCTTCCATAGCAGCTAGACCAAGAGTAGCGATCCTGCGCAACTTCCTCGAATCTATCGGCGTCCTCTCCCGTTCTTCCATGGCCTCTAAGCCAAGAGTGGCTATCCGGCGTAGCTCCCTCGAATCTATCGGTGTCCTCTCGCGCTCCTCCATAGCAGCTAAACCAAGAGCAGCAATCCGGCACAGCTCCATCCTTGAGTGCGATGGACCCTGCTCGCGTTCCTGCAATACGGCTAGGGCGGTCGCCGCAATTTCACAGAGGTTCATTTTGCTTGACGAAAGTGGAATAGGTCAGTAAATATCAAAGGATACTAGTCGCCGTAACTAGTAGGAATTTCCACAGAGGATTTCCAACATCAGTATGCCTTTTTGCGCTGAAAAACTGTAGTGTTGTCAGATGGGATGAGAGCAAAACAATCCCAATTTTTATCCGCAACATACTTAGGAAATCACACCGTGAGATGCCGCAGTGACGCTGACACTCACCCTTGGCGAGTCACCAGGATCCTTGGGTCTATGTTACCGGGCCCATGATTCGAAGCTGTGACTGTGGCAGAAAGTCTATGAGTTCTGATAAGAGCACGCTGCTCAGAAGAAGTTGTTTGAATCTTTTGTTTGGCATGCAGGCGTTGGAGGTTTCCGATGTCTCGGGGGACCATGGTTTCAATAGAGTCATTCTTGGGCGAGGGAATAGCCATTTAGGGTGCGAATATCCGAGGGTAAGAAAACCCAAGGGTAAATCCTTAAGCCAGTAGATTTTTCTGAACTAGTCTGCTGGGTCACTAGAGTTCTTTCGAAGGAACTTGCAATAGTAACGGTTGCCGCCCTGCGACTGAGATGTACGTCTTTCAACCGCCATAATGAAACGTGGTAGATGAGCACTTTGCAAAGAGGGCTTAGAATCAACAACTTCATGGGCTTCGACTTCAAGGGAAGGCCGAAAATATCAGGTAAAAAGCATTATGTTTATGCTGAAACCCGTTTGCAGCAAAATGCAACCATGTTTTGTCTTTACGACCTTCATATCGGCGGCCGATGCCCTTTTCCTGGCTGGTATCATTTTCGCTTCCCAGGTTCTGGGGAAGGAGTAACTAGTGGTTATAAAGCGATGATAGTTTTATGACAAACTACCTAGGTGGCAATTCACCATGGCCTTGAGCAAGCGGAAGCCCCGGCATTCGGGCCCCTGTGAGTCACCGGTGCTCAATAGGGATGGCCATTTCTCCCAGCAACTCAAAGCTTGAGGTCGTCCGGGAACGCGCTCCCTTAAACACTGGAGCTTCCAGGGTCAACCTTAAGAACTGCTTATATAATTAACCCGCCATCTTTGCGCTATTCTAAATACGGTATAGCTGTTTGTGATGGCCGGTCTTGTAATCAAGGCCTGTTGATTGGTCAGATATGCTGACGTAAACCGGATTCGCCCGAACGACGTTCCCGAGGTCTTCAAAGGGCAAACTTGAAGTCGACCAGCGATTGTGTGCTTCCTTGAGCCTTTGCCTGCGAAGAATTGAATCGTTGCTGCGTGCCCTGGACGGCTTCTGCATAGCTTACGATTTGCAGTAACACTAGCAGCTGCCTTGCTTCCCGCTGAGTGTCAAAAAGGCAACACCTCGTGCATTCACCATGGCCTCCCTTCGGTCTACCTCGTCGCTCCTTCGCGCAGCCCGCCCTCTCTTCCGCCCTGCCGTGTTCTCTCGCACATATGCAACTGTCGAATCTCAGACTCCGGGTCCAGTTGCTGGTAAAGATCAGACGGTCTCTGCATCTGCCAGCTCCACAATCAAAGAGCCAGCTCCTTCGGAGGGTGCCAAATCAAAACATTCCAGATCTACAGATGGGATCCCGATCAGCCTTCTGAAAAGCCACGCATGCAATCGTACACCGTTGACCTGAATAAGACGGGTCCCATGGTACTGGATGCGTTGATTCGGATCAAGAATGAGGAGGACCCAACTTTGACTTTCCGAAGAAGTTGCAGAGAAGGTATCTGCGGTAGCTGTGCCATGAACATTGACGGAGTGAACACTTTGGCTTGTTTGTGTAGGGGGTGCCCGTCGTCTCGGCCTATCTCGTGGCCTCGATTGCTGATGACTGACATTGTACAGGCCGTATTCCCACCGATACCGCCAAGGAGACCCGGATCTATCCCCTCCCTCATACGTACGTTGTCAAGGATCTCGTGCCCGATTTGACTCATCTCTACAAACAATACAAATCTATCAAACCGTACCTTCAACGCGAGACCAAGCCTGAAGATGTATGTTTCTTCACTTCTTAAAGTGTCCTATCCAACCGCTAACACTGTCGACTCTACAGGGAAAAGAAATCCGCCAATCCCCTGCCGACCGCAAGAAGCTCGATGGCCTCTATGAATGTATCCTCTGCTTTTGTTGCTCCACCTCCTGCCCATCCTACTGGTGGAACAGCGAAGAATACCTTGGCCCTGCTGTCCTGCTTCAATCTTACAGATGGCTGGTCGACTCTCGTGACGAGAAGACTGCGGAACGCCGTGCGGCTCTTGACAACAGCATGAGCGTATATCGCTGCCACACCATCATGAACTGCACGAGGACTTGCCCCAAGGGGTTGAACCCTGGCAAGGCCATTGCTGAGATTAAGAAGCAGCTGGCATTCGCGTGATTAAGGGGAGAAGGTCAAGTCCAGTTTTCCTTTTCGTCGTGCTCTTTTTTTTTTTTAAACTATGTCATAGTACGGAGAGCCTGCATTTCATTTGTTTTCGACTGATCTTTTTGTTGCTCCGTTTCAAATTTCTGGTACATAGAAACCTCTGACGAAAGGTGGACTGAGGGCTTTTCTGCACAGAAACATTCACAAATACAACTTGTGAATGCGGCTCAAAATACCCCGTTCGTCCTCGTTCGCTTTAATGTCGCCCACTGTACATATATATATATGGTTGCTTTTGCAAAGGTGAAAAATTGACGAATCTAAAAGAACTGGAAATTTTTTATATTCCTTCTGTTTTGGCCCTCCTGGACTATGTTCCTTGTTGAATCCAGAATATATTCATGTAGCCTCAATCTGGGATTTTGCTATTCGATGCTCAATGCAATTGCCACGGTCCATATGATCATTTGTGGGACTTCTATCACCGTGCTTTTATACGAAAGCCTTGCCGCTACATCGGTATTGGAACGCGCGGGTAGCATGTCCCAAGGTACTTTCTATGTAAGAGATGTCTAATTACGTAGAAGGGAAGAAACGAGACATTCTCCTTGAAACGATTATTTTTCTACTTTTTGATAACTGACTTCGAGCGTAAGCCACATCTGCACAACATACTCAAAAAGTGCTTTTTCACTACATAAGGCTGTCCTTTCGACTACGAGCTTGTTGTGTTGACCCATCTACTTTATGGCGCTTGGGTCACCAAATAAGGGCCTGTAACCGGCGGCTAGCATTTTCCCTCTCCTAATAGAAGCGCGAGAGACTTGCTAACGCCATCCCCCGTTTTCTGTTCATCGCCACAAGGTCGACGCTCCGTCAAGGGTTACCATGGTCTTTCAACAACGGGCATATGCGCATACACAGAGGTAGAAGACTGTTCGTTTATGCAGGTTTAGTATCGTGTCCAACATGATACTCAGTATGGATATATCTATAAACGCACGAGGCGGTGGCCAGAATATCACACTGCGAGCCCGCGCTTAACTAAGCTCATGAATGAAGGGGTTCTGCATTGAGGATGGCGGAAATATTAAAGACAGAGGGCTTATACCAAGTTCTTTGACCATATCGTGCCCCGTTGTCGAATGGCTTTGTTGTCCAACATGTCGTGCAAGCAACACACGGACAACAACGCTTTTCTTCACGAGCGCCAATTGCGGGTCTTGCGTTGCGGGGAAGCAGACGGGGGCTTCTTGGCGCTGACTCTGACCGGCTCTCATTGGACGTTCAAGCGAGCAGGCTAAAAAGCTTAGAAGGACGGGCCTTGACCCGATCTAGTTTAGCGGTAATTATTAGGAATCATTCAGAAACGGCCATCGCGTTTCTTGCGATCCGAGAACAATCCCGAGTTGATGCAGAAACCCAGAGCAGTAGTGTGCGAAATCAGCCAGTGGAGCCGACCGGCAAAAATTGCAAAAATCAAGGCGAAGAGGAACTATTTCTCGGGGAAAAATAGCGCATGGAATATGACAAGGCGCCAGGAACGAGAAAGCCATGCCTTTGCATTCCCTCTCCAGGACGCAGTTGAGATGATTTGACCGGATATACATCACCAAAGGTGTGCTTGTTCAGTTATGATACACTTCAATTCTAGAATGAATCCCCCTTCATTGCTCGAGACTATTACACCTGGACCACATAACTCCAGTAGGATCCCCCCTGGTAGTTTGCAGTCTTCACAGGGCATTCCAGGCGGAGGGCAATAATGCCTCAGCGGGGAGGAAAATTGCTTTTTCAAGCAGCCAGATAACTACTTGATGGAGATAGTACGGAGGAGGGAGTGAAGACATCCTCCTGCCTCCTATTGTCATACTCTGCCGGCAACCAAAAGCCGTCATCTTGCGCTCCTTGGCAACCAGGCACAGGGTATATTCCTACAGCGAAGGCTCTTTTTGATCTAAAGGAAAAGTACTCCGAGAAATCGCCATTTTTTGCGTGTTGCTTGATAATGATGGAAAGCGAGTCGGGTGGATTGCGATGCTTTTCAGAATTTGACGTATCGTTCCCGTCACCTGCATTACCCGTATTGTCAGAACTAAGCTTCCCGAATCGCTCCCGCACTTCCGCCCAGGCGCGCTTCTCTCCTGCTGTCGAGCAATTGATATTCCAGGGAGGCTTTCCTCGTAGCTAGGCAAGATTGCTCGAGACCGTAGTTCGTCCTGACCACCGCGCTGCTCTTTGCTGCTGTGCTTCGACGAAGAATCATTGCGCTTCGGCTCAGACGGCAGGCAAGAAGGTTTGCTGGGCAAAGTCGATCCTAACCGCAATACCCGGGCAACCAACGCCAATACCACGATACATGGATGTGACCCGCTTTGTTACCTGACGCCAGCCAAGCAAAAGAAAGAGCTTTTGGACGAACCCAAAGCTTCGTCTTGCTCTTCTCCTCCTCTCCTCTTCTTCCACCGCTCGTCCAGTTCGGTGTCGCATCGTGAACCACTGCCTTTGGCTCGTTTTATAAACGTCGTTGGCATCCCCTCCGCTCTGAGTTCGACTCAATTCAGTCCCTGCAGCCCTGTCAATCGAGGTCCTCCCGTCTCGCGGCTTCATAGACTTGTTTCCGTCATATTCCGCTTGGCGTTTCTCCTCGGAATACCTCCTGTTGTCACTGTAAGAATTTTCTCCCGCCCTGGACGCTCATTTTCTATCAATCTCCATTCTTCGCATATTTGCGATTGGAAATATATCCTTCCTCACGGTCTTCCCATTGAAACTCCGTTGTTAATGTTGCTGATTCTGACATAGCCGTTTACTCTAGCTCTGACCGCCGTTTCCATCACATCTCTGGTAAGCCGTCTATGGTCTTCTTTTTGACAGTCCCGGAGTGAAATTGGAGGGAATTCTGCTTTGGTTGCAAATTGGGTCGATATTGGCTGCGGTCGCGCATCGTGAACCAGTCCAAGCTAACCTCCGCGTGGACAGCCTCCTCCATCACACCCCACAATGGCCGCCATCAGCAAGTTGATTATCCGCGACGACGTCGCACATCAATTGGTCAAGCGCGCGAACTTTGCCAGCAGAAACCCTGGCGTCATCCTCGTTTTTTGCATCGTCGGCATTGTCGGAATCGGTCTTGCTGCTCTTTTCATCCACCGCAAATGGCTCGCTCGCCGTGCTGCTCGCACTGGCGTTTAAATCGAGAGCTGAACCTCAAATGAAAGTGTGATGCGTGCAGAGCCGTAGAGTGATGGAGGGCAGATTCCTCGAGGTGATGCGGCTAGGGGGTTGGGAATGGGCGAATGATCTCGGGAGCGAGAATGTTTTCAAAGAAGACGCTCCCGCTCTCGCTGATAGCGTTTGCAATTTCATTCACCCGAATGCCCAGGCAGGGCTGTTTCACTTGTTCGTTCCAGAGTACACTCGGCCGCGTTCGACTTGCAAATACCATTTTCGCAACATTAGACGGGGACTGTATACACCTTGGATCTTTCACGGCATTTGCTTTTATCGACGCTTCGACGATTGTGAAGATTTCTGTTGGGTTTGTATTATACCACTGCTATGTTTCAACGCGCATGACGGGATCTTTGACGGGCGCGGCCAGTGTCCAGGGGCGCAATGTTTGAAACAGCTGGGCGCCTATGTATATGTTTTATGCCATTTTCGTTTGTCATCTCTTATGTCCCCAATATTAATGTCATGATTTCGAAAAAGCGTTAGCTGGATTGGAAATGCGCTTTGTTTCCCGTCAAGATTTTTTTTCATCGTAGATCAGAATCGCCAATGAGCAACGATAGATGTCTAATACATATAAACTATTGAAGTGGAGAGCATAACAGGGATCCCAGTTTCGACTGCCCTCTCGAAATCGCCGGCGGATCGGGCCATCCGCACCGAAAAGGGGTGGAGTACTTCAAGACGGCGAGAGCTCTCGATCTCGTATATCTCACTTGGAAAGTCCGCCTTTTGACTCATCCCTCTGACTCGACCTTTAATAATCACATCTTCTTGCACGTCGTTGAGCTTGGGTTGTCCGGGCCATCGCAATCCATCATTTGGCTCCCAGTCCCTGCGTTTGTATGTCAGGCTTGGCGGATACGCCCTGGGCGACAGAACTGCCTCGGATGAAGCTCTAGATTGCCCGAGACCACGGCTGGTGACTCCGTGCAAAATCCCTACAAACATCACCGCGATTGTTTGCATGTGGCCTGAACAGGCAAGAATACGCGGCGGGTTATCAATGCACGAGTCGTTCGATCGCGACCCGATTATATTGGCATCCTCGCCAGCTGGAGACTTTTTCTATACAGAATAGCCCCTCTGACCACATCCTCACACTGGAACTAGGTAGTTGAGTTACTGGGGTCAAAAACGCCACATGTATTGATTTTCTCCCGGATCTTCTTCCTTTTGAACCGGATTTCCACCGCCATTTTACCCTTTATCGAGCTTTCAAAACCGGGCAAGGAGACCCAGATTTACGGTTCGCCGCCAAGAAGGTCACAGTTCAAGATGACAGGGGCAACGGGCATCTAGATGTTCGTGAAAGAGAGGTGTGATAGCTGCCATGCTTCCTCGATCAACTTCCGATGCCAAAATCCCTGACCTGGCATTGATCGATTTCTAATATTGCGCTCATCTGCTCCGCCCTTTTCGCCTGTCGGGTCCCTTATGGGTGCTGCATGTTCCTTATCAGAGCGTGTTTATAGAGCCGTGATAAATAGCACCTCGATTCCTGGCTGCTTTATTTCCTGGCTCGATCAATATTTAGCGGACTGGCGCGGAATTCCAATTTTCATCCAAGCGAGTTCTATCTCCTTGGAACTTGAGACTCAACCTTTATCCAAACTTCATTCCACCTTGTTTCCTATTACCCTCAACCATGCGTCTCCAGGTCCAACCCCTTTTGGATAGTGATTTCCCTGAAATGGTGCCCGCACTATGGACATCATTCGAAAATCCCTTTTCTGGGATAATACGCGCCGCTGCACCACTCCTGAACAACGATCGTGCCACCAGCCTCGCTGCCAGTGTCGAGGTTCAACTCGCGCAGCATAAACGGGACCAGCCAGAGAGTACGTGGATTAAAGTCGTCGATGAGGACGCAGCTGGGAAACTGGTGGGTGCGGCGCGATGGATGGTTTATGACCGCAATCCGCACAACGACGGCGAGGCGGATGTGGCGGATTGGTGGCCGGAGGGATCGTTGGGGAGGGAGTATGCGACGAAGCTATTTGCGCAGCTGGATGCACCAAGAGCCAAAATGGCGAGGAGACCACATCTTTGTATGTCTTGTGTTTGTTCCTATTGCTGAACGATCTTATGCAAAACTACAAAGCATTGGCGGCTGACAATTGCGAGTATAGTTTTAAACATCGCATTCACCCTCCCCGAATATCGCGGACACGGCGTGGGCAGGATGTTAGTCGAATGGGGAACGCAAAAGGCCGACTCCCTGGGCGTCGAATGCTGGCTAGATGCATCCCCTCATGGCCAGCCAGTGTACGAGAAGCAGGGCTTCGTATACATCATGGATCAATACCTTGCGCCCGAAATGGACGAAGAAAACATGTCTGTCGAAGAGAAGAAGGAATTGAAATGGCTTCGAGAAACGATGGAGCCGATACATGTAACTTGTATGTGGAGGCCCAAACGCGGGAGATACGTGGAGGGTGTGACGGTGAAGCCGTGGGAACAGTGTTTGGAGAGTAGAAGTTAGGAAGACGGGTCAGTCAATTCCCCGTTTTTGTAGCAGTTGTGAGATATGCCTGATCTAACACTTGAATGGTGGTCTTTTCGTCCTGTGACTCCAAATATTGTATGATTTGTATCATTCTTGGGAAGCTATGTACCTCCAGATCATATATATGGACGGGGATGAGAGGACGGTTGAATTTTGCATTCGTATTCGGGGCTGCTTGAGTGCAACCGTTAGTTAGTTGACTAGTTCACCTCTATCTGGTCAACAACTGGCTGTTTCGGACCGTCGCAGCATCTCCCAGAGAGCACGCAAGACGAATATTGATAATGACACCTTTCTCAGTTGCACTCGTACTACAGAAGTGACGTTTATGTTCTAGTAGCATGTTTGGGTTGGACTGGTCGGCAGGGAGCCGACCAGATCCGCAAACTCATTGCGGTGTTGAGGAACCATTCACTGCGCGATTTCTTTTCTTTCACTCATTATCGTGGGATATTTGGAGACTGCCAACTCCCATCCCCTTCATTTGCTCGCGTTATCCACTGTTTCTCGTTCAAGCAACCCCATCTTGACGGTTTTCGAGCGCGTCAAGCTGATTTTTCGATTTCGATTTCTTTTCTCCTTTCGTTCCGTCAGCTTCCTATTTAGCAATTCAGGCCTGGCCTAAGATGGCTCCTACGTGGGCTTGTACCCTTGCTACATGTCCCATCGAGTCAAGTCTTTTCGGTTACCGCCCATCGCTTGCCGCCAATACCTTCTTTCTCTCTCTCTTCGGACTATGTACACTTGCTCAAACATTCGAGCTGGTGCTCTGGCGAAGCCATACCTTTTCTATTCCTATTATTATCGGCGGCTTGTGTGAAGTCATCGGGTACGTGGGACGCGTCATGCTCTACAACAATCCTTTCAGCCAGGATGGGTTTCTAATCCAGATTTGCTGCCTGACTATCGGACCCGCATTCTACTCTGCCGCTATCTATTTCTGCATCGCGGATATCGTCAAGCGGTTTGGGCCTCATGCATCCCGACTGCGACCCGGGCAGTACGCTTGGATCTTCATCCCGTGCGATATCATCAGTTTGATCCTACAGGGCGCTGGAGGGGGGGTTGCCAGTATGGCGGTTCAAAGTGACGGAGATCCTAAGCCTGGCACTAATGTCATGGTTGCTGGACTGGTGTTTCAAGTTTGCAGTCTTCTTGCCTTTATCCTTTTGACACTGGAATTCGTCTGGCGCGCCCGAGCTACTCGATCGGCAGCCAATGGTGCAGGGTGGGGTACCGAAAAGACATCTACGCGAAACCGAAAATTGTGGCTATTCGGGCTTCCTTTCAGTCTTGCTGTCCTGTGCATCTTTATCAGATGCGCCTTTCGCGTCGCGGAGCTAAGCAACGGCTGGACTGGGGGATTGATAAAACACGAGAATACGTTCATCGGCCTGGAGGGAGCGTAAGTGCCTTTTCACCGTGATTAATATGGTAGATCCCCCTCGACTGACATCAATATCTCTCTGTAGCGTGATTGCGGTATCAGCCATTGCCCTTAATATCGCACATCCGAAACTGTTGTCCACCTAGATATACAGTCCCATATGTACGGAGTAATTTGGGCGGGATATATATGGACATGCTTGCGGGAATCTCGTCATGGCGTCAACTACTGTGCTATTCGAATCCGGTCTAATATATTACGATCCTGTAGTTAGCTATGAACATCGACTCAAGATCTGAAGGACATGGAACATTTTCATGGCTGTAGTTAAGGGATTGATGACTAAGCAATTTTCCCCGAAATGCGCCCGCGGACAACTTCACATGACGCGGGAATTTCAGCCGAGCGGGAACAATGAATGCACATTGTCGACCATGATGCAAAAGAATTGACAAGGCATGGGAGCTGTCATAGCTAGTCGCGTTTCTCTTTTCATCAATGGTTGATTGACTTGACTACGGCGTCGGACTGTTTGATCTCTGCGCCATCCTACCGACGACGGCACAATAATACCTCCAACGCCATCCCCTCAGGAGCTCACGCGACAAGTCACACTGCAGCCATGATGGCAACCCGGCCTACGTCTCGCCTGTTCGCCATTACAGGCATTGTCGTGTTCTTCATATTAACACTTACGTATTTCCGGCAGCAGGCCCCATTGAGTCCTGAAGCGCGCGCCCCAGGCCACTTTGGCAAACCTCTACCAGGTGCCGGTGGTATATCGGATAAGATGTTGCAGGGGAATATCGTGATGCCCAAATTGGGCAATGCAACTGCCAAGTGAGGGATTTCAGCCCGGTCAAAATGCTTGCTGCCTGTGTGGGTTTAATGGAAGCTAATATTTTTTCCGGTTGTGTACAGAGCTGAGCTCGGGCGCGCATCCTGGCGATTGTTGCATACGATGATGGCGAGATTCCCGGAAAAACCATCGAAGGAGGAGCAAGATGCGTTGCGATCGTATATATTTCTTTTTGCAAGGTTATATCCATGGTATGTTTTGCCCGGTTTTTGGAACGCGTATATGCGGGTTTAGGGAGGGCAGAGCTGATACTGGGGCGTCTTTTTTGATAAGCGGTGAATGTGCCGAACACTTTCAGCAACATCTAAAAAAGTTCCCTCCTCAGGTTTCTACCCGCAATGCGGCTGCCGGGTGGGCGTGCCACATTCACAATGAAGTGAATAAGATGTTGAAGAAGGAGATCTTCGATTGCACAAAGCTGGGAGACTTTTACGATTGTGGATGCAGTGACAAACATGGAGACGCAGAGAAACCAAAGGAAATAAATGGGAAAGGGGAGATACCGGCCGCCAGGCTGAATCAGCTAACAAACCTTGGGCGTGAGTTTGACTCGAGCGTTCTTACACCTGTTGAGATTCATCCTGAGCCGTGAGTTTCTATACGTTTCCTTCTCCCTCCTATGTTACTGGCAGGATACTGATGGTTTTAGGCAAACAAATGGATAAATGAATATTAGCATTGTGTTACATCGAGAAAATCATTTTAACAAAGCCCGCAATCTTTTTCTATAGACGATACGGACCGCTATTACTCTTCCCTATATGGCCTCTGCAGGTCCATTGGTTTATTTTCACCTGGCACAGCGCCACGCAAGGCCTTGTCTTGGGAATATGTGGCGTAAGCGGGTTTTGGCTCTTACCTTTTGAGAATGATGGCGTGGATCATTCGCGTTACGGTCTGGGCTGCTGAACTCCCCCGACAAACGCTAGGCATAGAAGCCGCCATTGGTAATTGCCAGCGGCGTTGGATTGCAAGGAAATATTAACTGGTCCTCGGCACTATAATGAAAATATCCTTCATCAATTGATGATGATGCTGCCTGAAGGTTGCGTCCCCGCTAAGGGCGAATAAACAGTTTTCAATGCGCCACTTCTCCATGTAACTCTGTGCCAAAGGCAAAGGACAGATGAAGCATGGAGGCCCAATATTCCATGCTCTATTCGTGTTTCGAATTCGTAGCTTCTCGGCCAGGCGGCACTAGCGCGAAATTTCGCGGTCCTTGACAAGGCAACGACTTGAGCGGGTGTAAATAAATGAACCGGCGCGGGATTGACGGCAGAGCAATCTGTTGTGATACCAAGTAATGCAGTAGTTCCACGGACGTCGCCAAAGACTAGAACGAATTTCGAAATGTTCCAGACCGTGTTTTGGCCTCCTTGTAGCGCTTTGAGTGGTAAAGTGTGTACGGAGTATGTAGTATTGGATTGCAAAAACCGCCAGAATGGTTTCAACCCTGTTCGCGCCCTCGAAATACCCCAGTAGCTGTACATTATGCAAGGCGCATGCATCCAACTTTCTTGATGTCATGCTTCACAGCAGACATACATTGGTGGGCTCTTCGGTCTACCGCTGTTATGATAGGAGACGTGAATGGCGGTGAGGTCGCAAGCCTGTCCCAGGCGCATGACAACATGTGATGAAGATATTTTGCATAGGGAGCAAGACACTCAACCCATCTTCAGATCGGAACAGCCTGGGAGCAGCGAGAAGAATGGGTGGTGATTAGCCTGCGGCCGCAGCAACAGTTGGTTTGATAATGCTAAAACGAAATCAGCTGAGCCATCGCATTCTGATTTGCCAAGGGCAGAGGTGCCAGTATACACGCGATGAGCAGGCAGATCGATGACCCTTTCCATTTTTCCAACCCTTCTTTTTTTTTTGCTTCTTCGGTCCCAAATCCTCAGGTGCAGAGAGCGTCTCGATTGTGCGGGTGTGTCCGCCTCTCCACCCAGCTTGATTGGACAAATCCGCGATTTTCTCGATGCATGAATGGCCCGAAACCGACCCCAAGGGGGGTTTGTGTGCATGCGTCTTGACTGCCCAACCACCCAACCCGACACACCCCCTGCAGACAGACATCGACACGGCAACGCGTCTTCTGACCCTGGCCGGGTGGGTTGCCAACTCCCGGCACCGAAGCGGTATGGTCGGGGTATCATAGTCTGGGGATGGTGGTGATAGTGGAGTCAGAGCACCGAGAGTATCTTCTGGAATCACTGCATGTTCAAGGTAGATTACCCGGCGTAGTTGCTGAAGCTGTGAGAGGGCGCCGACATCAGGTTGCGAGGCCTTGGGACACCGAAAGGCAACTAAACATGAAGCTTGAAGAAGGTTGGAAGACAAGGGTCAGCAGACCAGAGCCACTCATTGCATTCACCTGTGCCTCTTTGCGATCACCATCCCAAGTAGTTATATAGCATCGTTGCTGAAGGGCACTTTGCGCGGTGTAGTCGTATTTGAAGCTGCTGCGCTCGTGTTTTAAAAGTGTGTTGATATGGGAATCTTCACGCCCATCATCTTCACGCTCAACCAATATAATACTCGAGGAGCAAGGCTGAAACTCTTCCGGACTGCTGCGACGGTTGACCAAACGAAATCGGGCGATACGAGGACTGGCATTCAATTCGCGACGTGATAGGCTCCAGGGCGGCATCCATGTTGCTAAGATTAGCGCAGGGCTTGGAGAGTTGATCAGGACGGGCGCCTAAGCAGAGTCGGGGGCAAGCAAGGGGAGGAAAAAGACAAAAAGAAGACGAGGAGCGAAGAAAGGCTGTGGGAATTCCTGTTTGTTTTTAAAACTTCTGTGCTGTCTTCGAGATCTGCTCTCCCTCCGCTTCTCGACTCCCTCGTCTCCAGTGTTTGGTCGCCCTGGTTTCTGTGTTGTCGGGCAGAGACAAGCTTAATTTTTCTTCCCTCCCGCCTCACACTTTAATCTACTCGTGCTCACTCTCTCACTCACCGACATTATTGCTCTCTGACCATTGACAAGCCCCTTCTGGGATCCTCCATCTCCACTGCGTCGCATCAAACACTTGAAGCAGCCCAAGCGCAGCGGAATCGCCCTGTTTTTCGGGTGTCCATTCCCTCTGAGCCTCTGTCACCATGGTCTCCTTTCAATGCGAGGTGAGTTAAGTCGCAGTCAACCCACTTCTTTCAAGGCTCAGTCGCCAATGCGCAAGGATTCGAGCTAACGTGGCATTCATCTGTAGGCTTGTGGTGATGTCTTCACCAAGAAGAAGCTTGATCCTCACCGGGGCCAGTGTCGTGGTGCGAGTTTTTCCTGTCTCGACTGTATGGTGCATTTCCAGGGCACCGAATACAGATCGCATACGGTACGTCGGATGTCTGCCTACAATGTTCTTTTTCTCGCGTCATGCGGCTCTGGTTCTTTGCGCGCCTGTTGTCTTTCACGCGTCCTTGTTGCCTTGCAGGGTGCGGGAACCAATGGACTGTGGGCCAAAGGCTCATCGGTTCGGCTTGCGCATGGGTGGATGCTGGTTCCTGCTTCGGCTAGGATGGCAGTGCTCGATGATTCGTGTGCCCTACATGGCTTCGGGCCCCTCATGATTTGCGAGTGCGCGACCGTTGCATCTCGCATTCGATGTTATTGGGCAGTTTTGGGACGACTTCTGGTGAAAACAATGGTTACTTTGAAATTATTGAAAATCATTCAGTTTCACACTTTGCAACCTTTTTCATGGGCAAAAGACTAATGAATAGCGACCTGGTTGGTCGTCCGTCTTCCGACAGACATGTATGTCCGAGGCCCAAAAGTATCAGGGTGCCTTATACAAGGAAAAGCCCCCCAAGGGTCAGAAGCGCAAAAAGACCGTTACCATTGCCGGCAACGTAGCTGAAAAACAACCCCGTAACCCTTACGTCGAGGATGCTTCAGATGTCGACGACGTTCGCCCTGGCCGTGACTTCCCTCCTCCCGCTCCAAGCCCTCCTCCTGCGACGTCCACAACTCAGGGAACTTCTACGCGGAAGGAAGATAAGGCGGTGAATGTGTTTGAATATCTTGTTCCAGATGGTGCAAACGCGTCCAAGGTCTCTTTGGGGGGCACAAGGGAGCAAATGAAGATGGTCTCGGATGCCCCCAAGCTTTTCGATGCACCCAAGGAGCTTGCGCGCATTTCAGATGGCCGAGAGGATGACGAATCTATCTATGATGTTGCGTACGAGGAGAACGGCTTCTCGTACGGCGCGGGCCCAATTCCTCCGGCGTTATATGACCAACCGTCGAATGTATCCATGGAGTTTATGACGCCTGGTCATCGGATGAGAAACCGCTCCCGGCGGGATCATCCTCCTTCACTTGAACTTAATCGAACAAATAGTGAGAAGAAGAGGAAGCGGACCAATCCAGAGCATCTGGTAACCCCTGCAAACCAGACCAAATATGTAGATGACGTTGCAATGATGGACGCTCCCTCGAGCATGGTCGTCAATGCCCCAACCCCAGCCCTGAACCATTCAGGACTTACTGGAGGCTTGAGCCAGCTAATGCGATATTCTGATTCCCCGGATTCCCTCGATTACAGGAGCGATCATCAAGCTGGCGAGGTTTATCCTCACCCAGTTTCACCGATCAAGCGAACCCGCCGGGCTAATAAGGATCAAAATGGGGATAATGGACTCGGCATCTCTGTCAAAGGTCGTACAGGTAAGCTTATGGAAATACTGGGTGGAGGAAGTGGCACCACCACAGTTGCGGGCGTTAGTAATGACCCGACAATGAAAGCTCTTCTTCGCACCCGTCGAAGAACGTCACCGGACGCCGAAAAGGAGCAGGCTATTCACACCCGGAAACAAAAACGGCACCGTGTACGGCAGCCGGACATGGTGAAACCATCCAAATCAAAGCGTAAGGCCAGCGGCTCTCCCGCTGCAAATGGTGACGACGCTGATTGGGACGATTATGATGATGAACGGCCTCGAGAAATTAAAGCGATCGAATACAACCCAAACGGAGACTCCGAGACGGGGGCTAGTTCCAAAGCCGGTGACCCAGCGGCCCAGCTTGTCGTCTACAAGCAAGGCCAAAACTACTCGGGCGAACTCGAACCCCTTAAGCGTGAAAAGGCGAATCTATTTTTGTCACTTGTCAACAAGGGACCTGACAGTGAACGGGGCTGCTCTATCCACAAGATCCTGAAGCGGTTCCACCGTGACCAAAATTTGTCGGTGGGCTCAGAAGAACGAGAACCCAAGGACGGGAGGGAGCGAGGACGAGGACGACGAAGGAACCAGGGCGCTGACAAAGAGAAGAAAGATGAGGAAGAGCAGGAATTGTGGAGGATGCTGAGGTTGAGGAAAAATGATAGGGGGGAGGTCGTGGTTTTCCTACAGCCTGATGCATGATTATGGAGCAATATCAGGACCCTGCATTTCGGCCGGTCTATCCTTGGTTGCCCTTTTTGGATTCTGTCATATCGTTTAGCTATATTCTTTCTTGCATTCGTTGCGCCGGTGTGTGGAGCATATAACCGTTTTTGAAATCCGGCTCAAACTTGCTAAGATGGGCTCCTTTAACCTGAGGTGCCTATTTAATTTTATCTCAAAAATGGCCTCTTTCGGAGCACACATATGATTTCAATATAAGAAACTCTTTGATTCCTTGAATTGTATCTCTGCTTCCATATGCTGAGTGGTAGACCAAACAGCACAAACATGCCAAGCTGCATGTGACTCACAATGACTCATCAACTTTATTCATGTCTTGGCATCTGACTTCAAAAAGTTTATTGACGCCACTTCTTGATGACTCAGCAGAATTTTTGCCGGTGGCTGCCTTCTTCACTCTTGATATATCATCCAGCAGCTGCCAATTCCACTCATTTACGTTTTCCTTGATAAGACAAAGCTCTATACCCTTTGTGCATTTCGCGGTGTGATTTTGTTTGCTGCATCTTTTTCTTCTCCGTTTTATAGAGGCTGTTTTTTTGAAGCCTCGAGAGCATTTCATAGCTCGACTGAAACCCCACCGAGATTTGCACAAAAGCCTTGGGTGCACCTTTTGATTTCTCAAAGGATCACGTCGTTCATTATTTGGCCCACCAGATTCGAACAATCGACCAAGACGGAACGACACAGGGCAACTTCTTCACAACACCCAGCTACAATGGCTGCTCCAGCTCTGGAGACTCCACAGATTTCACAGCCACATCCCAGAGAGGCTTCAAGAGCAAGCGAAGCGAATGAGACGAACAGAGGCGGTAGACGACATCGTGGAAGAGGCAGAAACCGTGGTGGTCGTGCTAGTCATGGTGGGAACGATCGGCGAGGGGCAAGCGCAATCGTTGAACATCAGAGTTCGGACCGTTCGCTGAGACCTAGAGGTCGAGCTGGGCGTGCAGGTGACAGAGGTGGAAGGACAGCACAACATACAAATGCTACGCGGATAGGAACTGGTACCGGAAGACGGTTTGCTGGGCAATTAACAAGACCTGATACGTCTGAACAATCGCACGACAATTCGACGCAGAGGATAACTGGCAGCACTGGAGATGAGACCGTGTCTTTACGAGCCGACGCGCCAGAGTTCGTGCCTGGTGCTCCTTCGTGTACTGCACCGCAACTTAGACCAAAGCCATCGAAAGCCCCAAAAACGAAGTCTAGTGCTAGTGATATCGCAACTCGTACGCACGAGGATATTCAGAATGGATTTTATGAATGCCCGATTTGCACGTCTGAATTGGGGCGGAGGTCGAAAGTATGGTCGTGCAAGTGCTGTTGGACCGTGTTTCACCTGAGTTGTATAAAGAAGTGGTCGAATAATGAAGGGTCGGCAATGGAGCGCCCAAGAGGGGGTGAACAAGAAGATTTTGAACCGCTTCCTCGACAGTGGAGGTGTCCTGGGTGCAACTTGCCACAAGAGATTATGCCGTCTACTTATAGTTGCTGGTGCGAAAAGGAGATCGATCCGCGACCATTACCTGGCTTACCACCACATTCTTGTGGCCAAACATGCTCCAAGTCTCGGAATGGATGTCCACACCCGTGTAATTCGGTTTGTCATGCTGGACCATGTGCCCCTTGTCAGGCAATGGGACCAACCCAAACATGTTTTTGCGGACGCCACGAATCTACGAAAAGATGCGTGGATACAAATTATGAGAAAGGTTGGAGCTGTATGGAGATATGTGGTGAGCTGCTTCCCTGCCTGCACCACACGTGCCCACGGCCTTGTCATGAAGGTCTTTGTGGTGCATGTGACGAGGTAGTTGATGCCAAGTGCTATTGCGGGAATGCGACCAAGAAGATACGATGTCACGAAAAAGGAATGGAGAAGCAAAGTGAACGTGGAACTGAACTGGGAGAAGTTGCTGGGGAGGATTCGACCTGGATGGGTTCATTTAGCTGTGGAACTATATGCGATCGTCTATATGACTGTGGTAAGCATCATTGTGGACAGTCGTGTCATCCTCAGACTCGAGCAGTGCCGCACTGTCCTACTTCTCCGGATGTGGTTCGGCATTGTCAGTGTGGAAAATCTCTCCTTTCCTCACTACTCGGAATCAAAACACGGACCTCGTGCGACGACCCGATTCCCACCTGCGGGAAACCTTGCGGCAAAACCCTGAAATGTAAACATACCTGCCCAAAGGTGTGTCATGACGGGCCATGCCCGCCGTGTTTTCTTACTGTTGATATTAAATGTCGATGTGGGCGAACAGCATTGAGATCTTTCTGTCATCAGGGATTTGATAGCCCTCCTGTATGCTTGCGCATCTGCAAAGCGACCATGAACTGTGGTCGACACACATGTGGTGAACGATGCTGTCCAGGTGAGCGCCTGTCGATAGAACGACAAGCTGCTAAGCGGAAGCTGAAGCCATTCTCTCTTCGCCCTCAACACACATCCGACGACATTGAGGCGGAGCATATATGCACACGGGTTTGCGATAGGACTTTGAAGTGCTCTAGACATCATTGTCAGGAATTATGTCATAAGGGCGTCTGCAAAACGTGCCCCGAAGCTATTTTCGAAGAAGTGTCATGTCATTGCGGCAGAACAGTACTTCACCCTCCGCTCCCCTGCGGGACTAGTGCTCCAACATGCCATTTCAACTGCGAGCGACCTAAACCGTGCGGACATCCACAAACGCCCCACGGCTGTCACATGGACGATGAAAATTGCCCAAAGTGTCCGTTTTTGGTGGAAAAGAAGTGTCTTTGTGGACGAACATCGTCGAAGCAACCTTGCTCACAGCCAAACATCCAATGTGCCTTTACGTGTTCTAAACCTTCAAAATGCGGTGCGCATATTTGTGGGAAGTATTGCCATCGACCAGGAGATTGCGCGGATTCGAAAGTACCCTGCCAAAAACCATGTGGAAAGCGCCTCAAGTCATGTGGACATTCTTGTACAGAACGTTGTCATGCTCCATTTCCGTGTTCTGAGTCGACTCTATGCCAATCTCGTGTCACCATTACCTGCGCATGCGGGCGAATGGCGGAAGAAAAGAGATGCAACGCCACTCGTGAGAAACCAAGATCGCCAGATGAGAAGCTGAAATGTGATGATGAATGTGCAAGATTACAACGCAATCGCGGTTTGGCTTCCGCTTTAAACGTTGATATTGATCCAACAACGACCGTCAGTGCAGGTGTGCAAGATTCGAATCCTATACCATACTCTGACGAAACGCTTGATCTGTACATTCAAGCATCTTCTTCGTCGACATTGGCCACTCTTCAAGGGTATGAAGCAACTTTTCATTCACTTGCAACACAGACGACGCAAAAATCAACCCGTTTTCCGCCATGCCGCTCTCAACTCCGTGCTTTTATCCACTCTCTTGCGGCAGACTGGGGGTTTGAATCGGAAAGTTTTGACCCCGAGCCGGTTCGGCACGTCCTGGCGTATAAACCGCCAGGCTGGCAATCACCGGGTGTTGCAGCTACTGGCCAGCCTAAGATAGGTATTCGAGGTTTAAGCATTAGTGAATGCATCAAGCTACGAGATCGTGACCGCATGAAGGAAAAAGAAGCAAAGAGAGCAGCCGCTGAGAAGGCAAGGCGTGAAGCAGAGGAGGAGGGTACGGGATGGGCCGCTACGGAGCGACGAGACGAACATGGCTGGTCAAAGGTAGCTTCCAAGAAGAAGCCCCAATGGTGGATCGACAATGACGCTCCAAAGGCTGTGCCGGCCGCGCCCACGTCGCAATCGAGAATTGGCGGTTCCTCGTTTGGCAGTGGAAGATTTGGCAGTCTTATCTTAAAGAGTGGAGTTGGGAGGGGAAAGGAAATGGGTACTTCAAACTCTCGTCCTTCTTCCTCTGATGGTTTGAAGAAACCGGCGCCTGTTGAGCTTGAAGAAGTGGTTGATGACTGGGAGGAAGAGATCGAAAAGGAAGAGAAAGAGCAAGAAGAAGGGAAAAGAGACAAGGAGGGCCCATCTGATATCGAAGAGCAGCCGTGGGACAGGAGCCTTGAAGGGGAGAGCGAACCGCATATCATCGAGACCGGAGAACCTGTGGCGAAATGAATAATCCAGGCGACACAAAATGCTAAATAGTACTTAGTGAATACATAAAAGGAAATGCCCTGACATTTCAACAGGTTCGCTCAGATATTCTGTAGGCTCATCATAGCCCTTGAGGTCGAGCCGTAGTAGGACAAGTAGCTGCATGATGCTCTTCACTTGCGCTGCTCCCTCAAAACAGTGTTCAAGTAATATCATTCCCTCCGTTCTGGCCCAATACTCATCTTGACAGAATGCAGTGTCGCGTTTCTCACATTGTTTCTCGCCAACAAAGACCACTGTCTCCATCCGAGTTCTTGGAATACGAGCAAGAGCGCCAGATTGACTAGCTGAGAGTCCTTATTTGCGGGGTCAAGAGGGAGCTTTGAATAGACTGGGGTCATGGCCATTTTCCACCGTGGCCCATTAGTTACATCTGTCTCCGGTGCTGCCCTGTGCATGCATTTTGAACGCCAGGGTGCAAACGCGATCACTTGACCAGCAAAAGCAGTGTGCATGAAGGGCTGCGAAATCTCAAAAGCTCACTGGCGTCAGTGGAAGGGGTCCCTGGCGGACTGCAATCGGAGTCGGGGTGCTGGCGATAGAATCGATGTTTCTGCAAGGATGATCCGGGGAACTTGCAAGCACAGGGATGAGGAGCCTGAACGGCTTAAGCAGTCTTTGACCCCGTTTGGACACCAGATCTGCTGGCTGCAACTCACCGAGCAGAGGGTGAGAATCGCCGAAGCAGCGCGGTTGGAGATGCGGCCGGCTTAACTTTTTGCTTTTGCGAAGCTTGAGCTTGAATCCGCGCCAGCCGGCGGTTGGCCTTTACGTAACGACCAGACAGACGAGCTGATGGGATTTGTGCTTTTTGACGTGAGATTCTTCAGGTTGGGCTGGTGAGTCAATAGCTAACTATCGCAGGGGGTTTTCTGCTGTGAAGATTGTTCGACGCTTTTCCTCTCGACGACCGCGATGTGCTGTTGACCCCGAGTGCCGGTTGTCTCGACAAGGCCCTCTGCTGCAAAAGATCCCGACTGCGAGACGATTCGAGCTGCGCAGAGCTAACTAGTTGATGTAACGGTGATCCATCGTGTCCAGATTTTAGCTGCGTTTTCCCCATATCTGCTCCCCAAGTACCACCCCAGGACCCGACGGCCCAGCACCGCGATCAGCAAAATCCCCGTAACCTGAACGACGTTACCCGGGAAGCAGGATCGAGTGACACAACCCTCCCCGGTAGTTATTTAATCGCAGGCCGCCCGCGCGAAAGGCCGAGAGGCTTTTCCCCTCTCTTTCTTGCCATGGTACGCGGTGTGCTCATCATGGTTTCTCCCGCCGTCTTCGTCGTCTGCGTTGGCTTTTATATCTTCTCTTCATTCGCCAATCTCTCGGGCGCAACGCCGATTAGATGGGAAACACCTTATTCATGGGCAACCCCCGGCAATGGCAGGCCTGGGTCTGGCCAGGAACCTGATGCCTGGGCAAAGCAGGATGATCGGCTGGGCGCAGTGGCTAGTGAGAGCTCGATTTGCAGTGGTTTTGGGCTTGATATGCTGAAATTGGGTGGAAATGCTGCCGATTCTGTGAGTTTTGGCTTACTTTCCGGCGCCCAGAAGAAACTACGTTGTTTCTGGAGCTGTTCATGTACTGGGGTGCTTGACTTTCTTCTGCGGGATGAATACTGATGCAAGATGGTTCCGTCACCGTAGCTTGTAGCCACAGTCTTCTGTGTCGGCGTAGTTGGTATGTAGCCAATCCCTCCCCTCCAGGGCCAATCTGGGCGCTGACCTTTTACCCATAGGAATGTACCATAGCGGCATTGGCGGCGGCGGTTTCATGCTGATCCGAGCTCCCAATAACACGCATGAATTCATCGATTTCCGCGAAACTGCCCCGGCTGCAGCATTCCAAGACATGTACAAGAATAATAGTGATGCTTCGGTTCTGGGTGGCTTAGCAAGGTATGCATATATTCCTTAATGGCCCTGTATCCCTATGTCAAATTGCGGAGCTCACCTACTCTGCTTAGTGGTGTCCCTGGCGAAGTTCGAGGACTCGAATATCTCCACAAGAAATATGGCCTGCTTCCATGGCACACAGTCATGCAACCCGCCATTCAAATTGCGCGTTATGGATTCCCAGTCACCGAGGATCTAGTTCGTTACATGGACTCCGCAACTAAAGGAAAAGAGGATTTCCTGACCAACAACCCTACGTGGGCATTGGATTTTGCTCCGAACGGCACCCGGCTCGGGCTTGGGGACATTATCACGCGAAGACGATACGCTAATACCCTGGAGACAATTGCAATGAACGGAGCGGACGCATTCTATTCCGGCGCAATCGCAGAGACCATGATCAATGCCCTCCAGGCGCAGAATGGCACCATGACCTTGGACGATTTGAAGAACTATACGGTTGCCGTTAGAGATACCGCGCAGATTGACTACAGAGGATTCAAGGTCACGAGTACATCGGCTCCATCTAGTGGATCCATTCTTCTGAGTGCTTTGAACATCGTCGAAGGTTACGATGATTTCTTCGCACAGGGTAATGTGAATCTGAGCACTCACCGCTTGGATGAGGCTATCAGATTCGCGTACGGCCAGGTTAGTTTGCTTTCTCAAGCGGTATTTCAGTGTTAGCTTGTTCTGATCGTTGTGCAGAGAACACACATGGGAGATCCTCTCTTTGTGGATGGCCTTGACGAATTCCAGGACAAGATCCTCAATAAATCAGTCTCCGCGAAGATTCGGGCTAATATCTCGGATGAGCACACTCAAGGGATCGCGGCATATGACCCATCTGGCTTTGAAAGCCTTGAAACGTAAGTTCACCTTTTCAAAAAAGGCAGGGTGAGAGCATAAACTGACTATTTGGTCCCTCAACAGCCCTGGGACCTCCCACATGTCCGCAATCGACCGTACGGGGCTTGCTATCTCCTTTACAACAACCGTCAATCTTTACTTTGGCAGTAAACTCATGGTTCCTGAAACCGGAATCATCATGAACAATGAAATGAATGACTTCTCCATCCCCGGCACGGACAACGCTTTTGGCTATCGTCCCTCCCCGTCCAACTACGTTCGCCCAGGCAAACGTCCACTCTCGTCGATCTGCCCAACCATCATCACCCACCCCAACGGGACCGTGTACTTTGTCACCGGCGCCGCCGGCGGCTCGACCATCATCACGTCCACGCTTCACAGCATCGTCAACGTTCTCGATCGCCACATGACCGCGCCACAAGCCCTGGCCGAACCGCGCTTCCATGACCAGCTCGTCCCCGACGAGATCGAGGTTGAGTACTCGTTTGACAACTCCACGCTGGCCTTCTTGCAGGATCGCAAGCACAATATTACGTGGGTGGAGCTGGCGGCGAGCACGGTGCAGTCTATCAGGGTGTTGCCCAACGGTACCTTTGAGGCCGCGGGTGAACCCCGGCAGCGTAACTCTGGTGGACTGGCTATTTAAACGTCACGCAATTTACATGCCTTTTTTTTTTTTTTTTGGGTGCAAGCGGCTTTATACTCCGTATAGATTGGCGTTTCTACGTTTTGAGTTGAGTATGAATTTAGCCTGAGCGGGTTGGGTTATGAACATGTTACGGTACAAAAATATGAAGAAACGTATATATGCAGCAGCACATTTGCAAAGACACCAACAAAGTAATTAGCAATGCAATCTCCATCTTAAAAAAAAGATCAAATAACGTGTCTTGCTGCAAAAAGATATTCTGACCAAGCTGAGACTCGAACTCAGGACCTTTTCGGTGTTAACGAAACGTGATAACCAACTACACCACTCGGCCCGATCTGGAACATTCTGGAATGTTTTTAGCCTTTCAGAAAATATGCTTACTTGAGCCTCATCTGACGTCGCTCGATTTCGCGAGATGAATCGCGAAGGAAACACTTGTCAAACTCCGTCATTATCATTAGTTAGGGCTATTTACATTAGTTATAGTTAGTTACAGTATTAAGAGTTGAAAACAACAAACTCCGGGTTTTCTGAGAGCCGTCCCAGCCAGTACATATAAAGTCAGTTGGAGCCCCAGCGTACCAGGTCACGCAAAATGAGAAGCGCCCAAGCCATCAAAAACTCCATGGTAAATAGAAATTAAACATTAATAATTGCTGCACCAATTCCTAGTATGGCTGCGACACCCACGTTAGCTGTCTCTATCGGCGCAGCGCCCCTCGTGGGTGACGTCGTTGGGCTTGTGGTGCTGGTCGTGCTCGAACTAGTTGTACTTGAACTTGTTGTCGTTGGCGATGTAGTTGTTGTAATGGCGCCAATAGGAGTTGCCGGTTCCAAAGATATAGTCGAAGTTGGACTCGAGATACCGCTAGTCAAGGGATCAGTGGTCACCGACGAGGCGCCACCGAACGCAACTGGCTGTTCATTAGCCTTTGGTTCAGGTTTCGCCGTTGTGTTATCGGGATTCAAAACACTGCAGATAGCATGGATTAGTCGTGCAAGTTTGATGGTTGCGAGGATAAGCATACTCTGATATAACGTGGGCAACCCCATTGTTCACTAGTAGATCCGTTGAGACGATTTTAGCGGAATTCACGAACGCGGAGCCATTGATAACCGACAGATGGAGGTCTTCGCCTGCCTCCGTGGATAATGACTGGTTTGTCATATCCACAGAATAAACTATCTTGTCTTTTACGACATGATAGCTCATAATACGGGCTATATCATCGGACGACATGTTGGAGAAGATCGAGCCTACTCGCCTAAAACCCTCGTTGTTCGGGATAAAGACCGTGGCATCCTTCGGTAGATTAACGGTGTCGATGTTATTGCCTTTGTTTATTGCACCCACGAAGCTGCCCAAATTGGCTAAAAGTGCAGTATATGTCACTGTTTGCGGGAGCGTCAAAACTTGGTTGATGATGTGAAGTATTCCATGGTCAAAAGTCCGGCTCTGTGTGCAGCAAGTGTCAGCGGTGGCTGCTACCGAATTGCTGCGATATCATACCTGGTTAACGAATTGCGCGTCATCGTTGAGGCCACTGATGCAATGAACCGTATTGTTTTCTTGGACGGCTCGTACAACTTGTCCAGTGGTGACATTGGTAAAAGTGGTATCATTTAGAAAGCTAGATATAAATTTGCTCTTGCTCGTGAAGTCGTTCGCTTTATATGCCCCCTTGAAAATGTGATATTGCAAAATTCCACTGATCAAAGACATATTTCCCAAAGGAACGGATCCGTTGGGTTCCACGCGAACTAGATTCCCAAACGCAGCATTATCAGGCGCAAGGATAGTGATGTTGTCCGGAGTATCAAACATAGATTGAAGGGATGAGTTCTGGGATATGTAGACTGACATATTCGAGAGCTGGGGAATATCAGATATGGTCTCTGAGAGATTCAGAGCGTAGGACCCGACGGCCAAAAAGGCCACCAATGCAGCGTGCTTCGCCTTCATACCGATGAGATAAGACGCACAGTACCTTTAGCCGTTTAAGAAAGACGCAGCGCTATATTCGGAGAAATGCAGGGTAGCATCCTAGCAGAGGCATATTTACTACGAAAGTCAGCCGGGACGAGCGATGAGGTCATCTTGGCCTGAGGTTTGAAAAAACAACCGGAAAACAAATGAAGGTTATCAGCATATAGGCTTCTTGATAACCTCGAGCCGGACCAGGAACGGCATACGCTATCGCGGAATCCGAATGTTGACAGATCCTTCAATAGTGGGTAAAACAAGCAGTTCGAAGCCTACAACAGGCCGGAATATGTCCATCGACCTCTAGAGCTTCGGTACATGCTCTCTTGAGATTCAATGAGAGCGCAAATCAATATTCCTGGCTTCACAGAGCCGTTGTGACCGCAGTATCTTTGCGAAGCGGACTACTTTGTAACAAAACCAGCAAACCGAATTGAGTTCTGCTTGAAAGTCCACGACACAGAACCTTGCAGATACAGCAAATGGAAACGAATGGTATATCCGTGTGCTGAATCGAAATGGTTTAGGAGCTTTGGACTGCGGCAAAGGGACGAGGCTGGGAAGACGGATTGCATGGGAATCATGGGGAAGGCCGAAACGAACACGAAAACGTCTGAGAGACCACGACCGTTCGCTTCTTGCCTGTCAGATGCTAAGTATGCCCAAGGATATCAGTCGATAGCGTCGTTGCCTATACAATTAGGAATTGACAGCTCGTTGGTTAACCATCTCAGAAAATGGCGTCCTTTTTGCACGGTGAACCTCAATATCCCGCTTTCTTCGCTGAGAAAAAGGAATCTACGGGCGATGAACGATTAATCACCCATCTAGACTGGCCTGCAAGTTTGTCTTCTTTCCAGTCCATTGTATTTGATTCACATTCTATGGCTTGAAACTGAATTAAATTTCGTCTAGAGTTGGGGGATTCCGAAATCCCATCACATTCTCCCATCAGTGCCATTATAAACCACTCACAACCCCGGCTACGGGTAATGTCAGGGCTCGCGGAGATCTGTCTGGCAGAGCGGATCTAGTACTGACCAGTCTACGGTAGATTTCTGCCTCTTGATCTGCCAGAGTTAAGCGGAGGTCTCCAGCCCCTTTTCGAGCACTATGGCATTCCACCGGACTTCATTGTTGAGCGCCTACACGAAGTTACTCAAAGCAGTGGCTCATATGTATCGCCCGAGGGCAGCTATGGTACAGTCTTCCACGCTATTTGTTCCAGGAAATCAACTCGTTGCCCGCGGATCCAGCTTTATCATTTGTTTGGTCAAGCTTGACTAATATTGGCTGTAGTATCTTGGATCCATACCCTCTGCAGATCTATCCCCAGCGGACTTAAATGGGTTAGAAGAATGCCTGATTCTCCATCTGCAGTTCCACAGAGTCTCCTTGGTGACCAATCCTCAAGGCTCTCGTGGCTGCGTAGTGCCTACGTTTTACGTTGGGATCCGGCTCCTAGAAACGCACCTCGAGAGCCCGAAATTGAAAATCGCGCTTCTTCTGCTTCTTCTTCTTCTTCCTCCTCCGGATCCGTGACATTGATATGTTTCGGTGCACCGTTTACGGTCATGGAGCGTTTCCGGAAACAAGCCGCTAGTGATACTTGGACTCAAGCGGTTGAGCATCCTTTCCAAATATGGCTGATTGTCCTAGACGAATTATACAGGCAAATGGATGCGCAAGCATGGAACCTGGCAGATAGATTTAGGGGAGTTGAAGAGGTGTGAGAGACGCAGATCCTAGAATATTTCGGGCAGCGCTGAGAAGTTGACCGGCACTTAGGGTATTCTAAATTCGGCCAAAAGCACGGCATGGACTAGACGACGGCTGCATGATGATAGCACGTTCGACTTTGTGAGCCTTCATAATTTGGCCAAGTATTGCATGTACCTCAGTGAAAGTTTTGATGCCATGGACCTTACACATGCAGATCTTGCGCTGCAGCACGAGCAATATTTTGACCATCTTCAAGCTCCACAGGCGCCCAAACTTGGTCGTCAAGATTATCATACGGACGGCCAGCAATGCTGGACCACAAAGAACAAGCTGAGACATAACCGGGGGCTATTCAAGTCAACCCGGTTAAGAGTTGCAAGTCTGGAAAAGAGGATAAACAACTCTATAAATCTAGTAAGAGCCCGTAGTTCCCTTGAAAGAACCGACTGAAAAGCCGCCTTGGGCCACTGCTAAACTCTGCGGCAAACCAGTCGTTCAACTTGGTCATTCAGCGCGATAGCAAGCTCATGCTTCAGGATAGCCTGAGAATGGATATTTTGGCAACCGTAACCCTAATTTTCTTGCCGGTTGCAACAGTTGGTGTATGATATTTCGTTTCTTCTCTATTGTCATCTTCTGTCGCTAACTAGTTGTGGCAACTGCAGACGGTTTTTGGATCGCAATTTTTTGGCCTCAACACAGCATCATCACCACCGCGGCTTGAAGTAGCAAACAATTTTTGGATATTTTGGGCAGTGCTTCTTGGTATCTCAGTTTGTGTCATCCTCATGACAGTGATTGTGAGGAGGGTTCGGGTGGGAAGGATGCGGGTTCTGGGCAAGAAGCTGTAAATCGTACTGCGAAGAAGGTTCTGTTAGATGCGTTGCGGATCCTGTACACAATATCATCCTAATGATTGAAAGGCAACTCGTTCTTTTGCCAATGATTAATGACCGTGCTGCTGATATTGAGATGGTGGACGGTTTAGTGGTCGGGAACGGGAAAATCCAGATCTCCGTTTCCAGTTCAAGCTCTGCTCTGCCTTTGATTCTCTATCTTCTTACCAGATGCCACGCAGAAGAGCCTAATGGATGGCAAAAGGCCAAAACAACTCACCCTATTTCCCGCGGAAACGGCCTGATGTTGCATCTTGCCTCCCATTTCCGCCCATCTCAGCCCCGTCATTCGGTTTGATCCAGGAGAGCCTCGCTAATGACCCCTTTCGCCTCCTTATCGCGACCATCTTCCTCAACCGCACCAGAGGCGAGGTAGCCATCCCAGTACTATACAGCGTGCTTGAAAAATACCCTACTATTGAGTCGCTGGCCGATGCGGAGGTCGACGAGTTGGTGTCCATAATTCGGAAACTGGGGTTTCAGAACGCGCGTGCCCAACAAATGCATTGCAATCGCAAAGCTATGGATGGGTTTCTCCGCTGAGCAAGGATAGGCGATTTAGAAAATTGCATTACCCGGATAAATCTGATGGTTTGGATATAAAGCCGGGCGAATGCATTGACGGCGAAGATACACGCGTGGCCTGGGGAGGTCGCGCATCTTCCAGGCATCGGTGCCTACGCGATTGATAGCTGGAGGATATTCTGTCGCGATGTGCTCCGAGGAGTGGCTACTGATTGGAATGGAGCAAACGCCGAAGACGGATTTACGCCAGAATGGAAGTCTGTGCTGCCTCGGGATAAGGAGCTGCGTGCTTTTTTGACTTGGATGTGGCTCAAGGAAGGCTGGGTTTGGAACCCAGAGACTGGAGAGAGAATACGGGCCACAAAGAAGATACGGCGTGTTGCTCGTCGAGGAGGACTAGTTATTGAGAAGGATGGAAATTGGATATTAGAAGCGGCTCGGGCGAGGACGATAAAGGAGAAGCCCGTTAGCTAGCTAGTTACCAACTTTGACAATAGTTTCCCAGGATCCAGAACATTTATTGATGAAGTCCATAATTTTTGTTCGACGGCCACTACGTCTGGGATTCCCTCGCTGTCTTCGATGCCTCATAGTTAAGATATCGCCTCTTGTGGCTCTTGGCATGCCGAGACTCCCTTTAGGCCTCAGGGTGCCACTGTATGCAGCATCTCCTAGACACAAGGTGAAAGGTTCAAGACATCGAGTACTGCCTGGACCGAAACTCATATACCTTGTGGGCTGCCATGGAGGGCAAGGCAACGCGTCGCTTGCTCAAGGGGGAGATCACATACTCTGCTGCACAGGACCAGGAAATCAACATCCTGCAACGTCTGGCATACCCAGAGCAACGCACCCAGTTCTTTGCCTCGCTACATCAACAACAAGGTTGGATGCAGGCCATTGTCGCGCATCACCTAGGATTGTCGTCTGTCAAGGCATGTCGCATTGCTGATATGAAGCAATGGCTCCATGGGAGCTTCAATGTCTGTGTACCTGTCACCGTCACCAATCCGGCGCGCTTTCGCCTGGCAAAGGGACAAACGGAAAAGCAATTTATGCTCCGGCTCCCACTCCCATATCGCGTTGGGGAAAGCTATTGCCCGGGAAATGGCGACGAGAAGGTGCGATGTGAATCCGGAACCTATGCATGGCTGCAACAAAACGCTCCAGAAATCCCAATTCCAGAATTATACGGCTTTGCATTGTCCACTGGAGAAACCGTATGTATCGCCAGGGCCTGTTGGAAGGAAAAATCACTAGTGCTGATATCTGAGCTGGCATATAGTTTACCGCGATCGACTATCTTCCACTGTGGAAGCGCTGGACCTTCAAGCTACGCTGCCGGATTCTATCATGGTTTGGCCGTGCTCTCCCTTCGCGGTATCTGCGTCATCAGCCGTCGCACGGTATAGCGAAGGCTGGTCACTTTGATATCGGATACGTCCTCATTGACTATATCCAGGAAACCACTGGTCGAATGCTCTCTGCAACATGGGAAGAGCAAAGCAGCAACGATTGCTTACGCACTAACCTTTTCCGTAGTCTCTCTCGAATCCTGTTGAGCATCACGCATGTTAAACTACCACGCATTGGCTCTTTCGTTATTGACGATGACGGGTATTTGCAACTAGCCAACCGACCGCTGTCTCTCGAACTCCATGAACTCGAGAATGAACAAATCCCTACTGATATACCTCGTGACTTTACTTATTCGACCGTCGAGTCATATATTCTGGACATGCTCAGAGCCCACGACAACCGTGTGATCCACCAACCAAATGCGATTACTGACCTCGAGGATTACATCGGCCAGACTGCAGCCCTAGCAGCCATGCGGGTGACAATGTCATCTTTTTTTGACCCAGCTCTTCGACGGGGCCCATTCATCCTCAACTTTACGGATTTCAACCAGAGCAATATCTTTGTTGATGAACACTGGAACATTACTTGTCTTTTAGATCTTGAGTGGATATGTTCTCAGCCAATAGAGATGGTGCAGCTTCCCCTCTGGTTCACCAACAAAGCAATTGATCGGATGGCAAAGGAGCCAGATGAATACGACAAGATGCGACAAGAGTTTGTCGATATCTTAGCAATGGAAGAAGAAGAATTCCTTAGCAAATCTAGTCAAAGGAAACATGCAAATGATGATCAGCTTCGGCTATCGACAGTTTTAAACCGGGGCTGGATCAGGGGAACTTTCTGGTATTCCCTCGCCCTTGGAAGCCCTACGGGCCTGTTTGCAATCTTCTACAAACAGCTCCAGCCCAGATTCCTCGAGAGGTGTCCGAAACACGATGAGTTCCTAGCCACAATGCCATGGTATTGGAGAACCGACTTCATTGAGGTTGGCATGAGAAAAACAAAAGACAAGCAAGATTACGACTTGCGTTTGCGACAGGCTTTCGAGGAATGAAGATTGCCATGCCAGAGCAGCCTGTGCTGTTCCCTTGTGGCAACCGCCCTTATTTCGCGTTTCTCTGGCCGCTGCTGTTGTTGCTGTCGTTGTCCCTGAACGCTCTATCGAATGCTTCCAAAACGGCCCTAGTGCCTTTCTTCTCCCAGTTCTCTTTCCGGTGATCCTGTGCTGCTTTACCCGAGCTGCTGAGCAGCTGTAGGTTCTTTACAGTTGATTTGACCCCGACTGTCGCCTCCTCAATCTTCGGTTCCTCCTCCGCTGAATTTCTTGGGTCCTTGTCCGCCATTTTAGGATGACGGCTTGAATATCTTGCGCAATATCCAATACCCCTTCCGCGTCGGTTTCTGTATCTAATTTATTGGACACTTAGTCAGACACTTGAACTGCTTCGCACATCTTGGAAACTATACCTAGAACTGGTGGCGTTTCAATCAACCCTTTCCTTTTGCGTGGTGCAGCAAGAGAAATTCAATAGATTTGAGTCTTGGTATTTTGGATTTCGAAAGTTATGATATCTAAAGGGGCAAACAATAGTTACTCCGCGAAAGCCATGACGCGGGGTCATCGAGTAACGACATCCAGGCTGCACCTTGTCCCCTCGTTTCCCCCGGCAGCAATGCGGGCAAATCCAAGCTATGTTAAGTGCATATACATCCCTACCATCGTGGACACGACTAACGCCGCTTGGGCCCTCGACAATTGGCTAACTGAACCTATTATGTACGATATCGAGCGGCTCATCGGCAACCGTGCATTGATTTCGGCCCATAGTCTTAGACAAAGACTTATGACGGAGGTACATTAATCCTGGATAAACAAGCCCATGAATGTCTCGCTATGCGACACTGTGTGATAAGACCCAGCACTAGTGAAAGTTGTCGAGCGTGTTCATGCTCGTGCGAAAGAGATTATTTGCACACTGGATGGCAAAAAAAAAGTTAGAGAAAGCAGTCGCTGGCCCTATTTGCAGCCTAGTTAACTAGTTGATATAACACCTTTCTCCCAAGCTATGTATACGTCTGGGACCCTCGCCCACACCTGCATGCCTTGCACCACGCCGCCTATCATAGTTTAGAAATACAGTTAACTTGTTACTCTATATCAACAGTTCCTGCAATCGCAAGCATAGATTTTACCGGCACATTACTAACTGAACATATTTGCGTACAATGCGGACAGCAAATTCTATCCGCTAAGGAGCTCACGTATGCCTCACGGCGTCATTTCGAGGATAGATACATTAATAAATTTGGCAAAGGGTAAATTATGATAATCTTGACTTCGGGCAATGGTTCCACGGTATTCTGAGCTAGAAGAGATGCTTGTAGATGGCGCGTAACAGCACTGGCAACTTTACTCTATGAGAGAGCATAGTCCTAAGTCTGGCGGCCTCGAACTCTAGCCTTTTGGCCCGGGGCAGCCGTTTGGCTTCTAGAATGTGCCTTAGGAGTTGGGCCGTGACAATGTGGAAGTGGGACAAGTCAGTTTGCGAGACGTGAGCTCTATCTCTGTGTTACTGATATGAATGTAGTGTGAAAGTTGAATTGGGCATAACACCGTCATCAACAACTACTACCGTGGATCTGGGGCTTTGGTTTTGTTGGAACTGCTAAAATTCCAAGGGTGCAGAAGTCTGCCCAGAGTCAGCTATCTAGATAGCTGATTCTGGCCCTATGGTGGTTGGGATAGATATGGAGGTTCTCGTTGATATTAGTTTTGTAGACTGAAATTGAGACTCGCGTTTGCTCGTATGAAACAAACCATCCAGGATGCAGACCGACTTCTTGGGCGTTGATGTGTCTGACTCCGAACTGGGACAACCAGGACGGGGTTCATCCTCGCGATCCTGTCGAGCACAGCCAATCTTCGCCCGGCAAAGCACGTTGGGCTGCGACACCGTCTGTTGTGCATTTCCTCACAAGCGCCTTGCTCCAACTTCGTTTCATTGCCCTCACGACACCCTCGCCAACAGCCGCCGGCCTCCCGCCAACCGCATCGACGGACATCCACCGGCGACTCCAAAATCAAGAAACCCGCGTCGATCCCTGATGCCTGGCACCAGTCTGTCCGGATGGTCGTGTGTGGCTGGACGTCCGGGTGACTTTGCAGCGTCAACCTCGCTAGTTCGACTTGTCATTGCGCCACGCCTGACTCTCTTTGCTTCCACCTCGAACACCGGCCAAAGTTATGTCACCAAAGCCCAAAGCATCGACCCGGCATCGTGAACATCACAGAGATACTAGCGGAGACGACGAGCCGACGGAAAACAGCACAGGGCGGATTCAGAAGACGGCCCGCCGCCGACGGTCGTCCCACGGAACAAGCAAACGTTCATCCACCGCCTCCTCCACCAAGCGAAAGACTAAGCATCCCGATACAGCTCGCCGCTCATCCTCTTCGATATCGAGCTTGAAGAATAAACAGGGCTCCATGGGGGCCCCCGATCCCTACGCGGAGTCTCTCTTGAGCTCCAGGGCTGGCAGACCGTACCCCGCGTTCTCAAAAGAGCACAGCAAAGAGGCAGTCCGGAGCAGAGACAATTTGGGAGCCCGAATAGACATTTTAACCCCTGAACCTACAGATATCACTGTTGAAAGGACGAGAGATGGCCGCCCTGCGAGTCGAAACAAGAACGAGCAGTCAAAACGACAGAGCACTGCAACAAACCCTACGCGCCTCCCGAGTCCACCGCTAACCAACGACGAGAACCAGCCATCGCGTAGGAGCACACCCAGCGTCAGTAGAACCGCAGAGACGAAAGGAACTTCTGCAGTTAAAGCTGGCGAGGAGGGAAAGAGACCAAAAAGCCGTCCGCACAGCACAAGGTCGTCGTCGAGCCTGAAACGGACATCTTTGGAAAATGCGCAGAAACTCGGCGACAAAGTCCACAGGCCCGGCACGCCATCATCGAAATTCAGTATATTTGATGCATTTCAGATTCCCCACAGATCAGCTACGACTTCCTCCAGGCAGAAACAGCAGACGAAAGACGAACGGGCCAAACGATCGAACAAATCTCAAAACACTGTATCGCCTACAGCCTCGGTCTCTGAAGACGAAACTGTCTTGGGACCTAGGACGAGTACTGCTTCTGGTCAGAGAACATCATCTCCGCTGCATTCACGAAACAAAAAGTCTGGCGGGAGATCCGAGACCCCCACGGGTGGAAGATCAACCCCAGTCCATGCTTCAATGACCAACGGGCAAGCAGTGCCTCGGGCGGCCAGTGTAAATCCTCCACCGCCCCCTCCGCCTCCGGATCTACCACTAATGATGCCAAAGGTCGATTATTTGTTACAGAACGGTGGTTTGAATCATCATGTGCCCCGGAATTTTCTTGGTGCTGGCGAGTCTGCGAACATGCCTCAGCAAGCTTTCGATCCCTCGACTATTGGAACTAAGCTTTTTGAACCGTTCTCCAACCTCCTAGATAGTTATGGAACGGTCCTATCGAAGCGCGGCTCGCTTGCCGTTGCTACCGGATATAGATCAGTTGCGAGGAGGCTCTTGGATAGACTCGAGGCTGTTTTCGCGCGGGATATATCACAAGAGGTGTGTGAATGCTTCATGTGCCTTGAATATGAAGCTTCAGAGGAAGCCAGCGGGGTTAGCTGGGGCGAGGTTCTCGAGCTCGTGTCTGGTCGAAGCGACTTACCGGCCTGGCCACCTTTTCAGATTCACACTGAGCCGGACACCGTCGATTTAGGAAAGACAGCCCATGTTCCCATGCAGAAACTCGACATTGATGTGCCAAAGGAGATGAGAGAACACTATCTTCTCCACTCGCGAAAGACTAAGCAAGCTATCGACGAGTGGTTGTCGCGTCAAACCCCGGATTCAACAAGTCCACCGGATATGGTCGACGACGAGACTCTTGCTTTTGCGATGTTGACCTACCTCGGAAACGAGCAAAGAAATCTATTCAGCAAATTTCTCGAGCTCCCTACATCGCCTCCATCTCCAAAACCACAAACTCCCAAGCCTCGCGGACGTCCAGAAGCCTTAGTTCTCGCTGGATCCGCTATTCAACGACTTTACCGCCTTCCTTCGGAGCCACGAGACCCAGACACGGCTCTCTACCTGGTAAATAATCCCGATATGCACCACGTCCTGGCGACACTCTCCGCGATCAGCAATGATGAATGGGACATCCTCATTTCAGGTCGTTTTGATGGTTTTCTTCGAAGTGGAGCTGAAGACAATATCCCGCCCACCTCGGCTACTGCTCCTCCATTCAACAGCAAATCTAGTTCTTCTCGAAATGGTATCAATGGTTCGCGCCCAGCCAGCCAACCGTACGGCCGCCGCCAGGGGCCGGCTTCATTTGGTGCACCCATATCTGTCGATGAAGAGAACGAAATCGCGACTCTGGCCGAAATCGAACGAGAGATTTACGCGGGGATGGAAGCGTTGGAAGATGCTTTTGAAGCTCTGCACTACAAGGCTGAAGCTATCCGGACCGCACTGCGCGAACGTGGTGCCGGGCTCTCTCTGGCCAACCAAGCGCGACGAGGGAGTCCATTGGTGCCGGGCCCGAACCCAAAGCTGCCAGGATTTGGCAGTTCTGTTAACGGAGCGGAATGCGAGATGGATGATATGATTGATGATGGACTGTCGTCGATAGCTCCGTCTGAATCTGCCAGTAACATCAGTTCAGTGCGGAGACGACGGCCAAAACGACGCACTGAAAGGCGCACGCCATCCGTGGTAGGGGAGGAAGATGAAGGAGAGCATCATTTGAATGTCCCCAGGCGAACTGGCACCGCGAGCTCTGGAAGACGGAGGTGATCTATGAAGAGCTTTCGGTCGTCGATTTCCCGTCCCTCCCCAGCGCATCCTCCTTTGAGTTTCCCTTTACTTGTTTCCACTGGCGTCTGCAGGTTGTCCTTCGGGCTAAAAAATATCACGAGAAACGACAGAGCTATGATAACACGCAATGGTTGCAGGTTTAATTTTGCCTTGCTTTAAGCACCCCAATATTCACATTTTCATTCAATGGTTTTAAGGCCCAGGCCGGCTTGCCTCGATTATACTGATGCTTTTTTTGCCTCACACTTCCATCTGTCCCTTACCACCCCTAACACTTGATATCATATGATACATTAGAAGTACTGGGACAGTCTTGTTTGTTTTCTATCGTGGGAGGTTGTCTCACTGCGTTCCCTTCACATGTACTGTGGAATACGATTCTCCCCAAAGCAAGCAAACCATTGAACGAATGCAAGTTATTGTAAGTACATATCCAAAGTTCAATATTAGGTCGTTTGACTATCAAGGTTCCTGCCAGCCACGGTGTGTTTACTTTGCAATGTCATGATTAGTGAAACGGTCAAAAATTCTTTCTGCCCGTGCAACCTCGGCACAAAGGGGCCCTTTTGATCTACCGTCCATAAATCTCTTTGTTAATTGGGGCATCGGCGGAGAATATCAAAGAAGCTGTGCTCGCACCCTGGGGAAGTAGGACGGGCACTACCTAGGTGTTTTCCCGTTGTCCAACACGATGGAAGCACGATCCCGATTTTTCTGTGGCACTGGGGCAACTAGCCCACTACTTATATTGTGGAGTTTGGGGAGAGTTGGAGTTACCGTATGAGGGGCCCTCTTAAGAGACGATGGACATGATAAATAGTTTGCCCGTGCTGATTTCGTGGTGCTGTTGGCTGGAATTCCGGTACGCACGGATGTATTGGCGCAGTTGGCGGAAGGGTGGTTATTTTGATCCCGAGATTTGTTTTATCCGGGAGGAGAGTTCCCATGGATTCGCTTCTATCATAGCAAATAATGTCATTATTAAAGAGGGCTTGTTTGTAGCTGATCCCCCAAACAGTAATCAAAAAAAGCAGTGCGCCAGACTCGATAACTAGTCGAATGCAAAGGTTCTCCGGCTTTGAAGTGTAGCACTCTTGATTGCCTCTCAAAACGACTGCCGCTGATGTAGTTATAGCGGTGAGTTGCATTGCCGAATATACCTTTACCCTTCTCTCGGCATCCTGCAGCATGAGCGGGTCGAATTCGAGCCTCACTTACAAGATCAAGTTTTAGGCATGAATCTGACCGTGCTTCTGGGGGCACAAACAGAAAGATTATTTTGCGGGCTGGTCCGACGGAACGAAGGATCCAATATGCTCCCTGATTCAAACAATGGCCACTGCCTGAACAAACCGGTGTATAAGCCTGGACGAATCAAGCGCAGATCATGTAGGTACCAAAGGGAGTCAGACGGGAGCGGTGTCCCAGGCCCCATCGCGATCAACGACATCAGATGGGCTGCAGACGCCGTGATATCTTCTTCTCACACTTTAAAACGGCACTGCGGCTGAATCCATGGTCAAGAATCTTCCAGGCGTACGGTCCTTTCTCGAATTGACCTGCATCGACCAGACTGGCGATCTAGGTATGTGCAGAGACTCTTTCTACCGGTGAAGCAACGAGCCAAGCGTTCTTCGGGTATTTGCATGGCCTTTGGGGCAGCATCTCAGCAACTCCACGGACAGCACGGTAGCTGGCTCTCACGGGAGTTACACCGAATATGCTACGTACGACATTGTAAATCTCTAAGCGGTGGACCCTTTGGAACCGCATAGCTATCGATTGAGCCGAGTGGTATCATTCAGTTCAGTATATTGCGCAGGATACCTCGAAATGCAGCAAATGCACAGAGTGAGTATGCAGGCAATAGTCGTAACCCCGTTGGCACTAAATATCGTCAGCCATCAGGTCCAAGCGAAAGAAACAAGCACTGTTGCAATTCATTCGAGATTCCTCAATGCGCACAGAGCCCAAGGCGCCCGGATTCGTTTCTTGACTCTGGCACCGAGAGCACGGCCCTGGCATCAGAGCGAGAGCATCAATGTAACACTGTAATCAGAGCCAGAAACCCCGAATCCTTGGTTTAAGTTAAATATGAGGTTTCAATTCGAACATCGCCGGGTTCGGGGGTTTGGAGGCGGCGCTGGCGTCTTTGCAGAGTTTCAGGAACAGCATCCGGGGCCAAGGAGTCTTTTGGAGAGAAGCACTCTGTACAATGATATGGCCTGGTGGCGGGATGCACCTTTTCGGTTGGTTGGCGGCAACAGTGATCCCGGTCGTGGTGAAGTTGAAGCTTTTTTGGCACATCGCGCCGTCGTCCTCGTAACCAACGGGTTTAACCAACACGCGATGAAGACGCCCAACGCCTTGGGATCTTGATCAACTCTTCTAGCCTGCTTGCTCCCGCGGTTTCGGTTGATGATCCTGCCCCGCGTCGATGGCTGCCAATCCCCCCCCCTAACGACCAAGGGATCCTCCGTGTCACATCGCGAGCATGTGAGCATGATGTCTTTCGGCAAAACTAACTGTGCTGCTGGGATGCTAACTTGCCTGCGAGCTCTGGAAATGAAGACTCCAACCTTGCTCGATGGGCCTTCCAGCCAGGCACGGCACGCCTCTCCCGTTTCTCGCATGGTGATATCCGCGACAGCTGCCCCGATCTGACCGACACGATGCGGGTTGACAACGGTCAGACCGCCGGTATCTACTTGTGTCACTCATGGCCAGCCAACGTTGAACGGGACAATGGATGCTGGAGCTAGGCGGATTCTGGAACTCTCCACCGACGAGACGGCTTTCCTAGGCGATCCCGCCAACTTGTTTGATACAAGACCAACGGCGATGATTCGCCGCTTTGGACGTTGTTGGGACGTGACAGAAGCGAGGCACAAGAGGGAGCTCTGGCGAATCTTGCTAATTTCCACAACAAAGAATGCCTCGTTACCTTTCTGCGGCCGCCAAACATTTCGCATGCATGCGGCTGTTAGACAAGGGCATGGATTTGAAGCCGAAACGGGGTCTCTTCAGGAAGCAAAGGAACAGGGGTCTTAAGAGGATATTCTGTTTTGTCTCTCTGTCCTCCGATTCTTTGAGCAAACGAGGGCCTCTTCCGTCCTTGAATCCACACGCCGGATCTGGGGAATATGGGGACCACGATCGGCTGCTGCTCCTGGCTATGCGGCCTTCCAGGGCCTTGTACAGAAAAAAATCCTCAGATCCCGCCCGCTGGGTTACCCAGGCCCCAATTTCACCCTTGGGACCAACGTCAAGCTTTAGACCCATCGAGGTGACATGCCTGGACCTGTATCCTGGCTTAGTCGGACAATTAGGGCCACTTTCTCCAACCTGTGTCCGCATAAGGCGGGTGTCTCGATCTGCTGCCCGTGGGCGTGTCGGTTCCAGGTATGTAATCCCAATGCCCCCCTTGCCAAAAGGCCAGTCTTACATGGCATCTACTACAGTAACAACCTATACTATTTCCATTTTCCATTGGGAGTGTTTTGATTCCCTCCAACCTCTCCTCGACTGTGCGAGCACAGATGTAACCGGGACAACACAGACCACGATATCATGCCTCTGCGCGCTGCGCTCCAGTTAATGGTTCAGCAGCGGAGCATTGACCATGGAGGAATCGTTACCGCCCGGCGAATGACCCCGATGGTCATCGATCCTCTCCCTACGCCCCATCGCAATGGCCTCATCGCCATAGGAGTCACCTCACTGCTCTCAGCCATCACTACCGTCGGACTGTTCGTCTTCATTACATATCGCCTCATCTTCTGGCGGAAGTATCATTCTGCCTATATCGGCTTCAACCAGTATATCATTCTTATTTACAACCTTTTAATTGCCGACTTTCAAGAAGCTCTTGGTTTTCTCCTCTCGGTACAATGGGCCGCGCAGAATTCTATCACCCACGATTCCTTCGTCTGCCCCGTCCAAGGCTGGCTGCTGCAAATTGGTGATCCGGCAAGCGGGATATTTGTGCTGGCAATCGCTATCCATACGTTTTTGATAGTGGTGATGGGACGGAAGATGTCGCATCGGGTGTTTGTCTGGTTCGTGGTAGGGCTGTGGATATTTTGCCTTGCCCTGGTCTTGGTCCCTACAGCTTTGTATGGGAGGAAAACATTCGCTCCATCTGGAGCCTGGGTATGAATTCTTCCTGTGGTCTCTATAACCCCCATCCGTACGGTTTCTGACATGGCCCTAGTGCTGGATCGATGAAAACTACGAAGCAACGCGCCTCTGGGGCCATTATCTATGGATCTTTGTTGCAGAATTTGGGTCCATAGCCATCTACTCCATCCTCTTTGTTTATCTACGACGGCAGGTTTCGTCGTCTCCAATAATGGCCCGCGGACAAAAGGAGCACCTACGACGCCTCCGCCGCGTAACGGGCTACATGGTCCTGTACCCTCTCGCATACATCGTCCTCTCCCTGCCGCTCGCTGCTGGTCGCATGGCCATGGCACGTGGAGAGAAGCTGAGCATTGTCTACTTCTGCGTTGCCGGCGCATTCATTTCCAGCTCTGGCTTTGTCGACGTGGTCATGTACGCGCTCACACGACGGGCACTCCTCCTGGATTCGCAGCCTTCGAATGTCGACAGGGCATATTCCTCCGGCCGATATCAGCCGCACAGCAGCCACATTGCCACCGTGACAGCGGAGCATAGATCGTCCCGTATGCCGCACTACAACCATCACCACCATCGACGACAAGAGAGCGAGAATCCGGGCTACCACAGCTCGATGGAGAATATCATACAGGAAGAGTCGGGTCTGGAAATGCTAGGTTTTGGGATGGGCAAGGTGTATCAGAAGACGACCATTGAAATCACCAGCGAGCCTTTGGAAAAGGGGCCTGAGAGTCCCACGGCTGCCTCATCCAGCGGGCCGTCGTGCGATTCCGCGAACCCCATGGATTCGATTCCCAGTCCGGTACGGGCGTGGAAGTTGAAGTGATCTGAAATGAAATTCTACACGCCATTTTATAGACCTGCCATATCTAACGGCTAGGTGCCTCGCACCCAAAATGCAATAAAAATGCAATACGGAGTACTGATTGTAGAAATAAGGCCATGGCTTCAAAAAAGTAAAACCCATCATTGCTTTTAACTCTATAGTTAACGAGTTAACCGCTAACTAAGTGGATGCAATTAATGAGCCGGTCCACACTTTTGATGGCGATCTCCATCCAGAGCGAGATTCTCACCTGAAACTCTGAACGCGCCAGATGGAGTTTTTAATCCTCTTTGGGCTTGGGGCATCCCTTTTCTCTGGGTCTGCTGCCTGTCGGCGAGCTACAGTTGCACCCCCTTTGTTGAAGCCAAAGGTAACCAGTTCCGGAGTTCCGTATAAAGAACCCATCCTTCAGCACTGGCACTCTGCCTCGAGACTTGCTCAGTTATACGCGTAGAAACCAATCTACACCAGGTCTACATTCCCCCATGGTTATTCATATCGAGCTTCACACGCTAACCCAGGCCGGCGTGAACAGACACAGTGACCAGCTGCTACTCTTACGCCGACACCGACGCTTCTCTTGCTCCCGCCCGCCATCATGGTCTACAGAATGATGATATACGTGGATGGGGCATGTCGACGAAATGACCAGGCCAACGCAGTCGGTGCTGCTGCCGCCGTTCATGAATTCCGTTATGGAAAGTCTCGCTTTTGGACTCGAAGGCTTGGTCCATATCCAACACCCTACAAACCAACGAGCTGAGATCACTGCCATTATTCTAGCTCTCGAGACAGCACTGACAAGATACGAGAAACTCGACTGGAGCCCAAGGCTAGACGTTAAGATCTATTCGGACTCGAAATATGCGGTCAACTGCATGACGATTTGGGTTGACAAGTGGTTTGAAAACGGCTGGATAAATTCTGCAGGATACGACGTGGTCAACCAGGATCTGATCAAGAAGGCCGTGGACCTTGAAGGCCGGCTCTTGAATCTAGGAAAAGTTACATACTTCTGGATTCCACGATCGGATAATGTTAACGCTGACAGGTGCTGCAATGAGGAATTGGACAAGATGGAGTATGGTTATTAGTCACTGGGAAAATAACGAGCAAGAAAACAGTGATCGAGGGGAGTTTTGACAAGATCAGGCAGCTGAGGGCAGTCTATAGAGTGGTCACTTCCAGCCTGCGGATAAATCTTGGGCAACTTATATCCAACTAGTTTAATACCACATTCCACAATCCAGGAGAAACATGTTTGATATTCCGAAGAAGCCAGCTAATAATACTCTCTTAGCCTCAGGATTCAACCCGGCAAACGCCACTTGTTAGCCCACTAGTTCCCCTGCGGGATCCAACTTCTAGGCAACACGGCAGTGCACAGCAAACAGTCTCCACCAACAATTACCCTGGAATCAACTGCTGAGCTTCTCCATCGTCATGTCCGTTCATGTCCTGATTGAGGCGTGTTTTCTCCATTCAATTTCTGAATTCCAGATCACTGATACACTGGATATCACCGCCGAGAGGCAACTCCAGAGCAAGAAGCATGGGCAACCACGACGAAGCAAAAGCCGTCGAGGCAGCGCCAGACGGTTCCATCCCTCCACCGCCATATACACCGAACCAGAGACATGATAAATCATTGAGGTGCCCTGTGCCCATGAGCCAGCTCTCATCACTATACCGCCCGTTCCCAGCGACTCTAACCGCATACTATCAATGGAAGGTCACCCGCGTGTACCATCTCGGCACCAGCGACAATCACAAACTCTTCGCCGTCTCCGTATATGCGGGCATATCCGACAAAGGGCCCGACAGGCCTTGTACCGTTCTACACAACGGACCAAGCGAGAAAGACCACACGCTGGCTGTCGCCGGCGAACCGGCGGTCTGGGATATGAAGTCGGCCTTGAGCTCGATCTCCCTTCCACCACTGACCAGCACGGAACCCGATCAAACTACTTCACCCACCGCCACAGAGGCAGCGGTGACTCCCGTGCATGAAACGATGGTTCCCGGTGTTCTGGACGATGGGAAAACGGTTATATTTCGCTTCGCCGTCGAGGTCGGGCACCCTAAAACGGGCGGATACCGACGTGAGACTTTTGAATGGCGGATGTTGAAGGAGCATGAGCTGCACGACGTGAAGCACGGGTTTAAACTGGTGCGTTCCCACGCAGGTGCCGAAGCAGCGCCGCTCGGGGTTCTGGGGGACGACGACGGCGAGATCGAGGTTGTGGCGGTGGCAGGATGGAAGCGGATGTTGGCTTTGAGCAAACCTTTCAACCTGCAGTTCATGGGGAGCGGGCAGACAGGCGAGCTGGGAGATCGATTTGCTGTCATGGTGGTGATTACGAGTTTGCGGCTGTGGTATCTTGATGTGCAGAGCAGGACAACTCCCAGCATTGCTGGCGCATGAATATGAATCCTCAATTCGATCTGAGCGCCGGACGCAGGGTATCCAATGAGTTTTCAACTGGAAAGTTGATGAAGCACTTATCAAACGCTCAATGAATTATTACTTTAGTATAGCCTCCTTGCTCAACTATCTTGCATATATAGTTTCTGATTATCGTTGGCACCCTGAACTCCCAGCCCCAACACCAACTCCGCCCTTTCGAATGGCATCTGCTCTCTACCACCGGGGAGCGATCACACCGGCTAAAACCGCCCGAAACGCCCGCGTACGGATATGATCGATTCACTATCCATTATAGTCAATAGCCAATTCCTACGGAATCAGAAGTGACACTGACCACAAACGGCATTTATATACAATTCCCCTATTTTCTGAGCGCAACGCTGACTCCAACCCCAACAGCAACCCCAGTAACCAGACCACAAACGGTTGCAATGATGAGGTTCCGAATAATGAACCGGTGTTTGCGGGGTGATGGACGGGCATATTCATGATCATCCGAACTGGTTCTATTCAATGGTTCCGCCGCGGCGCTATGGTCGGCCATTTTCGAGGCAGATTCGACGCAAAAAAAACCCAGGACGGTGGACGGTACAGGTTAAAGGTATGGGAAAAGGTGGGAGGTAGTTTCGAATTGACTGTAAAGAAGATGACAGGAAACATATATAGGTCGTTGGTTCTGGGTAAAACATTGAGCACGAGCGTGCCGCCCGGTACTGAGTAAAACACCGCCTAGGATCTCGGGGTTCCAGGGGGCTTAGATATGCTTTAGCGCCGGGTAAGGGTACCCAGCCCTGTAATTCTCAGAACCATCCTGTTGGTAAATAGTGAGAACGGCCCCAAACGGTGATCAGGCGCCGGGGATTCTCCCGAATCCGTAACAGTTAAAAATAGAGGTGATGCTCCGCCTGAAAGCCGATGTATTCTTGTAATAAAGAAGTCATATATAATGCTTAGCTGCTTGGATGGGGTGCAAATATTACAATGTTCCCAGCCGCACTGTCTGCTGTTAGCATATAGCCCTCTTCCCTAAGCAAGGTGAGCAAAGGCTTTTTTCAATTCCCCTCTCACTAGTTAACTACATACCTTCAAACCGGGCTATCTATTCGTTGCCCGGGCCTTATTGACGACGGCAACATTTCAGCTTTCTAATCCCGTCGCCTCTTCTCGTAACGACATGGTGGCTAGCGGCGCGGTCGGTTGGCTCCATTGAACAATAAAGAACCTCGACATACCTGATGGGTATGGACTCATACACGGCCATCAAAAGCACTCTTTTCATGCCTAGTCTTTCCATGAGCGCCAATCACTCCGGTGTATCAAAAATCGCACCTCCGATACCATAATCAACGGGAGCTAACATCTTTTTCTTTTCACTTGCTTGCGCGGTGGTGAATTGTCCGTTTCACCTAACCCAAATGCCGGCCAAGTCCTTTTCAGTATCCCTCAGCATAATGCGTATCTGCTAACTTCCAAGGCCAAAGTCAACAATCACCCGCTCAGTCAACGGGCACGATATCCGGCCTTCCCGCCAGTTGCATGGTTCCTTGACGATATCCCCGACGCCCAAGCTGACAGAGGCCTTGAGTCCATCACTGTAGCTCTGCGATCATGGAGTGGATAGCATAACTCCCGAGAGAAGCGGAAAACAACTAGGACCAAGGCCCTGCATCACTGAGGGTGTGCAAGGGAGTGAACGAGTAAAGGCGACGGTCCGGCGAGAGGGCGGCTGATAAACTTTGGAGGAACTCTCCATCTCCACGTCATTTCCTTTCTCCGTTTTTACCTCTCATCTTAGTTTCGCGCTCAGGTCTTCTTCCGCACAGTTTCAGCCTAAATGTTAGGCGAGACCAGGTCAAGTACGTCTGGCTGGTTTCGATATCGCATCTGGGGGACAACGGCTTCACTTGCAAATAGATTGCGTTATCTCGCCAGTAGTGTCCATGGATCCGTTGCTCCATCCTTCCAGATTCTACCGGATATCAGCACCATGACCGCGCCTGCCTACCTCTTCCCAGGGTTCGTTTCGGGAAGGGGTTTGTTAATAGGGTCGCCTGAGACGTTCTCTCCACTACGAATGCTATCGTGAACCGTTGAGGGCATAAGAATCATAGGATCGAGTTAGTTGGGCCCTCGACATATCAAAATGTTGATCAAGTACGTTCGAAAAGTTGACGTACTACCCGCGCGAACAATTGTAGAGCATGGCTCAACATTCTGTCTGTTATCGTATCAGCTTATTGATAGAAGAATTTCAAGTCGCAACCGAAGCTATAAAGTCTTTTGTTGGAACTATCCATCAAAAGGGAGCCTGGACCAGGCAGATTCTAGCATGTAGAGCCAAACCATATGTCCTCTCCTTGAGTGGGAGATTGATGTGCGTGTTCAGTACCCTCTACCCAGTCTTCACATACCTTTACGAAACTGATATTCACCCACCCACGGTTTGCTGAAGTTATTATATTGTAGGCAACGGCGTGAATACAGAATCCTGAGATACAGACGGCTGCCTAACTACTGAAGATCAGCTAGAAAAATCATTGTTGCCACACCTGGACCAGCTTAAATACCGTCGTCTTCACGTGGCAAGCGCTCTTAGTGATTATAACTCTTCGTTTCACCGTAAAGCAAGAATGCATTTCTCAAGAATCGCAAGCGGAATCTCCAAGTTCCTCCGTAGGGAGGGCCAAGGTATCTCCACAGAAGGGAGAACAGAGATGGGCCCGGTGGAGCCAGTTGCGGCTCTCCAAGAGAAAGCCGTCGAGACAAAATCTGGCGAGCCGCAACACGGCGTCAAAGAGGCCGAAGCTGTGACAGCGGCTTGGTCTAAGCCTGCTCTTATTGGGGCATATGCTGGGTAACCAACCCTTCATCTCCTATAACAAGCAATGTCATTAACTTGAGAGAAGAATCTTCTTGGTGTTCTTCGTCCTCTCCTTGCAGCAACAGATCGCAGCAAACCTCACTCCGTATGTGACAAGTGCCTTCTCCAAGCACGCGCTGCTGGCTACAACGACCATCATGCCCAGCATTATTGGCGCTGCTGTCAGGCTCCCTGTCGCCAAGATCATTGACATTTAGGGCCGAACTGAAGGGTACTTGCTGATGGTCCTGTTCTGCACTTCTGGTAAGGGACTTCATGTAACGAAGTAATGCGATACGCGAAGCTGACTCTGTCGATAGGCCTAATCACGATGGCGTGTTGCAAGGGTGTGGAAACGTATGCCGCGGCACAGGTAAGTCACATTGTGGGTGGATTGGATGGCTGTCCTAATTCTACTTCCCAGGTGCTATACTGGCTCGGGCATAATGGAATGGCCTATGTCCTCGATGTCTTCCTGGCAGACACTTCAAGCCTGAAGAATCGAGGCTGGCTTTTCGCCTTCTCCACCAGTCCGTATATTGCAACCACTTTCGCCGGACCAGCAGCTGCTCAAGCGTTCTATCGATTTAGCAGCTGGAGATGGGCCTTTGGGACGTTCACAATCCTATTGCCTTCGGCATCTGTTCCTGTGGTTTCCATCTTTATTTTCAGCCGGCGCAAGGCGCGAAGTAAAGGGTACCTGGAGAAGAAGTCCAGCGGCCGAACCTTGCTGCAATCGGTGCAGCATTATTTGGTCGAGTTTGACGGTATGTGCCGGTTGATTATCCTACCGCCTCAGTAACTAACTGACCGGGAATAGTCGTTGGGATGATATTAGTGATCGCTGCGTTCGCTCTTATCTTGCTTCCATTGAGCATGGCCAGTTATCAAAACGCAAAATGGAAGTCCCCGGCGATTATCTCGATGCTCGTTATTGGAGGATGTTGTCTTGTGGCCTTCGTTATCTGGGAGCGTTTTGGAGCTCGCGTCTGCCTCGCGCCATTTCATCTACTTGTCGATGGAACGGTCGTCGGGGCTTGTTTGGTTACCGGCACCGTATTTCTCAGCTTCTAGTAGGCTCCAGCTTCCTGTTATGTGAATCGGTATACGATAGGAGCTAACAGTTGTATGAACGATAGTTGCTGGGACATGTACTTCCTGTCTTACCTGCAGGTCGTGCATAACCAAACGATCCGAAACGCGGGTTATATCGCCAATATCTATAGCGTTGGCACTTGCGTTTGGTCCATCGCCACGGGAGGGTAACATCCCACCTCTTCAAGAACTCTGCTAAAAAATATCTGCTAACCGCTAATATTAATAGGATAATCCGTGCCACCGGCCGATTCAAGCACCTGGCTCTAGCTGCAATTCCTTTGCAAATCCTTGGAGTCGGCCTGATGATCTTCTGCCGGCGGCCAGGGACGCACGTTGGGTTTGTCATTTTGTGCCAGATTCTGATCGCCCTCTCCGGTGGCACGCTGGTAATCTGCGAACAAATCGCAATTATGGCAGCCGTCAGCCACAGCCAAGTGGCCGTTGTTCTGGCGATGCTCGGGCTGTTCAGCAGTATCGGCAGTGCAATCGGGCAGGCAATTGCTGGAGCTATTTGGACCCATACGCTGCCCAAATATCTGCAGATATATCTTCCTGAATCCGCCAAGGGCAAGGCCATGGAGATTTACGCCTCCTTGCCGACGCAACTCTCGTATCCTATGGGATCACCGGAGCGTGAGGCGATCATCTCCGCCTATGCAGTGGGCCAGCAATGGATGTTGGTTGCCGGGATATCGGTCCTTCCCGTGGCAATTGTGTGGGTTTTGCTGTGGAGGAACATACAGCTGAAGGACATTGAGAAGGACAAGGGGATAGTAGTATAGAAAACGCCTCCTTGGTTTTGAAGCATTGGACACGGCTGTATAAAAGTTGGATTGTATAGTTCAGGTTGTAAAGTAATTGGAAAAGCGTTCAGTTCAAAAGCCCCGTGCTTCATCGCTCAATCGCAGTGGGATGGAAGAAGGTTGTCGTTCATCCGCAATGTTGACGGCCGACGTGAAGGTGCCAAGACAACGATGAATATTATGTAATATTTTTGCATAACTTTGTGCTGGCTTATGCCGTGGATGAAACGCGGTACTAATGTTTCTTGACATCAGCACTGGATTTAGCGTGGTCCGAGTTCAAGCCTCGGAAGCACAACATGAAGGTGGGCTTTGTTTGTGCGCGGTGCACCCATCCTTCCGCAGGGCTGGAAAAGAGTGGCGCTCTTATTGCTGGTGGCTTGGATGATGCTTCCTGTCTGCCGCGTCGAATCCTTGACTGTTGACAGACGAGCACCGAGAGAACTCGATACAATCCTCCTCGGAGTTCGTCTCGGAATACGGAGTATACAGCGACATAACTTTTATGCGGAGGTTTTCGGCCCACCTCTCCGACGACGCTTTTCCCAATTAGGTGTTAGTCTCGTTACATGCATAACTCACTTGCCTTTATGCTCGTGCGCTCGGCACAACTCCCTGTCGAATGCACGCCGCTATGCCCGATTTGGATGGAGCTCGGTTAAGGGCACAGCCAACCAATCATCTCGGCCCGCCCATCGTCGCTCTCCGCTCCTCGTCTCCGAGTTGACATGTCTCCCGCCTGGGGAAGTGGTCCGGATGGAGTACATGCGATATTACGACCATCCACTCTTGCGGAATTTCATGATGATTTTGCTGGAGTGCCATCGACCCAACAACAGCCTGTGATGAGTGTGCATCTAGTATCAGGGGAAGACCAACTAAGCTTTTGCCAGGAGCGCAATGCGACGCTTGAATATCCAGTGGCTTGAGCCAGATTGCGCCGAGCATCCCGGATCGACCCGCAGGCTGGCCAAGCGTGACTGGAACTGTTGCCAGCATGCTCGCCGTATGTCTGCACTAGCCCTCGGAGCAATTTTATGAACTCCCGTCACCCTGGGGGTCTGGAAAGTTGTGCACAATGTGTTCCCTGCGAGGCCTGCCAGCTATATCTATTGCACATTCTCCCTCATCGCCTGCAAACTCTCGCTGCTTAATCAGTACTGGACACGCTTGAGCCGATATTTTTACTCTTGACGGCGGAAACGTCACTACGACCATAGCTGCCGTATTGTCAGTGTCCACTCACCCTTGGAATCTGGAAACGTTCGGAACAGACTCTAGAAGGGAGCGAGAAGAGGGCCGTGTTGCTGCCAGCAACGCCCGACGATGACGGATAGCAGTATGCTTTTCTCTCTTGAGACATCGCTTGCAAACTTGACTAAACACGCTGGTCTTTCGAATAGGAGCTTCCACGATGGTGGAACCTGGGATCGAGTCCCGTCGCAAGTCGACAAGTAGCCGGCTCAATGATGTCGAAAAGTCTAGCGACACATTCGACGTCGAAATCGCTGTCGCCAATGTCGAGGACAAATTTGTGAACGAAGCTGAAGCGCCACGGGACCCCAATATCGTTGATTGGGACGGCCCAGACGACCCTCAGAACCCGCTAAACTGGACTTTAAGAAAGAAGGCTACGATTGTCAGCTCAATAGCTGTAATCACCTTCATCACGTACGGTTTTGCCCTTGATCACCTCCGGATTTCTCGCAAGGTTTCCGCAATCTAATACCAGATGGATTCTTCTAGACCCCTTGGATCGTCCATGTTTGCTCCAGGTGTTGCAGATGTGTTGAGAGAGTTCAAAAGCCACAACCCCGAACTGGCCTCCTTTGTCGTGTCAGTGTATCTACTAGGATATGCCTTCGGTCCCCTAATCCTTGCGCCCATGTCTGAGCTGTACGGCCGCTCACCTGTTTACCACGTCTGCAACGTCTTCTTCGTTGTGTTTAACGTCGCTTGCGCCGTAGCCAACAGTTTGGATTCTCTCATCGTCTTCCGTTTCTTTGCTGGCGTCGCAGGCTCTGCCCCCCTGACCATTGGTGCAGGGTCTATGGCGGACATGATCCGACAGGAAAAGCGTGGAGCCGCAATGGGAGCATGGGCCTTGGGTCCTCTGCTGGGTCCCGTCATTGGCCCAATTGCGGGAGGCTACCTAACCGAAGCTAAAGGTTGGCGATGGACCTTCTGGGTTCTGGCGATTGTCGTAAGTGATCATTGCATCCACCCAATGAGAAAGACGA